CCTCATCACTTCAAGCATCTGAAGAACGTGCACAAGGGACTGCTTCGCCGCTATGAAGGGCCATTCCCCATCATGAAGAGGATTGGCAAGGTGGCGTACAAGGTGGAGGTGCCGTCGCACTTGGAGATCCATCCAGTCTTTCATGTGAGCCAACTCAAGGCTTTCCACGAAAACAAGGAGGACGAGCAGCAAAGAGAGTCGCAGTGTGCACCAACACTCATCACCAAGACACACGTCAATGAAATCGAAGAGATCATGGCGCATCGTGTCATTTCTCGTCGTGGCGTACATCCAAACTTCGTGGAATATTTGGTCAAGTGGCGCAACCTTCCGGAGAGTGAAGCAACTTGGGAGAAAGAGCTCACGCTTTGGAAGAACAAGGACTTGATCGAGACTTTCCATCAAGAAGACGCGACGAGGGCGTCGCGAGCATAGGTGGGGGAGGATGTCACATGTGGCAGACGACATGGCGGCTGCACATGTGGCGTGTATGGAAGACTAGTAGCATAGAGATGCTCCTAGGATTCTCCACCTTAATAGAGAGCTTAATGGTGCACTTATGAGTCACATAATGAGTGCCATTTATAGAGTGCATAATGGGGGGACTTAATGGGGTGTATTGATGTAGAGGGACATTATGAGGGGCATTGATGCCTTGTATGAGGAGATTCCTATATAAGGAGTCATCTCCCTCACTTGTAACTCATTCCATCATTTTTTTTAGAGTAATGCACACTAGAGAGTTCTCCCAATTTCTTTGTCTTTGCTTCCTTGTTCTTTGCTTGCTTGTGAGTTTGAGAGAAGGCTGCCTAGCGCTCTAACGGAATTGAGGGCTTGGGTCGCAAGATCGAGAGTAAGGTCGTGACAGAACTCCAACTCCCTCATCATAGCAATCAACATTGTTCTTGCATAAATGAAATTAGTGATCTTCTTACCATTGGAAATCGTGGTCTCGTGCACCTTAATATGCTTTGCAAGATCCACTAGCATCAAATCCAAGCAATGAGCAGCACAAGGTGTCCAAAACAAATGCTTCCTTTTTTCCATCAACATTTGTCCTCATGCCTTATAAGCTGAAGCATTATCTGTCACAACTTGGACAACATTCTCTTCCCCAATCTTCTCAACAACTCCATCTAACATCTCAAACACCGTTGGAGCAGTCTTCAAAAAATCATAATTGTCAATAGCTTCAAGAAATACAGTTCCACGATGACTATTAACCAAAAAGTTGAAAAGAACTCGTTGTTTCTTATCCATCCATCCATCCATCAGACATTATCGTGCAACCCACCTCCTTCCATTCAGTTTGAAGATCCCCAATTTATTATCCACTTCGTGCATTTCCTCTTGCAGCAAAGTCTCCCTAATCTCATGATATGAAGGACCCTTACAACCAGGACCATGCTGAGCTACAACTTCCCACATTTGGTGATAGGTATCACATCTAGTTGCATTAAATTGAATAGCATTTTCATACCACCATTTTGATATGGACTCGCAAGCCTTTTTCCGGAGTTCTTTCTTCAAAACTGTAGTTATAGTTTTCTGTTTGCCAATGGCACTAGCTTCATTGGCAGTTCCACTACCCTCTCCATCACGACTAAAGTCGAGATTATGTAGCTTCCTTACCTTAGTCTCCTTCCCTTTTTCAGTTTCACTAAGTAGCTCTAATATTTTTGCTCTAACTTCATCAGGAACACTAACACAAGCGACAAAGTCCTTTCTTGTTTCTGCAAGATGATGCTTGAATTGAGATATACCACATACTTCTTTGTCACAATACTTGCTTTGGAAAACAAAGAACCAGAGCTCTAATAAAAAAATTATGAAAAAGCAAGGAATGGATCAGAACATTGGCTTGAATATCTTCGTAGGAGATACATTTCAGACAGTATAATCAACTTCGATCATCGGGGGAAAGTATCATCACATCCACAAAGAAACATAACTACTCAAATTGATCCAAAATTTAGAAAAAATCAAAAGGGCGGGTTGGGGTGAAAACCATCAAAAACCTAAAAAAGACCGCATCATGGTTTGGGGAAGGTTTTCGCCGCCCCGCATCACCGAGAACGGATCCCATGACTAGGGGGGTCCTTAGTCACTTGACTAAGCCCCTCCTAGCCATTAGATCTGGACACTTCAATCCAATGGTTAAAAAGTGGGAAGAGCTATTTAATTAATGACATGGGTAGCTTGGGTATTATGGAAAATTACGAAGTATACAAACCGGATTTACAATCAGTACAAACCATACAAGCATACGAACAGTACAAACTAGAGCGACAAAACATACAAACATTACAAACGTATGAACTGTACAAACAATAAAAACTAGACATACAAACAATACAAATCATACAAAAAGAAAAAACAACCGGGTTGACTTTGGAGACTCCATCCCTATATAGAGGGGCTCATTCCCAAAGTCAACCCGGATGTTTTTTAGACATACAAACATGTTGGACAAAAATGACATACTAGACCAAAAATTCATACAAACTGGAAAAACACCCGGGTTGACTTTGGAGGCTTCATCCCTATATAGAGGGTTCCGCCTCAAAGTCAACCCAGTTATTTTTTAGACATACAAACATTACGAACATGGTAGACAAAAATGACAAACTAGACCGACAATCCATACGAACTAGAAAAAACACCCGGGTTTGACTTTGGAGGCTCCATCCTATATAGAGGAGTTCCATCCAAAAGTCAACCAGGTTGTTTTTTAGACATAAAAAACATTACAAACATGGTTGACAAAAATGATAAACATGGTGCACAAAAATAACACAGTTTACAAACATTACAAAAAAACCCGACAAACATTACAAAATAACAAAGCGTACAAACATTACAAAATAAACCGACAAACAGTACAAAGCATACTAACCGTACAAAATGTCACTAAAAATTACAAACAATACAAACCGAATCTATAGAAACATTACAAAATATGTCAGCAAACATCACAAAATCCAACTGTCGCTGATAAATTTCCTCCGGTCGCCGAAAACTCTCTCTCTCTCTCTCAAATCACGAAACAAAGAATGGCCAGGAGGCCAAGGAAAAAAGAAGGTAATAATAATTCTGGGAAGAATGGCCAGAAGGCCAAGGAAAGAAAGAATGGCCAAAAGGCCACGGAATAAAAGAAGAGGGCCGTCCTGGTGGGTTTTTCGAGACAGCAGCAGGTAAAAGAAGAAGAAGCTCTCTGATGACGGTGTCTATAGCGAGGTGAATGGGAGAATTGAGGAGAGAGGAGAGTTGAGGAGTAATGGTGGTTCTGCAACAACAACATCTGAAAATCTCAGAAGAAGAAGGCAACGGGGAAGAAGAGAATTCGGAAGAATTATTTCCACGCCACCGGAGAGAAGGATCGGCCGGCCGGAAGGGTCGAAACTCTCACCTGGCAATCGGGTCGGGTTGGGTAATTTCGGGTAGAGACTTTCGGTTACGGATCGGGTCGTGTTTGCTAGGCTAATTTCGGGTCAAATATTGACCCAACCCATTCGGTTTCGGGTCGGGTTGTAGGTCGTTTCGGGTTATTAGCGTTCTCAGAAACAATATCAACATGCTTCATGTTTTCTTCAAGAACACAAATTTTCACAAATGCATGACAACGGTTTACCTAACACATGTCCATTAACATATTCTCAAATCTTCCCATGCTAATTAAATGAAATACAAATTACACAAATCGTCAAAAAACAATCACAAGAGTAATGTTATTACAAGAAACACATGATATTTGATTATCCTTAAACTCCAAACATATGTCATTCAAATCCATGTGAATTTATTTAAATATCTCACCAATTTAAGAGTGGTTTTATCATTTTGGGAGTGATATATAAAATGGAGCGGGTCTAACGGGTTGACCCGCTAACCCACCCAACCCGACCCAAAAAATTGCGGGTTATCGGGTTTGGGTCATTCGGGTTTCGGGTTATTAAAACTTATACTTTTCAGGCGGATTCGGGTCGGGTCAACGGGTCGGGTTGTAATTTGCCAGGTCAACATACGCAGGCCGCCGGAGAAGAAAACGGATCAGCGGCTGGGTTTTTATTTATTTTAATTGGTAAATAAAAGTTAAATAATTAAATTACTATATTGTCCTTCATTAAATTGGATTAGTCAGAACCATTGGATTTTAATGAGATGGAGTAGCTGAGATTCACTTAGTCACAAGACTAACTGACTAAGGGACCCCCTTAGTCACCTGATCTTAGCCCCGCATCACCTGGTGGAGCAGCCTTAAATTCTGCACAATCCCGGGAAAATGATAGTGGGGATAGCATGGAAATATAGCAAAGTTCATCAATGGCATCAACAACCATACACAGTGAGTTCTTTATGCTAGGCTTCTAATAAATTCCACACTCCGGTACCACTTTTCCACAGCCTTTCAAAAGGAATTCAAACACTAACCTACGTTTTTTCATGGTGATGCAGGGATGGGAGGAGGAAACAGAACCTGAAATGTGTGAGGTATTCTGCTAACCGCGAGTGCCGGGTGCTGCTGATTGCTAACAAAGACATACCAAAGGAAGAGAGGTTATATTATGATTATAATGGGTTAATGGCGATGAATACGAATATCCAACTGAGCATTTTGTTTAAGAGAGATAGATTCCTTCACAGTTAGAACTCACTGTGTTGAACAGCTGACCAGCTTACTAACAGAAGAACTGCAATGATTTCAGAATATACATCTCCAAATAACAAAATCTATACATCCAGCAGCGCTCCTGTTGAATTAACCACAACAATCAAACTTGTCCGAGCTCAATGCTTACATTAACACCTATTTTTGCCCACTTTGCTACATAACAGGATCAGAATCCGTAGTCTCTGCCTGTCTCTTTTTCCTATTGTATGCCGCTGGTCTCCACATCATAAAAAAATTCTTCCTTTGGCGTGCTGTTGTTGTGAATTCATCCATGGCTTGTGTAGCAGTTCTCACCGATTCGCGTTTTAAGTTCTCCATCGACCATAGCTCATGTTTTCTTTCCTTCTGCCAAGCTCACCCTTATGGCTCGTCCTTCTAATTCCTACATGAACAAATAAAACACCCACCCCCAAGTGTTCATTAAACAAATTAGCACCACTCCTACATAATCATTAGGAAGATAGGACACAACATCACATAATATGCATTAGAGCATTGAACATCATGGCTTTGTTACCAGTCCATTAAGAGCTTCCAGAGCTGTTTCCATATCTGATTTGCTGGTGTAGCAAACGAATCCGTACCCACGAGACCTTCCGGACTCCCCGTCATAAAGCACTCTGGCGCCAACCACATTGCCATAAGGTTTGAAAGCTTCTGTCAAGCTCTCGGAGGTGACAGACCATGATAAGTTGCCAACAAACAGCTTGTGTTCTGTCTCTGGGTACAGAGGTTCTCTGGGTCGAGGTTTGTCCGAAAAGTTCACCCTGAGGATCCGACCCATGTATTGCTGTACAAAATGAGATGAAATATGAATCATACAAGCATTGTTGATCTCTCAACTGCAAGCTCAGGGATCGTTTGGTTCAGTCGATGAAGGATTGCACAGCGATAATAAACCCACAACGGAATGGAGATTTTACTATGATATCGAGCAGCTAAGAACGCAGTAAACTCATTGGAGAGGTATAATGATTTGCTTACTTTGCCATCAAGGTTTTGGATCACTGCCTTGCAATCATCAATACTGCTCATAGTCACGAAAGCAAATCCTCTGCTTCTCCCTGTTGCCCTGTCGTAGAGAACCTGTGACATTGTGATCAGTTCATTAGAAGAACGTCCAAACCAAGTATCAAAATATAGATGCCAACTTAAAACAGAATTCTGTTGTAAAAAAAAAACTTAAAACAGAATTTAAGGGTAAAAGAATGAAGAAACCTCAATGAGTTCAGGGCTTCCATAATCCTGAATGATCCCAGCAAGCTGCGCACTATCAACATTGTAAGGCAAATTCCCAAAGTAAAGCTTTGTATTCACGCCACCGCTGCCTTCTTCCGTTTCTTCACCAACTTCAACTCCTTTCTCTTCCTCCGCTGGAGCAGCCGTTTCCACCTCGGCCTCTGCCTCCTCCTGAGCGACGGCCGCCACAAATACCTTCTTGGGCGCCCGCCACAATGCTGCTGCAGCAATGGGAAGAGGAAGATGATCTCCACCGCCGGGAGCAGCAGATAGATGTAGACGAGCTGAGGTTGGAAGTCTGAGGACAGAGTCCGAGGATGGCAGGTGCAGCCTGTTGTTTAGGGTGTTGATGGACGGGAAGAGAGATGAACTAATGGCTCCAGCAGCAGCAGTTGCAGCAGTGGCTGCCATAGCTCAGTTTGGTTCTGGGAAGTGCGGTATCTTGAATTGGATGTTGGTGTTAAAGTTATGAGTATGGGGAATGGAGGGTTGGAAGTTGGAACTGGCAGAGATGGGTTTTGGCAGGGAGAAATGGAGATGGGGGAAAGTGGAAAGCTTTGTGCTTTCTGAGCTGACGTGGCAAGATTGTGTCCAGTTAAATGGATAAGGTGAGTTCACCCTGGATTTTCAGTCTGGTTTTCTGGATCAGATCACTTTATCTTAGGAGAGGACTCCCAGTAGAATACGACTTGTCTTAAGGCTGTTTGTTTTGGGCTTCTTACTTGGTTGTAACTTGTAACTGTTCTTCTAGGTCCAGAACCAATAGCACCCAAACATCCAGGAACTGGTACGTTGTTTTGAATCAAGCATTATCGAGATAGTTAGCTGAAGGCAAATAGCTCAAACCAGTCTTGCTAACATGGCTGAACTTCAAACTGATTAAATTAGGAGTTGGCACAAAATGAACAAGTATATGATAGGCATGCTTCACAATCATGTCACACTCGAGGTTCATGTCCAGCTGCAAGATTTCTCTCTACGATACATCACTAAAATCAGTCTAAAAGCAACGCAAAAATTGAGCCTATAGTGAAGGAGGGTATTGGGGACTAATCTACCTAGCTAGATTAACACTCATATCAGTTGCAGAAGCATAAAAGTTAACATCGGCTGATTCATATGCCTGATGTCTGGATTCTAAACTTCACAACAGAGAAGCAGAAAACAAGAGTGTTGTCTATACTGGACTACTGGTCCTAGGCTTTCAGCCTCTTAAACTGACTTCACTTATAGCACTGCATAGCAGCATTTGCAGCAAAGCCAGTGTTATAAACAAAAGAGGTACCCGAAAACAAGAACTAATCTCAGTTTACCCACTCGACTACAGGTCTTCTCCGACTCGAAACAGCTGACCCTTTCTTCTCTCTGAGAACACTCTTATCATCAGGTGGCTGATCTTTGGGCTTCCTACTCCTAACTATAGGGTTCTCATCAACGGCTTTCCTCGGCGTGACTTTACAGTGAACATGACTGCTGCTTTGAGTCGAATTCTGATTCCTCAGAGGAGAACCTCGCTTGCCAGGTTTGACCTTGTTCTTGTTTCCAATCAACGCATCATTTTCTGAGCAGTAGAACAAATCACCAAAACGTGTCCCATGAATAAGAGAAAAAAACTTACAGATCTGAACTTTTGAACAAAGACAGATCAAAAGGGGATCTTACGAGGACTAGATAGTACGGCTCGAGGTGGTGGGATTGAACTCGCTCTAATATTTGGTCTATCATCCCCTTCTTCGTCTGGGTTGCTTTTCGAGTCTGTTCCTGAACTTTCTGTACAAACTGAAACTGGAGTTGTTGGTGTTTCAGGCAGGATTAGGCTAGGCACGTAAGACTTTGGAATTTTGGCCTTGGGACTGGGAGATGTGGAAACATTTTGCAGCCACTTAACTACAAACAAAGTCAAAACAGCTTCAATCGTCAGGAGAGTAAGAATCAATTATACAAAGGTAAATTAAGCTTAGAGGGAGCATCACCATGAAGTGAAAGGGCAAACTTTCAAAAGCCATGTTTATCCCAAGGCTAACTCAGAAGTGAAGCTTATACAGAAATAATCTATGGCCATGACGCCTAATAACTTCCCGTGTCTGGCAAGTTCCTACCTTTCTCCAGGAGGTAGAGAACATAGAAGAGGTTGACATACAAGATCATAACTTTTTACAATAAAGAAAAGATTTAGCAGGCACCCACATCAGGTATAGATTCAGGTTAAGATCAAAATAGATTAACAGGAACACTTCAAATCTGAGCCTAGAAGTTTGGAACAGTGATTGGAGTTCAACAGATACGGATTAAATTCGTCAACCTTTTCATGAACTGAATAACAAAGCAAAGGGATTACCTGGGAAAAGGGAATCCTGAATGGAAAGGAACTGGATATCCTTCAACGAAAGCAAGGAGCCCCAGTGCCGATCATCTTCATCTCCCATCCTAACTTTCACCTTCGGATACACTGTAACCACAAGATAACCCAACAGAAACGAGAAAACAAATCATATCAGAACACACAGAACACAACATATGAGCTCCAGAGAAGTTGATGAACCAACCACAAGAAGGCTAAAACCGTAAACCCACTTGTTTACACGATGATCAACCCAGGAGGGAAGGACCCGATTGCACGACAGCCGGTTTTCACCTTCTCTAACTATCTGGCTTACCCCTTTGATTATTCCAAATTCCAAGAGAAGAAGCCAACGGAACCACAGAAAAGGGACAAAACACGGTGGTGGGTGCTGGAAGGAAGCAAGAAGCAGACAAAAAGTTTGGCTCTTTAGGTGGTTGGAGAATGTCTGTGGAAGTAAGATGTCGAAGGAATGATGAAAAGGTAGGCCTCTTAGGTTGGCTGCCTCTTCAATCCGTCCTCCGATTGTCAGCTCCGGACAGGAAAGAGAAAGAGATTTTAGGTAATGCAAGCAAGGGAAAGGGAGAGAGACGGAAGCCGACCATCAAATGTTGTGGTCAAACTCTCCCAATTTGCACCAGTTAATGGCGATTTGATGCATATGTTTAGCGTATCTCTTCGCGTAAATGGGGCCTACCCGCCATTTGTTTATGCCCAAGTTGACTTCGTATCCGATACGACTCCGATAGAGAGAAGAAAGAACCCGCCTTCCGCCCGTTCTGCCACCTTTCACTTCTTTCCCCCTTCATGTTCTTTTTCTTTTTGGACTTTTGGTTGCTTCCAAACGGTCCGATTTGTTTAATCCCAAGTTTTGATTTTTTACTTTCCGTCGACGCATGACCGCGGCAGACCCAATTCCAGGCGCTAGGGTTTAACGTTCAACGAGAAAAAAGGATTTCTAGGGGGGGATTTTGAATTTTTTTTTTATGATTTGGAGAAGTGGGTGGTTTGGTTTGTGTTCAGTTGATGTCGTGGCGCAGAGCTGGACTGAGCATTGGACGGAACATTGTGTACAAACGGCGGCTCTGCACTGCAACCCGCCGCCGTCGGGTGGAGGACGAAGGTGACTGGTTCTACTCCTCCGAGTGGTGGGGGACGGAATCTGATGGCCACACTATTCTGCGCACCGGCTCCGATCACGGGAATGGCGTCGTCTCTGTTCTGGCTTATCCCTCTTCTCGACCCGTAATTCTCCTTTTCCTCTTCTGTGAATATTGCCATCCAAGTGTTCGACTTATTTACTGTTTTCCCCACTATCTTTCTTGTCGCTTACTACTTGTTGATAACTGGGGAGCCATATATATTGATGGCGATTGGTAGCACGTTTAGAGGCTGCAGTTCCGTCTCCTTTTGATCAGAGGAGCTAAAAAGTTGAGGTCTTAAACACAAGGCGGCTTTGATCCACTTAATGGAATGACAGAATGGTCCATCTTTTGTCTCCTTTTAGTGCTTTAGGTATAGGAACTCCCTCCCTACGGTATGGAATCCTTGTCAGCTACTACTGCTGTTTTAAGCAATGGGCTCCTATGGCTACACTGCTTCCTTATGAACTGTCGACCTTGCTGTGAACTAGATTTTATCAGTTGGTGGTATCTGCGGGTGATTCTGTTTGCACCTTAAACTTTGCAGGCTCAAACTGACTGGCCTAAAACTGAGAACTGGCTTCAGGAAAGGTATGCAGCTGCACATCCAAGTCATCAGAAAAAGGGTCGTTTGAAGATGCTTCGATACCAGTGGCGTACTCTTCACTTTAACGAAACCACACGCCAGAGCACTGCTAAAGTAATGGCTGCTTACCACGACTTAAAACCTGGCTCTATGTTCTTGATGCAACAGCCTCATTGTTTAGCTGTTCCATGTAAATTGACACTCCTTGCTCTCGTCCATTTCTTCGTGAATTTCCTGCATGTTGTTCAAGCTACAATATGTCTCATGTTTAGAACCCACCCAATGGTCTACTCGACTCTGCTACTCTTCTAGTTGTGGCAGGAAAATTGCACAAGAGTTGGTTCTTAGACTTTACTTGCATGGTTGTACTTGTGCAGATTTAAAGAGTATGGCAGCGACAGGTTTGAGTGCTCTGGCGTGCTCTGATTATGACCTTGCTGGTGTTGCATTCGGAAAGAAGAAAATGCGTGTATTGTGCATTGGTCATGGTGGAGGAAGTTTGCCCTTGTTCCTGGCAAGCAAATTGCAAGGTAAAGATTCATTTCTGTGGCTGTGTTTGTTCTTTGTGAAAGCATGATATTTGTCGTAGTTTGTATGTTATTTGTTTTGCATGCTATGATGTGAGATGTACTGGTGTATTTGTAAACACATTGTTGCTTGGTTCAGTGTATTTGTATATGAATTGTGCTATAGAAGTTTATAGAAAGGAAGAAATGCAAGATTCACTTCCAGAGTGTATTTTAAATTACTTAAAAATACTTTCCGTCCCATGTATTCAGATTGCACATCTGGATACATTTGTTGTATCAAAAGTGTTCAATTTGCTTGATATTTTCTACATCACTCTCCCAAATGTAACCGAAGCATAATGGTTTGTGAATGAGTTATTGCAAAAGCATCGAAGCCAGTTACTTGTCATCATTCATTACTGTAGTACCTCACCATGCCGCGCTATTCAGGTGTCCAAGTTGATATAGTTGAAATCGATCCAGTAGTCATATCCACATCAATCCAAGCAATGGGGTTCCCAGCTTTCTCCCTGATGAACCGATCTGGACAACGCTCCACACCAAGCCCCTGCACCATATGGATGTTGTTCTTTGGAAAGGCATCCACGAAAGGCTCCGTCTTTACGAAGCAGATGCAGATATGTTCATCCTGAACACCGGCGAAACCACAGTTTACGATATGGTCTTCATCGATGCCTATGATGGAGATGACATCTTCCCTCGCAAGCTGTGGGATCCAGATTCTCCATTTCTGGAAGCTCTCAGTCAACGCCTGCGAAGGAGCAGCAGCTGCGAAGAGCTCAAGGTCTATGCTTCAACTGCGACGAGCGATTCACCATCGGTCACAAGTGCAGTAATGCTAAGGTGATGTGCTTGTTCGAGGAAGAAGATGGCGAGGTTCAACCTTGGGGACAAGGTTGATTTCAAGGGGGGAGGATTGATGAGAGGATTTTCAGTTTGGGCTTTTGAGTTTTGGGCTTGGGTGTTTTTTCCTTTTCGTTGTAGGTTTCCTTTGATTTTGGGGTTGGGGTAGTCGAGTAGAAGGATTTCGGTTAGGATTAGGCTTTTCTAAGCCTATAAATATGTACCTTTGGCATTAGTTCCGAATCAATCAATAAAGTTAAGATTTATTGACACCAACGTCGTTCTCTCGCTCGTGAGTTTCGAGCAAAACCCTAGAACAAAGGAAATTTGTTCATCAGAAATGCGATCGGTGCAGCATTCACTGTCTCCGTTCCTTGGGTCTGTAACGTTAGTTTGATTGTTTGTAAAGGTTTGAAGACTGATGATAATGACGATAGTAGGAATGGTGTCTTGGGAGCTCTTCTGTCGAGGTCATTTGAAGTTGAGAATATTGTAAACCTTCCCTTTTCTGTCGAGGTTGGCAACGCTGACCGACCCATCGGGTATCCACCCGAAACCCGCTCGAATTTTGACCTAAAAACCGTCCGTTGTGGGCTTTTGGCGGATTCGGGTTTACCCGAAACCCGTGAGTTGTGGGCGATGGGTGGCGACGGTATAAGTGATATCCGCCCCGCCCCCGCCCCGTATCATAAAACGACGTCATTTTAGACATCGTATATAAACCAAACAGAGCAGATTGTCAACCCTAATCTTCATTTTCCACTCTCCCTCCCCAACGACTGCTCCCATTCCTCTCCTCTTCCTCTTCGAGAACCTCCCGAAATCCTAGCTACTTTCTCTCCATCGAATCTCCCAAACATCTAATCCGCTCAAAAATCTCGTTGTTCCCCACAATTTCCTCCCAGTCCAGGTTGTTTATACAATTATGATTGCCAGTAGGCAATCATTATCTCTCAATTTGACCAATTGGATGCTAGTTTTGCCGGTGATTTCGTCGGGAAACAGCATGCAGAACCCTAAATTGCCCGCTGCAATCTTCGATTTGCAGTTATTAGGGGAAATCGACGTGATATCACACATCGAGCGAGATAAGTTATTTCTCCCTTTTTCTTTCGTATTCTGTTACACTTTCTTGCCTTCTTCCTTCTTCTCGTATATATAGTAAACCCTCGATTAATTTCAGGTCACTGGTAAGCCTAACTTCTTCCTTAAACCCATTACATGCACTCTGCTCAGAGCACAGTCGAGGTAAGCACAAACTTATACCTTCATTTGTCCAGATTCATGAGCTATGTCTTTATCAATCGATGCATGCTAATTTTATTTTGTTTGTTTGCCTTTGTTTGGGAGTTCTTCAGGTTCGCATTAGGCATCTGCAGTCTGGTGAACAGAGTCTCCCTCTCCAAATTACAAGTTAGGCATAACCTTGGTCCAATTCAACTCTCGATTGTAATTTGTATTGTGTGTTGTGTGATTTGTCTGGGTAGTTATGATTGATTGATTGCATGCAATTATTTAATTGTTTATGTAGATGGATGGTGCTACTGAAAATTGTGCTTTGAATGCGAATGATCCTACTGTCCCTTCTAATCAAAATGGTACTGCTACTGCTAATGGTTCTGGGAATGAAAATGTTGAAATAATTCTGGATGAAGATCGTAAATTGACTTCTGATGTCTGGCCACATTTTGTGAGGGTGAAGTTTAATGGGGAGATTAAAGCCAAGTGTAAATACTGTCGAAAACGTTTAGGTGGTGATACTAGTAATGGAACCTCCCACCAGAGGAACCATTACAAAACTTGCATCCAAAGAAAGATACATGATGGTAGGCAGAGAGTTCTTGGTCCTGATTAGGGATGGCAATTACCCCCCCCCCCTAACCAAACCCAAGTAGACCCATTGATAATGGGTTGGGTATGGGTGAAGTGCATATGGGTTTGGGGGGTTTGTAAATGGGTTTGGGTAAGGTATGAATATTGCTTCCATAATCTAAATGTGTATGGGTTGGAACTTGGATATGGATATCCATTTACTTGATGGTGTTTTAACTAAACATGCAAACATTGGACCTATTTGTAAAACTTGAAAATTTTAGGTACCAAAATGTAAGACCAAAAAAATTTAGGTACCAAAACGTATTTTTCCATCGATATTTTGAGGACTTATATGCAAAAAAATTAAATTTAGATACTAAATATGCATATCTATTAAGTTGAGGTACTAAACTATAATTTGTATTTGGGCATGGGTACAAACCAGTGTTATTAAAGCCGAGCCACTCAGCCCGACCGGTAAAACCGCCACCCGGTCACAAAACCGGCTCGGAACAGTCTAAAAGCCGCTCCGGTTTTATGTAGCGGTTGGCGAGCGGCCGAGGCGGTTAACCGTTCGAGCCGATCGAGCCGCTCGTCCGGTTTTTGCCATTCAGCCACTAAATTTAATTAAAAAATTGTAGAAAATTGAAATAAACCAAAAACATCGGGCTCTCAAATTGAATCCTTATTTCCATTTCACAATTTCGAAGGAAAGAGATGAGCTCTGATTAAGAAATGTCCACTATTTATATTGATAACGTTTATTAGATACCGGTTCTCTAACGGTTTTTAAACGGTCTAATGCCGGTTGGACCGCTAAAGTGCGAGCCGTTCGCATTACCGGGTCATGCTCCGGTTCGGTTCTGACAACATTGGTACAAACCCAAATCCATTTGTTATAAACCCAACCCAACCCAACCCAAAGTAAATGGGTATGGGTACAAACCAATAAAACTCTACCCATATCCATCTATTTGGATTGCATACCCAACCCAATTGGGTTGGATAGTTAAAAACCCATGGGTATGGGCAAAATTGTCATCCCTAGTCCTAATTATAAACCAACTGGAAAAACCATCATATCTGCTACTCAATTCAATTCTGATGTGTCTAGGAAGGAATTGTGCTCTATGATTATGGTGCATGAGCATCCCCTGAACATTGTTGAACACTTGGGGGTTTAAACATTTCTCTTGTTCTTTGCAACCCCAGTTCATTGTCCCTTGTAGAAATACAGTAAAGAGGGACATATTTGCTTTATATGGGGTTGAAATGGCAAAGCTTCAGAAGGTTTTAGATGGTAATATTGGTAGAGTTGCAGTCACAACTGATATGTGGACTGCAACTAACCAAAAGATGGGGTATATGGCGGTTACTGGGCATTTTATTGACAATTCTTGGAAACTTAAAAACATGATGTTGAGCTTTGTCTATGTCCCTGCCCCTCATACTAGTAAGAGGTTGGGAGATAGGTTGTTCAAGTATTTGCTTGGTTGGAATCTTGATAGGAAGTTGTCCTCGATTACCTTGGATAACTGTACCACCAATGATGCCATGATTACTCATATGAAAACTAAACTTGCTATGGATGATCTGTTGTTGGATGGTGTGTTGGTTCAAATGAGATGTTCTGCTCATGTTTTGAATATTATTGTGAAAGATGGGTTGGAAGTCATCAAGGATGGCATTGAATTGGTTAGAGATAGTGTTGTGTACTGGAAGTCCACTCCTAAGAGGGTACAAACCTTCTTTGAAACTGCTAAGTAGCTTAAAGTGCCTTGTGAGAAGCAATTTGTGCTTGATTGTCCAACGAGGTGGAATTCCACCTATGATATGCTATCTACTGCCATTGTGTATAGAGATGTTTTCCCTCGTTTGAGGCAGTGGGATAGTCAATACACCACTGTCCCTACTAGTATGCACTGGGATTTTGCTGCTATGGTCATTGATAAGCTGGAAATTTTCAGTGAGATTACAAAGCTGTTTTATGGCAACAAGTATCCCACTGCTAATTTGTTTTTCCCCAATGTTTGTGATCTGAGACTGAAATTGTTGGAATGGTGTGCTGATACCAATTCTCTTATCTCGGCTATGGCTGAGAGTATGTGAGAGAAATTTGCTAAGTATTGGGATGATATACACTTGGTTCTCGCTGTGTTAGTGGTTCTTGATCCTAGATACAAGTTGCATGTGATTGAGTATTATGCTGCTAAGTTTGGCAGTACTAATACTGACTTGGTGGCTGATAAAATTAAGCAATATATTTGTGGTTTGGTGCTTGATTACCAAACCAAGTCTGAGAAGAACAATTCTTGTTCTTCAACTGCTTATGATAGTTCTTCTACTCCTGCAAATTATGATCATGATTTTGAACTGTTTGTGAGTCGGAGGAGAAAAAACAAAGCAACTCTGGTCCATACTGAACTGGATCACTATCTTCTTGAGGAACTGATTCCTAAAAGGTCTACTGACTTTGATATACTGATGTGGTGGAAACTGAATGGCCTTAAGTACCCCCACTTTGCAAGCAATTGCAAGGGATTTCTTGGCCATACCAATTACATCAGTGGCTTTTGAATATGTTTTTAGCTCTGGTGGGAGGTTAATAGACCCTCATCGGAGCATATTGCATATGATACAATAGAGGCAATGATGTGTACGAGGAGTTGGATTATGGAGGAAATGCAACAAGGTAATCTGCAGCAACTCCCATATTAGTTTTCTAATGTTAATTGGATTGAATGTTAATTGTCTTTTTCATTGTTTTCTTCAATCTGCAGAATCATTGAAGGCTGCTGTTGAGGCAATGGAAGGGGTGTTCTCAGCTCTAGCAATTGCAAATTCCAGTACCGAAGATCAAGACGAAGCTGGTAAGATAGTTGGTTCTCAAATTTGGCTTCTGTGTAATTAGTTCAATTTAGATTGGTACTTAGTTTGATAGTTTCAATCTGTAACTGTATTCTTTTACTCTTGCAGTTCAAGGGGGACTTGTGATGAAGAAGCATCTAATATCCCTAGACGAGTGATTTGTTGAAAGGTTCAACTGTTCAAGGTATTGAGGCAGACTTTAGGCTTTTTTACTTGTTCAATTTAAAATGAGTTTCACTTCTCTAACTGTGTTTGCTACTCTGTTTCTTGCAGTGATTTCTTTTCAAGGATGAATGATGTTGTTGAGTTGGTTTCCAGCATAGTGTTGCTTGCTTTTGGAAGAAAAGATCAAAGGAACTCGTGCTAGTAGTCTAGGTTTTAGTTCGATTTATGGATGATGTTATTGGGGCTGTCTGCCTTTATTTTTGTATCTCTTCCTTTTGAATTTGAACACTAGTGTAGTGAAGAATATGTTATAATGGGTTTTGGGTGGTGGGTATTTGGTTGCAGCAACTTGTTTGGTTGCTGCAACCTATCACTTTTGTTTCATTGCTGCAACCTATCACTTTTGTTTCATTGTTTGAACAATGAAGATCTGGGTGTTGGGTGGTGGGAGGGTTACAGCCCCAGATCTTCCTTTTGTGTTTTGAATCGATGTGCCTTGAACATCAAGGTACTTTGAAGTTTGAATTTCAGGGATTTTATGTTAGTTTTTTCCTTTTCTTTTGTTTTTTCTTAGGATCCGTGGTTTACCTGAATCCATCTGGGGATGGTGACGGAAACCAAACGCCCCCCGTTAAAGGCACGGGGACGGGAAAATCCGTTGGCTTTGACAGATGGGTAGCGGAAACTAACTACCCGTCCCCGATCCGCCCCGTTGCCAACCCTAACTTTGAGATCGTTTATTGATTTTGTTTTTATGAAATATAAGTCTAGCCTCTCGACTCTTAGAGGCTATGGTTATTAGTTATTACTTTAGCGTCCTTGAATTCGGGCAATGAGATATAGTTGGGCCCATAAAATTGTTAGGCCCAATGATCTCATAACCGGATCCATAAATAAAGCCCATGGTTAGCTGGAGCCTTGGAGGAAACGGAAGGGCCCAAAGAAGAGTGCAAGGTGACCTATTTTTGGCTTGTAGGATCCTAGAATTCTCAAATCTGCCTTTCTAAAACCTTAACAAGACGCCTCCGTTTCCTCTGCTCTTCCAGAACTTTCTTCTTCTTCTGGTTGGCAATGGTGGTTCAGGACAAGAAGCGGCTGTCCACGGGCAGAGGCGAAGACGCCGGGATCCTAGCCAGGGCGACGCGAACCTTGTCAGAGTCGCGGATCTTGGGCGCGTCGAAAGAATTGGCGGGAGAGGCGACCTACGTTGCGAAGAGACTGGCGAAGAGCACCGGGAAGGCGGCGTGGATCGCCGGGACGACTTTTCTCATCTTGGTAGTTCCGCTCATCATAGAGATGGATCGGGAAGCGCAGCTCAGCGAGTTCGAGGCGCAGCAATCCCACCTCCTCGGAGCTCCGCCGACTACGATGGCCTGAGTGTGATTTCTCTTGCATCTTTCCCCTCCTCTGACCCGCCTCATACAAGCTTGTCTCTGCAAAAAAGGGAAGAAGGTATTTGGGTTTTCGATTTACGGAATTGCAAGCTAGGGTTTTTTTCTCATGGATGTTCATCCAGCTTTTCTTTCTTTTTCCAGTACTCTGGAGATGGTTTTAGGGTTTATTGTTGTTGCACTTTGTTTAAGTTCTCGATTCCAATTGGGTGTTGCCTACTGTTGCTGTGATGGGGTTTACTCCTTTCCCATTAGATAAAAACGAAAAAAGATGAATGCTTGATTTCTGTGAATTGCCTTTAGCTGAATTGCATTTCCCCCTGGTTGGCTTCTTCCCAAAACTTGATGAATGCCTCCTCTTAGTGACCATTTTATGCCCCTGGGTTCTTCTGTAGAGGGTTCGTTTCCATGAAGAATTCTGATCTTCCAAAACTACTTTTTTTTCATTGTCATTCTTTGCTCTCTTGGTTTTTTCTTCAGTTAGCTTCTGACCTACGCCTCTCCAGCACCTTGGATCGGTTTTACTTGGGTGGCAAACTAGCTTTGATCTCTACATTCCGGCCGTCTACTGATTAGGGTTCGAGCATCTTTCTGCGGATTATGTGCTAAAACCCTAAGAGGTCTTTAGCTTTTATACAGAGGTTGGATGATGCTAAGATATGGAAGAAACAGAATTGTTTAGGAGATGGCATCGAGAACAAGATCTTACTAGGAAGCAGTCAGTCTTGTCACTTGTGTACGAGAGTGTCAGAGGGAGTACCTTTTGTCATCTTTAGCAAACAAACATCACTTTAACTAAAAAAATGAAAAACACTCAATTTCCCACACTCTCGAATTCATCGTTGACATTCTCGAGTCGTAATCGTTGGGAATACGTCCGAATCATGAGTAGTGACTCCGACGAGGTAAAAATCCGATTTTTTTTCAAAAAAAACCTGAAACCCCTAAACCGAAGCCAATTTTCGGTTGTACCATGGCTTAACCTAAGGCAATTTTCGGTTGTACCATGTCTTCGGTTGAGCCATGGTGCAACCGAAGATGATTTTCGGTTGGTCCATGGTACAACCGAAAATTGCCTTAGGTTGAGCCATGGTACAACCGAAAATTGGCTTCGTTGAGGGGTTTCGGAATTTTTCTGGATTTGTTTGGTTTATATCAATAATTTTCTATTCTCTTACTACGATTTATGGTTCGGTCCATAAGATAATTTGTTGGATTTTGGTTTATATTTTTTTAGATTTATGGAAGGGGAGGGGTTGTTTGTTTTGTGTTTGATTTTGAAATTCAAAATGGGCAATTCGGTAAATTACATATTAAGTTAGGACGATGGTTAGAAATTTTTAGAACGACCTTTAACCATTCAGAATTTATATGGAGTTGTGTAATTTGATGTGGTTTTAATTTAACTTTCCACAATTTATATCCAAACCGGTTGACCCCGAAAAAAAGAACTGATGAACATATGTTGCTGGTAATTGATCGAAATTGTTATTCAGGATTGGATCAATTACAAGTTTTAACATTGTAATTTAAAGGTGGTCTATTATAATAAAACATTTATTCCGTGTCTATTGGAATCGATACAAAATAATTATTTAAAAAATCATATACACTATACCTCTACTTAACTCCTAAACCTATATTTTATCCAGAACAAACTAGGTAGATTTCTTATTTGGAATCATACGGAATAATTTACATGCCTTTTTATAACCATTTTGATGAATTGGCTGTGTATTTTTTGGGTGGGTTTCGAAACCCTAGAAACTAGTTTGGTCAATAAAAATTGGGAGGGATGTTGCCTGTAGAGTGTAGATTGTAGTTACGTTTTGATCCACAAAAACTAGGCCCGAACAAAGTGTTGTAGAAGCCCAATTCATACACACGGTAAAGGCCCAGTTATGTAGGGTTACTTAATTGTATGGAAAATAAGAAGAAGAAACAAAAAATGCGCATCCGGGGAATCGAACCCCGGTCAGTACCGTGGGAGGGTACTATGATACCACTACACTAGATGCGCTTTGATGTTATTATTTCGTCATTGACTTATTTTTCACCTAACGCGCATCGTGTAATTTAACTGGAAAAAAAACATCGGTTCCTGATTCAAAAATGTAAAACCAAGTTTAGGAAAAGAACGAAGGAATCAAAGCAGTGAGTTTAGGCGGAAGATATTTGGAAAATTAGTAGCAGCAGGAGACCACACGGTAGGTGGGTTGTTTTAGTTACTGGTTCGGAAAACGCCAAGGTGGGAACGGAAACGGATACAAACAAACAGATAATCCGATTTATGGCAACGAAGGAATGAATGACAGCTAGTTACCTATCGTTCATTAGCTGGCCCGGCCATATAGTATGAGCAAAGATTTTGGCAGCGATGCGAGGAATTGATAAGCTTTTCCCCAAATCCAAAAACAAGCGCATCCTTCCCATGTGCTGTTGTTCACGCTCAATGAAAAGCCAATGATATTGCAAGCATCCAGAGGCAGCAGCAACTGCAGGTATCAGTTCTACATATTCATTGATTCAACGATATATGTTTCTCTTCTCTGTAGATGCAGGGCAGGAATGGAAGGGAAGGGAAGGCAACTTTCTCAAAGAAAAAGAAAAGCAAATCCAAGGAAGGAGAAGAAGTAAGGAAGAGAATAGAGAGAAAGCAAAGCAAAGGAAGGAAGCCAAGCAGCATCAGTCAGTCAAAGACAGACAACAAAAAGCATCCTCCACCTCCTCCTCTTCCTTCCCACTCACATGCCTCTTCCTTGATGCTGCAAAAAAGTCCATTAACACCCCACCCAACATGAACAAGCTCCATTCTCTCTCTCTCTCTCTCTTCCTAATAACATATTCAATGATACCAAAGACATTCTTTCTTTTCACCTTCTCTCCCCAACTTTCTAAAATAAACAAGAGCTCCTAATTCATTGCTTTGTGATGTATCTTCCCTTGGCCTAATTGCTCCCTTTCTTGACATTGATAATATCCTTCCCAGTCTCACACTTCTTTCCATTTCCCTTTCCAAATATGATAATAATGAGATTGACAAGGAAGGAAGAAGACCCCACAATCTTTCACCATCCCCCTTAGCTCAATCCTCTAAATTCTACCAAAACTTGCCCTTCCTCCATTACAAAAATCACCCCTGTTTTTCCTTCATTAACAACAAAATTGAACCAATCCCAACCCCCCACTTTTCTTACAAAAACAAAAGAATTGTTGAAGCCTCCCTCAAATCTCAATCTGCCTTTTCACTTTTCAAGCTCCCTTCCCCCACCACCACCTCCAGCCCCCTTTCTCTTTTTCCTTTTCTCAATAGTCTGCAAAAACAGGAAACCAACCAAACAAAGCAAAAGCATTACTACATTAACAAAAGATGTGATACTACATTAACCAATGAAACCGCAGCAGCAGCAGATACACCAACAAGATCTTTTAAGTAATAATATTCATCTCTTCTATTTGACATGATGTATTGTTGCTCATTGGGAAAGAAAGAAAGAAAGAAAGAAAGTTCATCCATACATACCATCATGTTTCTTTAGCAGATTTCTTGCAAACATCAGGAAGATCACCAAGAACCCCACTCCTGCTGCCCCTCCTACAATTATAGCCACCGTCTTCCCTGTGTTCTGCCCTGACCCTACACCCACCGCCACCATTTCAATTTCTTTCATCCACCGCATAAACAAATCCACACACCAACAGAACACTAAACTATCTATATTATACAGATACATACATGGTCCCAATCTCATCATTAACATTAATCCCCGTCCACATCCTGAAAGAGACACCAACTCCACACCAAATCCTGCTACTAATCTATCACTCAAATCCTTTTCCATTGGGAATATAAAACCCACAAATCAAAACAGCAGATAAAGCTACATAGGAACCAACCAACTACCAACCCTAATATAAATAATCAGCAACATCAATCACAGCCCAACCGCTCTTTTTTCCTTTCATTCTTGCATACCCAGAACAAAAAGGAAGAAACTGTCTTTGTTTTACCTGGTGAAGGTGAAGAATCAGATGAAGAAGACGACGACGACGACCTCCTGGGAACCCCATTGGGGTAATAGCTATAACTAATGAAGCACTTGTGGAGATAGATTTGGCCAGAGATTGCGTTCCCGCACTCCACCTGAGCTCTCTGGATAGCACTCTTGGCACACTCCCCACAATCCGAATCCCCAACATCTCCCTCGCACTGCCCCAAAACATACATCGATTCGTAGCTCGTTGTGAAGAACCCATGGCCGCTCGCCACGCCATTGGCCAGAACAGAGAAGGCAGTGTCCCTCCTCTCCTCAAACCCGCCCCCGGCCGACGTGGACCGGCCGCAGGTCTTGAACAGCATCTCCATCCCGGAGACCTGAGTGTAGCCGGCGACCTCGTAGAGAATGTAGCAGCCGGTGAGCTGAACCCTGGCGGCAATGGCCTTGCCGCACATTTTGTCGGTCAGGACGGGGAGGCCGCTCACGCATTTGTAGCAGTCGCCGACGGAGAGATCTCCCCTGCACTGGAAGAGCCCCGTGATGGTGGTTTGGCCTGTGCCGGTGGTGGTCTTGAAGAACTTGGATTTTGTGGATTGCTGGACTAGGGTTCCGAAGAGGGCGGAGAGGGCTTGTGAGTAGAGGCCGCTTGGATCTTGGAAAGCCTGCTTTGAGCAGCCCTTGTAGACTAAGGAAGTGTAGTCTGGTGCGGATTGAGTGGGGTTGGAGAAGAAGAGGAGGAAGAGGAAGATAGGAGTGAGATGGAGAATGAAGAACAAGGGGAAACCCATTTTTTTGGTAAAAATTTCCCTTTCTTTTCTCTGTTCTATCGTGTCATGGACTCATGGTGGGGTTTGGAGGTATAGAAGAAAAGGATTAGGGATGTGGGTTTGGATTGGAAATGGGAAAAGATTGAAAATTTGAGATGGAGGAGCTGAGCTGGTTCTGTAGAGTTGGCTAATGGCTACTGCTAACTACTACTACTTCTACAGTCTACAAGTTGCTGCCTTTTGGAGGATTATGCTTTGAATTTCTCGAGAAGAAAGAAAAATTGTAAGGGGTAAAGTTCCAGAGTAGGGTTTCGGTTTCTGGTTTTTTGGTGTTTGGGGACTTCACTTTTTCTTCTCTGAAAATGTGCAGAAGGAGAGGGAGAGAGAAATGTTGAGATGCAGAGAGAGGCAGAGTGAGGTCAGGGGAGCATCCTTTTGCACTGTTTCAAATCGCTGGAAACAGAGAAGAGAAAGAATGGGAGTACAGTATAATGAAATATATACGACCATTTGATAAATAAAATAATAGGGGAAAAAGAAAGACAGGAAATTTTCTTTGAGATTGTGAATTATTGGCCACCAATTTGTTTAGTATTTGAATAGAATGAGAACAAAATAGGGCCAATAAAATAATGTCTTGGGCAGACTAAAATAAAAAGGACAGGGAGAGAAAGAAAAGTAGCAGTGGTAACTGGTAAAGGAGTCTCAGTTAAAGTTTGACTGAAGTAAACGTACATTAGGTAACCAGTTTGTAGAGTGGGAGCGGGAGCGGAAGCGGAAGCGGGAACGAGATTGAGAGCGTGAAAGCGTTTGTTTATAGAGAATTTTATATCGAAAGCATGAAAAGAGCGTCATTATATTATATTATTTATAATTCAAATCAATAATTATAGATAATGTTGTTATATCATAACTAAAAAAATTAACTCAAATGAACTCTTATTAGTTTATGGTAAGAGCCATATTTTTTTCTCTTAACTTTTTTTGACAAAGGACACTGAATTTCCATTACTTGAAGCAAAATCCAACTATTACAGGAGAGGTGCAACCATATCAAGAATTTGCAACCATTGCGAGGGAAGTTGGCTCTTAGCACATGATCTGGCCACCCAATTCGCTTTTGAGTTGTATTTTCGACCGATGTGTTGAATCTTGATCTGCGGGTTATGATCCATAAAATTGTTCATCCGCTAGAATGAGAGAATATGAGTGGGCTTGTTAAATAATAGCTCATTTCATTCTTAATCATTAAATAAAAGCCCATTATAACCATAAAAAAAATTAAAAAAACCCACCATTTCAACTCTTCAAGCTTGTCAATTGTCATCGTTTCCGATCTCTCTCGTCTAGAAGCTGGTCTTCTTTCTCCCCTGCAACTGCCACTTCCTCCCTTTCTCCTTCGTAAACCTAGACAGCAGCCGGCGTTCCAGATCTGTTACTTTCGGCTCTTATCTAATACTTCCCTCACCACATCCCATAATCATTGATCAACACCCTCTTCTTCTACATCGTAAAATCTCTGGTTTCTCCAAAGGGCCTTTCAGTCTTCAAAACACAGATGAGCTCCGCCTCCCACCAATTTCCCAGAAACGCTAGCAAGTCAGCTCATATTTGAACTCGGGTTGCGATACTTTTAATTGCCAACAAAATATCTTTCCCTGCGTAGTCCAAAACCTCCCAAATCAACAAATTCCCTTCCGACTTCCTTCATGCAACCAACCAGGGATTCATCTCCCTCACCAAATCGATGAACTCCTTCCTCGATTTCCCTACCGAACTGTCTATATAAAAGAAATTTGTGAATTAGCTTACGAAGTTTGCGCTCCAACAAAAAGAAATTCGCGAATTTTGTGCGAATCCTTTGGAATTCGCGTTTCCGCGTTCTAGAGCGGGAGCGTCGACCCCTCCTCCACGAATTATGTGACCTAAAACGTACATATATAATATAAAAAACACGTAGCTCATTAGGGTTAACAATTTGAGATTTAAGTTCTTCCGTTTCTGGACCAGCCACCCGAAGTTTGATGAATTACTAAGGACGGCGTGGAAGAGCAGGGTATCAGGGCCACCAATGATTAAGGTTTATAAGAAGTTGCGAATTCTTAAGAATCTATTGAAGAAATTGAATCGTGAGGAATTCTCTGAAAGAAGGGAGAGGGTTAAGGTGAAGGAGGCTGAACTTGAAGAAATTCAGCGTGAAGCTCTCTCAGCTCCAACAAGTGAGAATTTTAAGAAAGAATCCACTGCTTCTAGGGAGTTATATGAGCTGCTTCAGGCGAAGGAGTCGTTCTTAAGACACAAGTCAAGGGATCTTTGGCTTAAAGGGGGTGATTCAAATAGTCCATATTTTCATATGTCTCTGAAAATGAGGCAAAGGAGGAATATGATTACTATGCTCAAAGATGAAGAGGGGAATAAGGTCACAGACCTGCACAGGATGGGAGATATTGCTGAAAGTTTTTACAAACGTTTGCTGGGCAGGAAAGATCCTTAGGTGATTGATGAATCTAATGAGTTCTATACTGAACTCATAAGGAAGACTATTTCTAGTGATGATGGTCTCTGTGCTTCTATTACGGAGGAGGAGGTCAAAGGAGTTCTGTTTGCTATGAATGGGGACAAAATTCCAGGCCCTGATGGATATTCTGCAGCTTTTTCCAACATGTTTGGCCAGTGATTGGGGCAGAGGTAACTCTTGCTATTCAAACTTTCTTTTCTGAAAGTAGGATGCCTAGGGAAGTGAAGGATACTATTTTAACTCTAGTGCCTAAGATCCAGAATCCTGATGAAATGAGGTTTTTAAGGCCAATCTCCTGTTGTAACACTATTTACAAGGTCATTGCTAAGATCATTGCAAATAGACTCCGAGTTCAGTTACTTCACCTAATTAGTCTGAATCAAACTGCATTCATTAAAGGAAGATCAATTGGGGATAACATTCTGCTTGCACATGAGCTTGTTCATAAGTATGAACAGAAAAATGTCTCTCCTCGCTGTGCGCTTAAAATTGATTTAATGAAAGCCTTCGATTCTATTGATTGGCTTTTCATTTGTAAAGTTTTAAAGCACATGGGGTTCCCTGAACAGTTCATAAGTTGGATTAGGATGTGTGTGAGCACACCTATGCTAAGCGTGGGGTTTAATGGAGGGTTAGTGGGGTATTTCCCTGCTTGTAAAGGTTTTAGATAAGGATGTCCGATCTCCCCGTATCTGTTTGTCATTGCCATGGAGATTTTTTCATGTATGCTTGATAAATAAGCACAGAAGGGGTACTTTCCCTACCACCCAATGTGTAAGAGGATTGGTTTAACTCACCTATGCTTTGCTGATGATCTGCTAGTTTTCTCTGATGGTTCTAACTATGGTTTCCAACGATTGATTGAGATTCTAGCTCGTTTTAGAAAACTTTCTGGTCTGCAAGTAAATCCCAGTAAATGTGAACTTTTTTTTTTTAGGGGGGGGGGGGTGTTGCCTGGTCCTGAACAGAAAGTGAGGGCTGATAGGTATGGGTTTGCTTTGGGAAAGTTTCATGTTCGGTATTTGGGAGTTCCCCTCTCCTCGGGGAAGCTCTCTATTTCAGCATGTAAGCCCCTAATTGATAAGATTGTTGCTCGGATTAGTAGCTGGAAGTCTCGTTTCTTGTCATATGTTGGTAGGGTGGAGCTTGTTTGTTCAGTACTATACAGCTTGCACCAGTTTTGGATGGCTGTCTTTATTCTTCCAAAGGCACTAATCCGTGAAGTGGAAGGCATTTGTAGTAACTTCTTGTGGCGTGTTGGTCAAAGTGGTAGAATGAAAGCGAAGATAGGCTGGAAGCATCTCACTTACTCCAAGAAGGAGGGGGGACTGGGGTTGAGGGACTTAGAAACTTGGAATATTGCTTGTGCTACTCGACATATATGGCTTCTGTTATTGCAACATGGTTCTTTGTGGGTTGCATCGATCAATGTTTATAAACTGAAAGGCCAAGATTTTTTTGGCTATATGGAGGTAGTTCTGGTTCATGGAACTGGAAACGGATTCTGAAAACAAGGCAAAAGGTCTGTGCATTCTTCCATCAGCAGGGGCAGGATGTTTACTGGGATCAAGAAAGAATGGAGACTTTTTCAATTAGGAGAGTCTGGGAGACGTACGTTAAGGCCAAAAAGGCAGCACGTAGCTTGGTCTAACCTATTATGGAAGGGAAACTCCATCCCTCATAATAGGTTCATTGCTTGGTTAATCTTGAATAGAGCGGTTACTACAAAAGAGAAGATGTTCAAATGGGAATTTGATGGTAGTCTGGGTTGTGTGTTTTGTAATTGCTCGTTGGAAACTTCGGATCATTTGTTTGCAGAATGTTTGATGTACAGGAAAATGATTTGCAAGCTGCTTGGCATGGGATCAGGGGTGTTTACCTCTCTGGATAACGAGTTGGCTTGGTTACAGCAGGTTTTTGGGTCTCAAACAGTAAAGTCTCAAGTGGGACGAGCTATGTGGCAAAGCTTGGTGAGCGTGGTGTGGCGAGAAAGGTGCAACAGAGTTCATTCGGGTCAGTGTAGGGACTGTGATGTAATGTGCAAGGTTGTAAGGGAGGAAGTTATAGGACTGTTTGGTAAAATATATATGATTCCTTTTGTGTTTCGTAGTATACAGGTGGAAGTTTTGGTTTTGTTAATCCTTAACTAGCAAGGGTGTTGCTAGTACTACTTTTGATGAAATGAAAGCAATCCGATTCATAAGAAAAAAACAATTTGAGATTTTTTCATTTTCCTCCTCTACCCACTAAAGTAAAGGGGAGGGAGAAACCGTTGGGATGTGTTGCTTTCTTGATCCTCATTTATATTAGGTTTTCATGGTACCGGACTGAATATTGGAGGAGCCTCTTTCGATTCAGTTGGGGTGTTTGCGCTTTAATGGAAATGAGGTGTCTCTTTAGATTGATGTTTCTCTCCATATCTTTCTATTAAAAGAGAAGGCCAAATACACTTGTGTTCCAAAACTATGATGATTTTGCCATATATAGCCAATTTTGGGGAAATACCAAAAATAGCTAGAATTTTGAAAGTTGGATGACAATCCGCCGGCGCCATCCTCTTTGCTTCATCTTGTCCGTGATCAAAACCCAGAATCGATTGTTCTCTTCTAGCTCAAATCGGCGATTCTGGAGGGAGAGATCGCGCGACGATGATGATACTGCAACAACGATGAAGATCTGGGTGCGATGGCATAGGGGCGGATCGATGGTGGCCGATAGTGGGAGACGATGGCGAGCAGCGTAACAGGGGAAGATCGATTCGGGGCGAGTTAACTGGTTGGAGAAGATGATGAGAAGGTGAGGGTGTTCTGACGGGTTCGATTTGAAGGGGAAGGAAGAGGATGATGATTTAGGGAACGAGAATGGTGGTTGACGGACTTTCTTTGAATTGTCGGAGACTTGGTTTGGGGACGGTAAGGGGAAGGAAGGAGATAATTTGGGGAACGAAGATTTAGTTAGGGTAGGGATGGGGAAGGAAGAGAGATGGAGAGAGAGAAAAGAAAAAAATAGTTAATTATTTTTTTTTACTATTTAATTACAATCCACGTGGAAAATATATACTGGACAAAAATCGCCAGATCGGATGATCCGTTAGTCCAGTCAGCATGTTAACTAACACCGTCAAACAATTGGACGGAAGTGACTATTTTTGGTATTTCGCCAAAAATGGCTATATTTGGCAAAACCGTCAAAATTTTCGCTACACAAGGTATTTGGCAAAAAGAAAATGTTGGGGAGTCTTGCTCTTACTATCAAGTATTAACTACATCAAGTATCAATTAGTGGACCAACCTTGTATGTAATGGTAACATTGAGGATTGCGTGCAATACTTGAATCAGATTATGATCTCAGTACGTTCCAACACGCTAATGAATATAAAATAAGGTGTTCTCAATTTTATGTTTGTGGACAACATCAGCACGTTTTGATTCTACGGGTCTTTTGTATTGACATCAGCACGTGTCGTTTGGATGAGTAATTGTAACGGATCAATTTGACATAATTGTCTCGTTTTGAGACAGTTGTACTAAATTGTCTCGTTTGCCAGCAAAAAATTTGGATGGATCAATCTGCCTGAGGTATTTTGAATTAATCCGTTTTGAGTCAATTTCAATTACCTGGGGTGGGGTCAGGTAATTCGAATTGACTTGTTTATAAAACGAGACAATTGATCAAATTAACTCATTTCTAGATTGATCCATCCAAACGACCCAAAACGACCCAAAGAAAATCTTAATCGTCAAAATTCAAGGTGGCTTACTCGATCAACAAGTAAAAAAGAGGTACCTAGCTGAGGTAGAGTGCTAGGCCAAATTCGAGTGAGAAGAGAGGTCATTGGATGATTATTGGGGGTTACTGGCTTGTTGGAAATGAAAAATAAGTACAACTATATGAGAAATGAAGAATTAGTAATGAAATTTTTTTTTATGGAAGAATTAGTGATGAATTTAGACTCTTATGAATTTCAAAAAATTATTAATTGGTTGATGGATTTTACTATGAATCTTGTTAAATTGAATTCATAATCCTAGCACTAGGGGCTAAGATCATGTGACTAAATCGATTTCAGCCATTTCACCTCATTAAAATTTAATTGCTCAGATTAATCCAAATTAATGAAGGACAATATAGTAAATATATTATTATTTAATTTATTAATATTGTTTAATTTGTTAATTAAAAGCAATTCTTCATTGTCCCTTCCTCGTCGGTTACAAAAATATCCCGACGTCCTTTCTGGCCGCTTCCTCGTCGGCACCGGTTCCTATCCCTTCCTCCGACGTCCCCTTTTCCATCCGCGGTCCGGGGATTGGTAAAGTTATTCCTGGTGGGGTTTTAGCCCACGATACGTAGAGAGAGAGAGATTTTGACGATCGACGATGGCGGAGGTGGATTTTCCGTCATCGGAAAATTTTCCGACGTCAACGCCAGCTTTGTGGTGTTTGTCGAACTATTTTGTAATGTTTGTATTGTTTATCATTCTAGTTTGTCATTTTTATCTATTATGTTTGTAATGTTTATATGACTAATTTGTATGTTGTAATTTGTAATGTTTGTTTGTCTAGTTTGTATACTTTATGTTATGATTTGTATACTTTGTATTCATTGATTTGTAAAACAAGTTCACTGTTTTGTATTGTAAGTAGTGGCATTTGTACTGTTAGTATGTTTTGTAATGATTGTCAATTTGTTTTTATAATGTTTGTAAGCTTTGTTATTTTTGTAATGTTTGTTGGTTATTTTTGTAATGTTTGTATGTTTTGTCATTCTATTTTGTACTGTTTGTATGGTTTGTACTGTTTGTAAGTCTGTTTTGTACACTTCGTATATTTTCACAATACCCAAACTATCCCTATCAGTAATTAAAAAGCCCTTCTCATATTTTAACCGTTGAATTACTATATCCAGATCTAAGGATTAGGAGAGATTTAGTCAAATGACTAAACACCCCTTAGTCTTCCTCGTAACACCAGGATTATATTATTTTACTCATCTCCTCCTTCGTACTTAGAGTCGCACTATTGGTCCATGGTTGTCGTCTTAGGTTCGTCAATTCAATAATTGCTTTGGTTTTGTTTATGCCTCCTAGCTTTCTTCGAATAATCTCCATAGGAGAATTTCGAAAGTAGGGAGCTGAAGATAATACGTGGCCGTAAACCTTACTATGCACTTACGAGCTAATCTCCTCCTCCTCCATCATATTTGACCCATTGAAACGGTGATTGTTGCATGCGTTTTGTCTATAAGAACTATAGCAATGAGCATACTCCAATTAGTTGTTCGACTCCTTTGTATTAGTATATAATCATAAAACTCCCCAATGAACTCCACCACCAAACCCTCATATACCATGCGCAGTAAAAAAAAGGAAAATTATCAGGTAGCAACTCATCTAGACAGCAATACGAAAAGTTGTTCAACCCTTCACTAATCACTATAACAGCTGGTTACAAAGAGTTTCGGGATATAAGAAAATAGGACACTCAATATCTCTTGATACAATCTCGCTATTTCACTCAAAAGAAAATCTGCTATCTACTCGTAATTGTGAAAATATTTCACAACCAAAACCCACGTAAAGAAATAACTCATACGCTTAAAATCAAAGTAAATAGCTGAAGCAGAGACAATGAGATTAAATTCCCATATGATCACCTCCCAGTCAACATTACGGGTATTCAACAATTTCATTTTACTGATCACTACCACCCTCCATGCTGACTGCAGCGGCGGATTCAGAACATAATAGAGTACTGGACCGCATTTTATTAGGAAATTAGATACCATAAAAAGAATTATAGTTTTTTTTACAATATCAATTGTACACATCGATCTTTTAATATAGCGAATTCATCAATAATGGAGTCTACACCTATACCAATAGCATACTACTCTCTTTCAAATAAAATAATTAACCATCGGCGAGAAATTCATCGCTCATTTTGTTGCGCAAATCATTTTTCATCTGTTCCATTTTTGAAAGGTTCTCTCCATAGTAGCTGCTGAAACGGGCAATGTCAACACCAGACAAATCAATCGACTAATCAATTTGTATTGTGTGTCCATCTCTATTTCCAGCAGTTGCTCTAATAATTTTTCAAGAGAACAAACCTCATATTTCTGTTAGTCTTTTACGTATTAGACTTTTAGAATTTTAGGTTCTATTGTTTGTTTTTATTTAGACGAGAATCATTGGAGCTAGACTTTCTAGACTAAATTTAGAGTTGTGATTTGAATATATTCATGAGACCCATTTTCCTAATTACACACTATTTTATTATAAAATAACACTGATCCGAATGGCTAAAATCGATAAACTTATAATGACTATACTAGCTCCGGATCTAGAGGAGGGCTGGGTCATGACCTGAGGTGGCCACCCCCTGAATCTGCCACTGGTTGACTGTGTATTGAGCCGATGAAATTTGATTTGATTGGTAACAAACAATTTAATAATTTTACATTTTAAATTAGTACCATAATAAAAACTTAATCATCTTGTTAATTTTTAGTTATGAACATATCATTCATATATAATCAAAATCTAGATGGTAACATATGCCGGTTATACACCGATACATAAGTATATGAAGACAAGGTTGAGACTTTCTTGTGTTCTCATTCGATTCAAGCAGAAGTTTTTGGTCTTCTTAATGCCATCTTGCTTGCTTCGCAAGACCCGACACCTACCTACATTCGCACAGGTAGATTGTCAGGTGTTGTCACTTGCCCTGCAACAAGATCCTTCCTCTTGGCCTTGGCTCTATCGAGCCTCCCTGACTAGGATGTCTTCCATCTTGCAGTCATCTCCTTGGATTCGTGTGGAGTTCATCCCTCGACGGCTGAACAAACTTGCGGACTGGGTGGCTTGTCAGACTAGGCTGTGCACTTATGTTCATTACCTGCATAATCTTATTGATCCGCTTATGTAATAATACTTTGGTCTCTGCTTTATCGAATGAAATATAAGGTCCTTAATTGTATAAAAAAAAATACATAAGTAATATAATATACAATTTAATTATTCTCTTACGTGGAAGAAAAAGTAAGCAATGAAGAAGAAGAGGCTCGTCGTGGACCGATCGTGTAACAAAACGCTACGCCACCGACCAATAGAAAACGTCTTCCGTTCACAACTCAATTGATAATAATAATAATAATAATAATAATAATAATAATAATAATAATAATAATAATAATAATATAAATAATAATAATAATATTATTATTATTATTATTATCTTTATATTATTATTATTATTATTATTATTATTATTATTATTATTATTATTATCCAAAATCTAATAGAACAAGAACAGCAACGAGAAATTATAAATCGAAAGTAGCATCTTATGGTTTTCTATTAAACGTTTGGCTGAATTGCTGCTGTGTTGTCTTGATTTCTAATTCCCCTTTTGCCTCTCACGTCAACATTCCTGTCTCCACCGACGAACCCAGGTTCCTTCCGATTGAGACCCACAAGGCCAGGCAGCTCAAATATCGCATCCGACGCGGAAAGTTGCAGACTTTACGTTGCTGTTTGGCTTTCAGCAAAGAGCTTTTTTTCTTTCCCAGCTTGTGGAGAAGCGTGATGATGATCTTTACCTGCTAACCTCGGTTGGTTCGTTGGAGAACGAAAGAAGATGATCGGATTGAAGGAGAAGGTCTCCAATCAGCTGTCTCGCTTATTTGCCGATTCGCCCAATTCCTCTCCTTCTGATTCCGTCGCCTCACGCCCTTCTCATAATTCTCAGGTAAATTCTGTTCTTAGCCCCCTTTCTTTTGTTTGGGCTCTTGTCTTTCTGTTCCGGAGAACCCTTAGCTAGATCTGTCAGTTTTCAGACAATGCTGATGTCGCTGTAGAATATTATGTTCTCTCCATTATGTCATATATGTGATGTTTCTTTCTTCTTAAGACAATCGATCTCGCAGGCATTCAGTAAGTAACTTCATTTTGCTGAGGGTACAATGGTTTTTACTCCCCGCACAAACTTGGCAGGAATTTCTTTCTGGTTTAGGAATTGATGGGAATGTTTCCGATGAACTAGACTTCATGTTGGTTAATAGCATCTCTGTGTTTCTCGTGTAAAGTAATGGTGTTGGGCGTGTATGTGTACGCTTGTAGTGATGGGGGGTTTCAGAAGAGAGAATTACGCCCGTCAATGTTTAGTTTGATACTGAGAAATATGGGGGTTTCATGCTGGACTTGTCAAGCCAATACTGCTTTCTTCTCTTGTGTTTATATTTGTGTTTCTGGTTTCACTCAAATCGGCGCAGAGGGATAGGCGACTCAGTCATTTGAATTTGTAGGGCAGGACAACTAGTCAAGGGGAAAAGTCATTTTCTTCATATTTTTCATTCACTTCCTTGAGCTTTCGAAAGTCTACGTCGGAAAATGGCAAGGACCAGAAAATTGAGTTGGCACCAGCTCCTTCACTTCCAGTAAGATGGAGAGGTAGAGAGTTTGACCATGAAGAGGAACCGAGATATCACGAATGCCAGAAAGCTGGTGAACGTCAAACAGCCATATCTCTTGATGAAAACGAGGATTATTCTTGTCGGACAAGCAGCAGTGACAGTGATGTTTATGAAGAAGCATCTGAGCAGCAGAGTACTCCGAGGACACCACATCTGAAAGATGGGTCGGCGTTTATATCATCAGACTTGTATGAGTTCCTGATGTCGTCCCTCCCTAACATGGTGAAGGGGAATGACTGGGTTTTGCTGTATAGGTAAGTTGCTTTTGATTAACCAACCAACTAGTGATATCCATTTGAGCTGAAACTTATAATGTTTTTGCTAATGGTCTTCTGTTTGCTATTTGATTCGTTCTTTCCCTTGTAAGGGCAGTACGATGAAGCATGGCACTTCTCTTCGCACGCTCATTCGAAAGAGTGCTGACATTTCTGGCCCATGTTTACTGGTAGGTGCAGTTTTCGATATTTCCCCACTTCCACCTTCATTATTTCAGTGCATTTACGGTTCTAGAATTCATTCTTAGATTACTGGAGATAGAAAAGGTGCTGTTTTTGGTGGACTTCTGGACTGTCCATTACAAGCCACTTCTAAGAGAAAATATCAAGTAAAACTTTTCCCTTTACTTTTTGAGTCTCTGTATTATTAGTTTTTTACATTATGTATTTTTCTGTACCTTACCTTGGTATGAACTGAAATGGACTTTATAAAATGTTTTTATTCTGTAGGGGACACACCAATCATTTGTATTCACTACCATATATGGTGAACCAAGGCTATTCAGACCAACTGGTAGGAACTTGTTATTCCAGCTTCGGGATTTGAATGGTTTGACAACTGCTGTTTGTGTATGAATGCACCTTTGTGTTGGTGTAGTTCAGTCAGGTTTTGGAATTTTGTTGCTTACTCCCATTTACGCACGTTAAGTATCGTTCCATTATTTAACACCTTTTGCTGGTTCGTATCATACAGTGTTCTAAAACAAATTATGGAATTAACAACCTTGTGGTTTCAAGTAATGAGCACTGATGGTTGATCACTCAATTGTGGTTCATTCAACATGTTGTGAATGGGTGCAATAATGCTTCCAATTCCACTATATGATAAACAATTGATTTCCAGTTGTCTAATATTAGGTAGTGAAACTTGTGAACAGGCGCCAACCGCTATTATTACCTGTGTTTGGATGACTTACTAGCACTTGGTGGTGGTGGCAACTTTGCTTTACGCTTGGATGGAGACCTGTAAGTTGCCTTTCGTTTCCCCCCATAGTAACAGTCATCTGCTATGCAGTTACTTACTGATCTCTTGCATCGTCTTTTTTTCCCCCCTCCTTTCTCTGTGAAAACAGGTTATATGGAACTAGTGGTCCCTGTGAAACATATGGGAACTTATGCTTAGCCCATGATCCAGAATTCGAGTTGAAGCATGTCGAGGTAATTTGACTTTCATAAATTTCTCCTGCTATGCTAACAATGATCGACCTTTTCCACACATGCCGCAAGAAGCATTCACGCTGTTCTTGCCGGTGTGCTGATATTGGCCATTTGGCCTTAGTGTTGGTTCTGCTACACCATTCACTATATGAGAAACAAATGATGTCCAGTTGTCTAATATTAGGTAGTGCAATTTGTGAAAAGCCGGAGCATCTACCGTCTTACATGTTTTGATTCTAAACTAAAAGGATGGCTTGCTTGTTCATTGTTGCAGCTTTGGGGATTTAAATACTCATCAAAATACTGAAGGGGCGTGACACAGCAAGTGAATGGATTGAATGCTTCAGGTTGTTGAAGAGTGTGATGTGATCCTGTAATTCTTTATTCTTTTAGGGTTGACGATGCTGTGTAATTCCTTGTTGAAATCATTCATTGTTAGGAAGCTACCAGGGACGACGAATAGTTAATCTTAAGAGTAGGGGAAGGAGGATCTTCATTCATAATTAGCTCTGGTTCTAGTTTTGGATTCAGTTGGTAGGGACATATGGTCATGTTAAGCACTGGTTGGAATTCCAACTCCAGTTTTGGAAATTTGAATTCAAGTAGTAGAGTATAGCAGTTGCATATATGTATAATCCTTATCCCGCGCGGAGTTGGGACGAAGGAGGGAGCGATGCTCAGAAGCAGCAGCTAATTTAACCAACCAATAGTTAGAACTTAGAAGACAGATCCCATATTGTTGCCCAAATAATAGGTGAACATCAAGCCGAATTAGCTACAATGGTGAAAGGTGGAGAATTTTTCTCTTGCAACCAAATCGAATAGAACAGAATATCATCATCCGCAAATTCGAAGCTACCGTACAAATCGAACTCTCATTAGCTGTAACAACTAGTGTTTCAGTGAATCTAACAACTCAGATGTTCTAAATACAACGCCCTAGGAAGGTTCATCGACGACCTCTGTTGGAGGCTAAGGAACCCACACCATGGAAACACTTTAGAATCTACCATTTGATCTACTGCTCCCTTGCTGGAAAATTCCTCCGATCCCAGTGGAAGCAAAAATGAAATAATGTTCTCGAATGCCAAAAAGACTAGGTGGCTTCACTCTCCGACCAGTTGATTCCTATGACTCTGGCTGTGGTGCTTCAGCATCTTCATCGGGCAGCCCAAATATTCTGAGGTTTCGATCCATCGATCCTACAGCAAGGTATTTCGCATCTGGACCAAATCTAACACATGTTGCTCTCCCTGCAAGTTAAATTCAGAATCCAAAACCAATCAATACACACGTCTTTAAAAGCAGGACAGCATTAGAGACAATGCAGCAGATACAAGTAACCTGTTCCAGATAAATCGGGAAGAGTTTTGACGCAGTTCCAATCTGCTTTTACACTAGCTACTTGGAAAACTCTGCATCGTCCAAAAAGCAACAGTAAGCAGAAAGATTCAGCAAAGAATCATGAAGAGATCAACAGATCGTTTGTTCTGGCAACTATTAATTGTTGACGCCCTTTTTTACCCAGCAATTATTCATCAACATCTAATTCTGGAAAAGAAACAACATGCCATCCTACCTTATGTCTGAGCCAGCAACTCCTAAGTAAGAGCCACTGTGGTCGAATACCACTGCAACCACAAGATTAGTTCCGATCAATGGAATAAATGTTTACATCATCAGAAGTGGAGATCACGCAATAAAACAAAACAAAACAAAAAGTGACGATAGTCCATCTTAACGAGGAAGCATTTAAAGGAAGAAGCATACCAGAGTTAGTTGGCGTATCTGCATCATAAAGATTCAGACTCCGGAAGTTCTTCAATTTGCGCAAATCCCAAAGCTTAACGCTATCATGTGCAGCAGTCTGTCCAATTCATGTAGATAGCCCAAGATCATTGGCATAAAACTATCGTAATATCTGGATTCAGTATGTTCTACAATTTAATTGAGCAGAAATACTTACAGCAAGGAAGTAACCATTTTCAGAGAAAGATATGGCAGTTACTGGCCCAACATGCCCGTCAAATTTGGCAACATTGGCCTTCAAACAAAAACAGAAAGAAATAAGTTGATGCAATTGTTTAGGTGCCAATTTTTTCAGTATGCTCAACAGCATTGAGTCATTACTCATTAGTACCTGACTTTTAACATCCCAAATTTTGACAATAGCTCCAGACGTGCCAGTTCCAAGAATGAGACCATCAGGATGGAAGGCAGCAGCCGTGTACCCTTCAGGGTTGGAACTGTCTGTGTCCGCAGCAACCTGCAGAATTAAAACCAAAATCCTACTAAACTGTTAATGCATCGAAGCTTACATAACAAATGGGAATTTCAAAAAATTTAGCCATGTGAAATGATGAATAACAATGCATAACATGAAATTAGTAATTCACAACTAAACTTTAGAACCAACAGGACCAATTGTAATAGTGTCAATCCTGTAACACCAACCATTTCCAAAGACAAAATTTTCAAATTGAACAATCAGCCCAAAACGATAAGTGAGTGTCATTACATGTTGGTGTTACTTATTCTTGCATTTGGAAGAAACATGCATCAGAAATCCAGAACATATTCATAATGGTAAATGAGCGACAAAATACAAGGATTGTTCCAAAAAAATCACCTGAGCTAGGCATGAACCCGAAGAAAGATCATAGAAGCACCATGTATTATCAAGAGAGGCCGTCACAAAGTAGTTATTTGTGGCATGGACAGTGACAGCTTGAACCTGCCCATGAACATGAGAATCTCAGCAATGCTGCAACTTTCACTAAGCTACCAACAGCTAACACCATAATGCCGCGCATCATATACACATCAGGTTTTATACTCTTCAAATAAGAACATCCTTTATATTAGATAGGTTTGCCAGCGCAAACTATCGCGGCGACATACACACTCCAAGGAAAGTCACCTACCTCAGCAGTATGATCCCGCAAAATGTGTCGGCAATCATAGTTCCCATCTTCAGATTCTTGCCATATACGAACAGTCTGCAATATTTTATATAGATCATGTATAGTACACAAAATATAAGGGTGCGCATGACAAAAGCTTGTGCATTCGAATGGGCAAGAATGTTGATTATAAAAATAATTTTGCTAGGTCAAACAACCCATCAAGATCTGTTCATGGGAGGCAAAGGGGAAAAAATGAGGTTCCAAAATTCAAGATAGTGAAACTATTCATACCTTATCGGCTGATCCTGTCAAGAACGTTCCACCATCAGCTACAAATTTCACACTAGTAACCTGAGATCAAATTTATGCCATGAGCAAAAAGTTTTACTTAGAATAACAAGTAGCAGCATCAAGAGAAGAAGAAAGTAAAGGAAAAACCTTCTTTGAGTGACCACTAAGTGTTGATCGGATTTGTCCTGATGAGCGATCAAAGAGTACGGCTGTGGAATCAACTCCTCCAGTGGCAATAATGTCCTAAAGAGAAGGAAGGGCAAACACAATAATGAATTAATGCAGAGCTTTCAAAAAGGGAGGTAAGATAAAATAGATAGCTTTGGCAGATAACATAAGAACTCAATTAAGTAATTTAACTTTTAGCTCCATGCATCATCTTTTTAGGCGATAACCATGGCAAAACAAAAGTGCATTCTGTCAAACTAGGATCACTGGATCACAGAAAATTAAACTAAGATATGAAAAGGAAACTTGGATAATGCATCCCACAATGACCCAAGCATGTGTAACTATGTGAACCAGTTAAGTAGTTAAGGGCAGGGCATGTGAAGGAATGTGGCAGATAGATTGTCCATTTGGGGTTATTATGTTGAGTGAGAGTATACCTTGGAATGCAGGATGTCAATAGATGTGACTCCTGGCTTGTTTGTCTTGTGAAGTGGATGACTGGAAAGTTGGGTGTATCTCCCCAACTCTTCAACAGATGCCAAGGTTGGAGGAATCTGGTAAACAATTAATGAACTGGAATTAAGGCCTTGGGATAATTTAGTGAGAGACTAGAAATGCCCATTGTCTAAATCCATGAACATTACCTGTCGCCTTTTACGTTGCTGTGAAAGGGCAGCATTACATTCTGTTAGCTCAGTAATTATGTCAGTTGAAATTCCTTGACGAAGCTTCTTTCCAGGAGGGGCCAAATCATCATCATCCGCTGCTACATAAGTATCAAGAGAACATACTTAACAAGAATAACTAAAATAACATCAGCCAACAAAAGCAAGCATCAAAACAGGAAAAACCTCTTTTTCCATTAGCAACAGCAGAAGTATTAGCTGCAGCAGTTGATGTGGCCGACATAGGAATCTTTCTATCTGACTGTGCAAGCAATGCTCTTGCTTCATCCCTTTCCTTTTTAAGTCTTGCAATTACACGGCAGGCTGCATCATGCTGGGAAAACAATATTCCACATAAGCAAATTTTGACAGAATTTGATCAGAGCACCATGCAACAGATGAGTAATACCTTGCCAAAAATAATGAGTCTAACCCAAGCAAATGGCATTATGAGATAAATGGCAATGATAAAACCAAAAAGTTCAAGCAACTTTGTTCACAAAAAGCAATTGCATCTGAAAATGCTTAATCTAAACATCACAATATTCTTCAATATTTTCTACTAAGACAAATGATGAAAAAAACAACAATTATCAAGACATAAGTTAACATATCATGCTACATGTCATTACACCTTTGCAACTTCTCAACAAGTATAACAGATCATGAAAACAAACCTGGTAGAGTGCATGACTGAGCTCCTGTCTTGCAGTATGTAGTTGTTGTTCCAAAGCAAAATTGGATAACATGAGCCCATCCCATTCCTGCAATTAGAATTTCCTTGCTATATAGCGTAAGAGTGGTAAAGCTAAAAAATCAAAATACATAAGCCAGAACCTAAATCTCCTCCAACAGGAATTTATAACCAACAATGAGACAACATTAGAATCCAGGTACCGATAACACCCTCTGAATAATAAGATAACTTGTGTAATATAACAGATAGCAGCATAGCAAGGAATGACAGACTTAATACATACATTCTGAAACATGCCAAGCATTCCAGGAATGCTAGCGGTCTGAACGGTTCTGGGCTTCACAATCTACAGGGGGAGAAAAAGGCAGCATTCAATATAGAAAATGGTACTGAATTCTGAGAACTTGCAAAGTACACAAAATAGTAACATTTTCCTTACACACCTTCCCCATTTTAATGGGTATCAGATCATCTCCTGTAAGAGGTTCCCCAGTTACGGGGCATTTTCCAGTTTCCTGAAGAAGAAAAAAATGCAAGCAATGGGTAATTTATCATGTCAGAATCGAAAATTTCAGCAGGATTACCAAGAACTATCATTACAACCACGAGTAGATCTCGAAGAGGTTGCCATGAAAAGTTTAATTGCCGAACTCTCTCATTACAAGAATACGACAAGTTGAAGCCTATTCCATAGTTATACCGGCTCATTCATTCCAGCTGTCAGAACAGTTAGAACAATTGAAAAAAAGATTGCAGGATGTCATTCAAACAGGATATGGTTATCCGAGCTCTCAACAAAACATGATTCAAAGGAAAATTTTGACCAGCACAATGGACATCATCCTCTAAAAGATGTTACTGTAGCATAATGGGCTAACTGCCTAACTAGCACCACACAGTTTCTTGATAGCTCACTTCCCCCAGGAGCCAAAGAAGTAACAAAGCCAGTTGAAAAGGAGAACCCCTAGGCAAAATATTATCCCCGAACAGACAATAAACACAAATTTCAAGCCACCTTCCGGGAAGGAAAGCACAGAAGAAGAAAAGAAAAAAACCCTAGATTCGTTAAACCACTAGAAAATCACAAAACAGGGAGGAGGAAGGCGTAACATGACGTACATGAATGAACCCCTCGATTAAGCGCTTCTCGTATAGAAGGCCAGACTTGGCGTTCACAACGGGCTCCACCGGCACGTCGCCAGAGACTGGTACACGAAGAAGAAGAAGAAGAAGAAGAAGAAGAAACAGATAGATAAGCTGAAATTGTTTGAGACAGAGCTCCACCATTGATAACTGAGGGAAGAGAGAAGGGGACGGGGGAATTTACTTGCACACTGCATTGTTGAAGATAGCTAGGGCTTTCGCCGGAAAGCAGCAAGTAGTAATCGAGGGAAGTGCGAAGGTCGACGACGACGACGACTGGGGAAATCCGCAGCAAAGCACCGCACGCAGTCTCCGAGTAGTAGGAGCAAGCCGAAAACAAGACAGTGAGCGAGGAAAAGGGGGAAATTTGGAGCCATTCACCACAGACAAGGAGTTGGGCTCCGGGAGGCCCAACAATACTATCCCATACTTTGGTCCACATGACAAACATATTTTGTGAGGCCCAATAATACTCACTGCTAGCTAGTAGTAGGAAACCTACTAATTTGTGGGTTAATTAATAATTAGCATATAAATTGGTCTCAAAACCTTGAACATTGTATATAACGATTACAAAATTTTCATTTTGCACGATTGGGTAACATATGTGTTGGACGACGTGGACTGTTGATTAGACGAGTTTGATGGATATTTGGATGGAGATGGATGAAAATGATCATTTTGTTACACATCCAAACTTGGTATTATCATTTTGTGTTATCATTTTGGTGCAAAATGAAAATTGTGTTATCATTTTGGACAAAGTCCAAATTTTGTGACCCTTTATGCTAATTAGTCGTAGGTTTATGCAAGGGGTTGTTTGTATTTTTTCTTTTAGATTCTGTCGGTTAATTTACTTTATCAGTTTAAATAGAGATAATATCACAACAAATACTAAAATTTCATGAAATTGTCATTTATATTCCATAATTTCAACAAAGACATAAATATTCCAAACTATGGGTTGAAAGAATACTAATTGCGGATCTTATACTACTTTATTGCACGTCCTTTCAAACGAAACATCTCACGCCTCACGGGGTTAAATTTTGCACATGCTCATCATACATAATGCTTAAACCGTCTTTTAACATTGAGGTCGTGGAGATTCAAATATACAATCACTTAACCAAACCAAATTTGTTATGATGCAATAAATTGTTTGCTCCCTATAACTAATTTTTTTGGGAGAATGCTCATTATGAATATTTTATCACTCTCTTTACACTTGGTAACAAAAATAACTTAGAAGCTTATTAATGGTATCAAAGTGAGTTGTTCGAGAAGCATGTGTAAACTGACTAACGATAAGAATATCGTAGGCTCTGCATTTATGTTGCCTAATCCGACTCCTAGTTGTTAAGCACATAGTCATTAAGCATCGTAGACATTGGTGTGACATCGACCGACTCCAACCCCATGGGTTGGAAATTAATCATCGTACACTCTAAGACACCATCTCCATGAACAATTATTCGACCTACATCAAAGTCTTCCTTTCTTTAAGGTTCTCTTTGTTTTGTAAATTCTGAAGTTACACAATGTTCTGTGCTTCACTATTCAGGGCAGGACACGCAAGGGTAGCTAGGGCATTGGTTCTGTATGTATCGTACCAAAATAGATGGCACCCGACAGAAAATCCCAACACATAAATCCCCAAAACACCAAAATCATCATCCAATTATTCATAATAATCAGCCTGGCATCCACATGTGCAAATACCATAGTCCACAAATCTTGGTATGCGTTGATTGATTCCCATCTCCATCTAATTAATCAAGTATATTGCAAGATCTAAACCTGTATTTTGTAAGATAAAAAACACTTGATAGTAAAGTGTATGTGATTTCGATCGATAATTATATGATTAAATTATGTATTAATTATCGAGTTAGAGAGATTTTTATTATTTCTTTTATCATAGTATTGTAAGAGTTTTAACGGTTTTGCGGTAATTGTTATGTGCGTATTATTATACTCTAAATTACAAGGTTCAAGTGCTTCAATATTTGATTCGTCTGTTTTGCTTTGCGTATGACGTATATATTTCTTGACGTATGAGTTAAGGGGCGTTGGGATGAGTTATTGTGACGAGTTATTATAAGAGTCGAAACAACTCACAAAATGATTCTGTGGTATTTGTGAGTTATTTCGGAATAATTGTCTTCCCGTGTGGTATTCTCAATAACTCATTATTCAGTTATTTCATAATAGCTCGGTACAAATAATCCATCACAACCTTTTGCACACAAATGGATTATTTGGTACCAAATAACTCATAACAATAACTCATCCAAAATGACCCCTAATTTCATCAACGTAACGAATCCGAGCCAACATATTTCATTGTTTCTCTTTAACGAATCAATTCCCTCTCGATACCGAAGAATGAGCATACATATTTTGTGTAGCAGTACTATGACCACCAGAAACTCAACCAACGAAACAAATCACACGACTCTGTGTTCTTAATTTGTTTCGGGAAGAGAGAGGACAATGCATAAGAATTTAGAAAGAGTTTCGGTGCACGAAAAACACATGTCCATAATTCAAAGGTGGGTATTTTATGAAGAATTGGTTCGGACAGTTCACCAGTTCGGCTGAACCGAGCCAATTCCAATCCAAACGCCGTTTGGCTATTACCTTTTCGGTTCCGATTGTTAATCCTTCCCCTCTTCGTTTCCGATTCACACCACGAAATTTTAACATACGCCTTTAATCGGGATACGTGTTGCGACGCAACCACGAAGCACCCCCAAGGATTTGAATTTGTTGAACAACTAGCTAGTAATGAATTAACTTTGTGTTGAGGGATGAGTGACCAAAAAGCTGGCTACGGAAGCTAGCTATAAGGGTACGTTGATTGAATATATGCTTCGAATTGAAAGGGCATCGATCCATCCGGCCCCCAAAGCGATGAATTTATGATGTGATTACAAACAAAAAAATGTATGTCTTCTTCCTTAGCCCACTTTAGTTTCAGACCCCAACCCAGTTCCAAGGAATCAGTAGTGTTTCGTCCTTTCAGACGTCCTCGAAAAAAGCCCTTAGCGTATCACAACAGGACACACCTCTCTTTATTTGCTTTCACAGTTTGCATGGGATTGGAATATTTTAATTTCCACAGAACAAGGGAAAAGGGAGAAAGAAATGAAACCCACTGTGAGATTTTCTTCTGCATTTTCCGAAGAATCTTTGCCAAAAGGGGAAACACGAAAGGATTGGATTGGAGACCATTTACCAAGCTTCAGGACTTTTTTATTCAATTTTTTCGAAGGAAATCGTATTTCTTGGTCATGGTTTTCCCTGCAAACAATCGCGAAGTCGAGAATAAAAAAATGAGGAGATAGAAAAAATAAATGATAATAATGTCCTCCTATAATTGAACATATGTTGTTCCATATCTTATAACCTCAAATAAAATATTGAGGAGGATTACAGTTAGTGCGGGAAGTTTGGTACATATATTTAGGATATTACCGAATATATCACCATTTGGTATTACTGAATATCGGCTTATTTTTTAGGAATTAAGATTGAGATTCATTTTAAAGTGTTATTCGGGATTACGGGATTGAGATCGGTATATACCGAAATACTGAAAATTGAAAATTAATGAAATATAACACACAACATTTTGTCATTCCTCACTCTTTCAAAACTTAGAAGCCTCCATCCAACTCAAATTTGACTTTCCAGATTAAGTCACTATCGTTTCTCACCTAATCTCTTTTTTATTTTCATAACACCAAAAAGCAAACAATAGTATTAGACTATTAGTCGTCTCTTAGCCTCCAATTCATCAAATTAAAGATTACCAATGACAAGAATTTGAGGTGCCACCTCTCGTTCATTCTCCTTATCCATATCCTAGCTCTAGGCAAATTCGTGACTCTTTGCTTAGTTTCTTTGCCCTAAATTAAACAATCAAATCTAATTTATATATTTAATTATTAATTTTAAAGGTAATTAATTTTGTATTCGATAATATTGATTGGAATATCGAAACATTTAGGGATTGGGATTGGGATTGATTTTAGGTTATAATTCGGTATTTGGTATTGGGATACCGATACCGTACCGATTTTTACCCCCTAATTATAGTCCACCTTTTATCACATGCAGCTAGTGATGGCAATGGGTGAGGCATGATGGATACTTCATTCATTACCCTACATGCTTAGCATAGACCAGGTCAGACAATATTTGCACGGGCACGGTACGTGGCATGTTAAAACAATTTTCATGTTATTTGAAGAAAAATAACACAAAAAATTTACTTTTTTTTACGAAAAAACAATTCATAAAATGAAAATATAGATAACAAATTGAATAATGTGGTCTAATTAATTGAAAGATGAAGTGTTTTACTTATTCAAAGTTTTATTAAGGTGATAATCCGAATTAAAAAAAATCAGAAATGAAAATTTCAAATATATACTAATTCAAACCAAAACAAAATACAATGAGAATGGGACAAAAATAAATAATACACTTATCATGTACCGTGCTACTACAGATCGAATGATACATGTCCCAAACAGATCGGATTACATGTGTTAAATAAAAAATTACCATCCCTACTACATGTAGTTTAGCCACCAACTCAGATATGTTAATATTTCTGAATATTGACGACGAATGATTAAAGCGCAAACAAAAGAAAAACCAACTCAAATTATTAGGAAACAAGGAAATTTTCATTAGATCACAAAGGATCCAAGCAAACATGGAGAAGCTCGGAACACAACAACACATGTCCGATGAAGAGTGAATTACCCTCGTTGAATTACCAGTTGACTGGATTAATTTAGAAAAAGAAATGACCGGATCTAAGAGGAGCTCGCGGTGAATCCAAGCCCCCCGGTAAAACCGGCAAGGTTAAATTCGTTTACAATTTAGAATGTGAAGGACATACTAGTCATTTTATTCCGGCGGGGAAAATTCCAACTTAACGGCAGTGATGACGGAGATGGAGACTCCCCGGTCAACCCTTCAACGTTAGGGAGCGCCACGTAACCGCATTGCGATGGAGCGGGCCCCATGATAATAGCCACTTGGGCAAAGTGGTGGGGAGACATGGTCCAACGCGAATGTCGGGGGTGGAGGGTAGGCCACGCTGGCAAGGGAGAGACCCGTACGAAACGTTAACTAACTTTAGAAAATTCCCGCCTTCGCATGCAATTGTCATGCCTCTTTTCCTTTTCTTTTTACCCTCCTACTTCTTCGTATCCTCGTTTCACGGCGGCATAGAATTTAACCATTTCACCTCGTTTTTTTTACCTTTACAAAAGCTACCAAATTGTCTCGTTTTCCTATTTCACCGACATTCACCGAGATTTCAACGATAAAAAAACACATTTCAAACACCTTCTAGTTGTTATTCATTCCCCCACTCTCTCTAATCTCTCTTCAAGCTTTGGTTTTTGGTTCTGATTTGTTCGATCATCGTTTCGTATCATTTTCTCATTTGCACCAGTTTGTAGTAGTATTTCGTTATCTTGTTGGGATTGAGATCGTTGAAGAAGAAGCGGGCGTCAAACGAACGAGTCATCCCCGGATGTTAGCTAGCAGACACGGAATTTGTTGATTTTTGCTTTGTTCGTCCCTATTTTAAGATATAAAAAAAGTGTACAAGAAAATAGAAGAGACCGAAAAAAATTAATCACTTTAAGAAAATCAAATTTCGGAAGAAACCATCATCTTCCTTTTAAAGAAAAACAAGACGATGTTGCAAGACGTGATTCACCAGACGTCGGAGCAACTCCCACTCGTAAGTTTTCTTCCTCTATTATACTCCCTTGTGGTTGGCTTTACAGTCCATTTAGGGTTTGTTTCGAGTTCTTTCTTCTTCTTCTTCTCAATTTCATTCTCCTCGACATGTATGTTGTTTTCCATGGCGATGCATGCATGTCTTCACCACCTACAATAACATCATCATCATTCAGTATATTTAATTTTCTCAAATTTTGCTTAATTCAACATATAAAACAATTTAATGAAAATAGCACTTTCGAGATCCCCAATATAGATACAGAAAGTTACGAGATAATTTCTTCTTCATTCGTTATATTTCTAAGTTAATTCTTCATGACTCGATTACTTTAAACATGGGCATAATTCTCCAATGATGTAGCCGTAGCACATCAATTCTACTCTCCTTTTCTCACTTGGCTTGAACATTGGAAGAAGAAAAAAAAAACTAGCTACCTTTTCCTACCTCCTTTATACCCTCTTATCAACAGTGGAATAATAATTGTTGAATTCAAGAAAACCATGTCTTCCTCTTTTCCTTTCTGCAGCAAGAGCAGAAGTGATTCCTTTTTGTTGAGATTAAGTGGCAAATGACCCAAATGACAATGGCCACTCAAACCCACAAATTTTTTCACTCTCACATGGATAGAAGGGTTGGATGCCCTTTTCAGTTCTAGTAGTAGTTGTATGTTCCCAACTCTCTCTTTGTTTTCCATTTCTGGTCTGCAACATCAACAGCACAAACTTGCACTTCCTTCTCCCATAACCTTTCCCCTTCCTTTGTTACTGTCCTATTCACCCAGCCCCTTTGATCTACCAATCTTAGTCACAAAAGTGACTTCTCCTACACTGTCACATGGAAGCATATATACACACTTCTTTATTTCCCACTTTAGTGAACACCCACTATTGCTGTTCTTGTCCTTGTCTACACAGCTTCTTGACCAAATTTGGATCAGTTTGCATTTGGGAATCTCTGCAAAACCCATTACAAGCATTCCATTCATTTCATTCCCCCTCTCCCTATTCATGTATATATATGTCTCTGTTAAAAGCCTAGGTAACTAATTCCAACCAAAGAACCAAACTTGTGGTTGCTATGGTACATGAATTTTGCTACGAGAATCTGGTTCCCGCGGGTTTTCGATCTTCTGATGGAGGAGTTGCTTTTGCAGGACGATGTGTCGAGCCCGATCAACGCTCAGCTCCTCGAGTTTTGTGACTCGGACTTCTTCCAGGAGACGATGCAGAACTCGGATGTTACATCTAGCTCCAATTGCTGCTACGACGAGAATTCTCCCTACACAACAAACCTGTCACTGCCTCCTGATTTGGAGAAGTACAACAACAACAACAACACTGGGCAGGACACCAACAATTGCAACACAACCAATAGCACTAACAACAACAACAACAACGGTCCAACGACTAGTAACACAACCACAAGCACCACCAGCGCCGCCACGGCTGCAAACACCACTGCCACCACCACCAACAGCAGCAACCTCTCCTCGATACTGTTCGACTCGCAAGACGAGCTGGACAACGACATCTCTGCCTCCATCGACTTCACCTCTTCCCCTGTAGCCTTCTCTGTTCCTCCCTTCTCCCACAACAACTTCGACTTCACGTCCATTCACCCACATCACCTCACATTGTCGGATTGCCTAACCGATCACCATGCTCTCTCCCACTACTCATCATCGTCTCCCGTAGCAGCAGCAACAACCGATCATCATCATCATCAGCATCATAATCATAACAACCAAAATATCCCTCAATTCATGATCCCTTCGCTCTTCGAAGAAGATTGCTTGTCCTCTGTCCCTTCCTACGTCCACCTCAACCCTGCCTCCCCTTCTTGCTCCTTCTTGGGGACCAACTTCACCACCTTCATGCCTTCCGGGGCCATGTCGGCTGTCGACAACTCGGGGATTTTCACCGCCGGTGGGATTTACATGGGCAGCGATCAGTTGTTGCAGAGTCAGGAGCTAGATTACCAAGGGGACAATGGTGGAATCTACTGCCCATCTGACTCTCTTCAGCGCGTTTTTAACCCCTCCGACCTTCAGGTAAATGGAAATATGAGCAATCAAACCACTTTGTTCATTCAATTTAATTACTGTTAATCTATGTGTCTCTAACCCAATTCCATCCCTTTTTGTTCAGGCGTTCAGCAATGAGACAAAACAATTGGTGGGTGGAGCACCAAGCTCGACGCCATTGACGACAGAGTTGGCGAGTTTGGAGGATTCGAGTTTCAAAGTAGGGAAGCTATCCGTTGAGCAGAGAAAGGAGAAGATACATAGGTACATGAAGAAAAGGAACGAGAGGAACTTCAGCAAGAAAATCAAGGTCGGTCGGTCTGTCTGTCTGTCACAAAATTCCCCTGCATCTCCTCTGTTTTTCACCCCCCTTCTCCTTTTCAATTCAGGAAAATTAAAGCTAGCAACTTTATGATAATGGCGTACTAAATTAAACGTGGGTTGTTGCTATTGTATTGCAGTATGCTTGCCGGAAGACGCTAGCAGACAGTAGGCCACGAGTCAGGGGAAGGTTCGCAAAGAATGACGATTTTGGAGAAACCAACAGAGCTGCCTGCAGCAACCACGAAGAAGAAGAGGATGATGAAGTAAGTAATTAACTGCTTCTTCCTTTACTCCTTCCACCTCCGTTTCTTCCATGGTGAAGTCAGATTTGAGTTGAAATTTGAGTAATCTAACAGTTATCCTTTTGTTGAAAACGTTTTTAGCAGGTAGCAGTGAAAGAAGAGGTGGAGATGGTGGACCAAGCTGCTGATATATTTTCACACATCAGTGGAGTGAACTCCTTCAATCGCAACTACATCCAATCATCATGGATATGACAGACTATAGAGGAACAAGGAAAGATTTATTACATGACAACAAAGTATAGGATGATCCCAAATTACCCTGTTTAAAGTTATTAACCCCAAGAACCCTAATACAAAATTTTTGAGGAGGACCCTTTTCATCATCAGCCAGGGGAAGCCAAGAAAGACAGGAGTTTCAGTAGCTGGAGGGAGAATGATGTGATTGGGTTAATGGAGATGTGATCAAGCTCCCTCCTCTGGCTTTGAACTGAAATTATAGGGTTGATTAATTATACTTAACTTAAATTATTATACAAAGAGATTAAGTCAGTCAGTGAGGAAGGGTATAGGAAAGTTTGGAATAAAGACTGTAATTTTTGTAGATATGTGTCTTTATTTGCTGTAATTTTTTTTGGTGGGGATTCACTTTCACCCCATCTTCTTCAGCTTCGTGATTTCAAGTCCTTTTTGGTTTTTGGTTAATGGCCAGGAGCTGATATTGTGTTCTCAGGATTTACTTTGCTGAATAAGATAATGTGTAATTACTCTTTTTTGTTGGTTAAAGTATATACAAAGCAATAAAAAACAATAGATTATTACTTGGTTCTCTCTTTAATTTGCACAATCTATTTGCTAAAAGCAATTTTACATGAATTTCTCCACAATTTTTTTTTATATAGATAGATATATAGTTATTTCTACCAAAGTACACAATACTTTATTTCCCAATTTAAGGTTTTTCACCTTTTGAGATCTTTTATGTTAGAATTTTGTGATTTCTCAATCTACTCCAAATTTAACTTTTTGGAGTGGAATTCTAATCCTTTTAAATTGCAAGTAACAAGGAAATTGAAATCAACGGTCTGTTACCCACGAACTTTAAGCTAATGAGAGTATTCACACTCGATTGGGCCGTAATGGGCCTTGACTCGATTAGCTTAATCAATTAGGCCGTAATGGGCCTTGACTCCATTGGCATGGGTTGCATGTCTAATTCTGCAGCTGCCTTCCGTGTCCAAGCCATCATCAGCCCACGGCCCACCAAAAACCACAACGTAAACAAATCAGAACCGCAGATAAAGAAGTAGGGTATGCCTGTACTGAGATGCATATCCCCTAACTTGTACTTTTAGGTCAACCTCATATAGGATTAGATCGACCTAATCTGTACTTTTAGGTCGACCTCATATAAGATTAGGTCGACCTAATATGCACTTTTAGGTCGACTTCATATAGGATTAGGTCGACCTAATATGTCGTTTCAGTATTGTGAGGTTCCCGAATACACTAATGTGGGCACCCTGATAACTTATCACAATCGACCTTTAAAATGTAATGGTCGACCGTTTCTAGTTTAAGTTGTCATTGTTGGTCGACCATAATAAAACATCGGTCGCCCTTTTCATTGGCGTCAGAAGCAAAATGGTCGACCGTAAAGGTATATAGCTCGACCACTTGATGGCGGTCATTAACAAAATGGTCGACCATTTACAGAAAGAGGTCGACCAGATAGAAGAGAAGTGTTGTACCCATTTATCCATCATCATTTGACGTAAAATGAAGATCAAGTGTTGGTTTGGCGGTTGACCGTTGACCTAATCCAGTACGAGGTCAACTGAATACAAGAAAATCAACAAATTCCTTGCGTCTTTTTTGCTTATGTATGTCGATGTGAGTGGTTCTTTTGCTCGTACAAATTACGTTTCAAAACAACAGAATCAGTCATAAATAATGATAACAAGGACTCATAAATTCCACGTGGTCGAAGGTGACATATATTCGTATTTATAGATATTTAGGACGAGAATGGGTCGAATTAAGTGGTAGATAAGTTAGGGTTACCTTTCTGGTGTTGGAATCCTTATCCAATACGAATACGGTGTGCGTGCGGTCGACCTCAGTTAATCAAAATGATCGGCTATGAGGTATTTGGGTCGACCTTTCATTCTGTTCGCTTCCCAAAGAGGTCGACCATTTGCTATAAAAGGTCAACCGCGTTGTTGAACCTCACAAAACTGAAACGACATATTAGGTCGACCTAATTCTGTATAAGGTCGACCTAAAAGTGCATATTAGGTCGGCCTAATCTTATATAAGGTCGACTTAAAAGTGCAGATTAGGTCGACCTAATCCTATATGAGGTCGACCTAAAAGTGCAAGTTACGGTGACCTGCATGTCACCGTAGCAAAGTCCAAAGAAGTAATGCCTATGTTTGGCTCGGCTTTTAGAAGTGCTTTTCGGCTTCAAAAGCTGAAGCATGGCCAAATACGTTTAAAAGCTCGGCTTTTGAAAAACCGAAAAGCGTTTTTGTATAACATAAAAGCAGAAGCTCCGATTTGGAGCTTCTGCGAAAACTGTTTTGAAAATACAAGATTATTCTTACCATATTTTAATTTTATTTCAGAAAATATAATTTTCCTTCATTTATATTATTTTAAAAATACAATAAATTATAAAATCATATTATTTCATATAAAAGGAATTTAACAAGATTCATTTTGACTACTTTTTATTGTTTAGAATTTTTATTCATATTTTATCTTATAAGTCATTTATAGTTATTTTACACAACCTCTTATATTAAAAAGCACTTCTAATAGTTTTACAGTCAAACACTAACTGCTTTTTTTTTTAAGTACTTATCTAAAAGCTTCAGACAGAAGCTGCTTCTGCAAAAGCTACAGTAAGGCCAAACTAAGCTATTATTTGTTGGAAATGTGGATAGATGCGATCATGCAACTTATTTATATTAGTAAATTAGAGTCCAAATAATATATAAACACACATAAATAGTAAAGTTAATCCTAACACTAATAAAAAGAGGGTGTCCATGAGAACATAATTAATTGTGAATTTTGAGCCTTTTGAGTAAATTTAGAAAGGACAATTTTGTCCTCTTAATTATAAAAATTCCAATTTATTAGAAACCATTTTTTTTTACTGTACTAATGGAAAAGAGATTCCGTAGGGATCTTTTTAAAACAAATTATTATTGTATTATTTTTTGTTAGGCAAGATGGTTGCGTGTATAAAAGTTTAGTTTGTTCATTTTTTTAATTTTATTATTAGGTTAAGTGCCTGAGACAAGTTTTTATATGTGTGAATTTGCTAATGAACTAATTTTTAATAAATTAAATTAATTATAAAAAAATTAACTTAAACAAACCCAATACTTTTCAACTATAAATTTGAATTTGAAATTTTCCGTAAAATAAAAAATTCAATGTGTTACTGAGAATTGATAATGGTGAGGAAATTTATTAATTAATTATAAGTGATTGTCTAATTAATTATTAGTTTATTTCTCAATTTTTCTTTTAGGTATTGGTTCTGTCTCAGACAGATGCAATGTATGTCATAATCACCATCTAGAGACTAGAAGTTCGATGTTTAAAATCAGTAGCTAGATAATTTTTTCATAGAATATTTTTTTGAACAACGATAACAAAATTAAGAGATCATACCACCTTAAATCTAGGTTTGGATTTATAGTTTTCTTTTACCATAGTGACAAACGGACAACTCCATTTTTTGATCAAATATTAGTCGGAAAACTATATTAGTGCGATGATAATTCTTATCAATATTTCATTTGACACTCACATATTATTTTGTTCTTCTATGCATGTTTCAGTATTATTTTAATTTTTCAGTTAACTCATACGGTTGTTAACTACTATACTTATTGATTCTATGCCTCGAAAATATATTCGCCTCGGAGAATCATCTAATTGACAATAAGTGCTCCAGTACGATCTTCTTACAACCAAGTACAAAGGATTGAATTTTGGTGCATACCCTCTTTTAGTTACAGCTGACACAAATCTCAAGAGCTATAGTTAAGGGTTTTTCAGTTTCTCGCAAATTAACCGAACTATATCTCATTCGTTTCAACTCTGACTTAAAAAATTTTGAATTAAAAAATATATTCATTGAAATTTGCCTAAGAAAAGTTGAAGAAGACTACGATGGATCATTCTATAAGAATTATACAACAATATCAAAGACAACAACACTTAAGTAATAATCTACCTCTACTCTTCTGTTGTTTTCAACTTCAAGGTCATTCATTCGAGAGAAAACAAAATACCAACTAAAATATAAAGTTTTCGGCCAAATAGTGTATCTCAATTGTAGTTATTTTATAGATTCAAGACTAGCTGCGAGTTGTAGACAACATGGTTTAATCTAACTTTATTTGTTTATAGTGAGCGAGCTAGATTTTTGGAATGTATACTCAGAAATTACTCAAAGATACTGACAAAATGATAGAACTTTCACCTCCTCATCGCATCCAAACTAAGAACATGAAGTTAGATTTTCGGAACAAGCTCACCGATTACATCGCAAACCCCATAAGTGGGTACATAGTTTTGAAGATAATGAAGGACGAAGAAGAGCAATCTCAAACAAGTTCATGACATGTACTTGGTAAATTTAAGTTCTTGAAAACAATTCTGAAAATGTTGCCATTAAATTTTTGCATTCACTGAAATGCAGGAGAAGAAGGAAATGTATGCTAATAGCGGAGGTAGGGAATTCAATGATAAAGATAATAAAGTCATTGAGATAAAGGAAGAGATTATTGATGGTGGATATAGAAATTTCAAAGATGGGAAGAAAGACTAAATGGTTGATAATATTTACGATTTACATTAGGAAAAATTCTACTATCGTGAAAATATGTTTCACATTTTCAAACATTTCACCATTAAAATTTGGTAAAATACAGTTTCATAGCCATAACTACTCGCGTTGTGACAAATATAGCCAAATTTTGAAAATACACTCATATAGCAAAAAATTTAAAGTTTGTAAAACTTTATTGTCAACTATAGCCATTTCCGTTGCTATTGTTAATGTCATCACGAACGCCGTCAACACCAAGTGATGTGGCTTCCACCTAGATGATATGTCATCGCCAACTAGATTCGGTTTGCCCACGTCATCACTGACTTGGATTCCACCAACAGATTAAAAAAAATCACCATTCTCATCTACCCAGAGATTCTACATCTCTATTCTCTATCACCCACACCGCCGGCAAAAAAACTGATCTCTTCCTCTTCCTCTTCAACCGCCGCTGCCGCCGACAAATCCAGAACCTCGCAAGCAATAAACTTTTAAATCAAGTTTCTCATAGGGCTAACTAATTGCTCCCCAAGTTAAATGGAGCTTTGAATCTAACACCTATCATTACATTAGTTGCAGCTTCATTGAAATCAAGATTCAGAGAGTTCATAAATGGCGAATCTATTCAAAAATCGGAAGGTGAAATTGGAGAAAACATTGGCGGCAGTAACTACAAGCTGGGTGTCAATGCCGGTGCTCTGAATGGCCTTTTGGGCCTTCCTGGAGATCTCAGAAATAGCCGGTGAGGGAAGAGGCGACTGCTCGAGATTCTGAGGAAGTCGAGAAGAGACCCAGGAGCGAGATGGCGGTGGAAGTTGGGAGGGAAACGGAGATGGGTCGTCGGGACTGTGCAGCGGGCCTCGGGAATGAGAGTTAGAAGGATTTTATGGTGCTGAGGGAGTGGAGCTTGGTCAAAGGATGGATTGTGGTTGTCGCAAGTCACCTCCGTTACAACATCTCCCGCCGCAGAACCCTTCCCGTGGCGTCGCTTCATTCCTCTGCCGGCCGAGTTAGGGATTTCAAAATTTGGGGTTTTCTGTTTGCAGAGTTATTTTCGATTGAATTTGGGTTAGAAATTTCGAAATTAGTAGGGATATGAGGAAGAAAATGAATATGAAGATGAATGGGTGGATGATCGATGGCGGAGAAGAAGAGGAAGAAGATGAAGATGCATGGGTGGGTGGGTGAAAAGGATAAAGTAGGTTTTTGTTTTTTTAATTAATAAAATTTAAAATATATTCCACGTCACATTGCCACGTCGACAAAAAATCACCACGTCATCAACAATCGTTTGTCGAGTCAGCAGTCATGATAGTGTCGTTAAACTTTTGGACGGAATTGCTATATAAGTGTATTTTTCAAAATTTGGCTATATTTGTCACAACGTGAATAATTATGGCTATGAAAGTGTATTTTGCCTTAAAATTTGGTTTTCAATATAATGAATGGGAAGAAAGAAGAGACCATTGATGGTGAATATAAATTTGTGTGGAGAACATGTTTTTAATGGCAGAGCAATACGAAAGAAATCCAGAAAAGAATTTTCGGTAATGTCTAACATCAAAGAGTAAATTGAAGTGCATTTTGAATATTAAGTTTTCTAAAATCGGTTCCTTGCATGAGTTGTGAATTGTGATGTTTCCTTTTGATAAGAATTTTTGTCCATTAATGATTAAGATGTTGTAAAATTTCGGGTTATAGGTATAATATGCCCCTCTACTATGTCGTTTTATCAAACATGCCCCTCTACTATTTTTTACCTCAAACATGCCCCTATACTTTGGAAAAATTATCAAACATGCCCTTCTGTTACAATTTTCATCCAAGAAATCGTCAATCATGGTTGAACCGAGATTTAGACCACCCAACATCGGCAAATGGGAGGAAAAATGTCAGTCTTGTCCCCTATTTTAGTTCTCTGAGTCTAGTCAAAGTGAAATTATTAGAATTATATGGCTATACAAAAGTAAAAAAAAAAAATTCTAAAGTGAAATTATTAGAGATATTTTATGCCGTCCAAACCAAAGTTCGGTCGTGGTTAACGGTTTTTGGATTAAAATTTTAATAGAAGGACATGTTTGACCATTTATCCAAAGTATAAGGGCATGTTTGATGTAAAACATAGTAGATTGGTATGTTTGATAAAACGACATAGTAAATGGGCATATTATACATATAACCCTAAAATTTATGATATATGTTTTTTTATACTTTTAGTAATTGAATAATTTGGATTATTTCATGATAACAAATAAATGATTCGAATAATTACTATTATTGTGTATAGTATTAATTCATCCGCCCAATCGGCGATTCCAAATCTAGTCAAGGTTATAAAAGAATCCCAACGATTATTTGAAGAAATTTGAAATCAATATTAATAGTGGTCCTGTGGTGGTGGGTAGGGTATGGACTATGGAGTTCAAATTTTATGAGAGAAACCAGTAAACTACACATATTGCAAAAAAAAAAAGACAAGAACGTCAACTCCGTGTGGTTTAATATTTAGTTTTTGGATTCCTTAAAAACAATATATTTTGTGGCGAGAAAGAACGAACGTGTGTACCGCCCAAAACAATAAATGAAGGAGAAATGTAAATAGTGGGAATAATGTGAGAATCATAATATATCTTCTGTAAATTTAATATACTTAGATTACGAGAATCGAACCGATCAACCAACATCCTTCCGACCATCCGGTAGCAGTCAGTCAAAGGCAGTACATTGTACATCCATCCTATTTTATTTATTTATTTATTTATTTATTTATCGCAAATTATATTATTTATGATTTATGTATATAATAAGGTCAGGACTGCGGTACAAAACTAAAAAAAACCTACAAATGTATCATTCGTTGTAATGCATAATTATAATTTATAAGAACCGAATTAGATTAACGATTAGACCAGTAAAATCGTTATATCAATTACAATAGCGGCTCGGTTCATTTGATTGTGCGGTTTGAGTGGATCCGGTGATTTTTTTGATGATTTGACACGAAACCGGATGAACTGCCTCGGTTTGACTGATCCACTGGTTCACAATTTTAACCACAAATTAATTAATAAAAAAATACTTTAATATAAACTAATATCATCTAACCTCAATCACTAATTTTATTTATGTTCCGTTTTCTTCATTTTCCAACGTCTTTGTGAGAATTATGTGGTCCTCCACTATGGATTGTCCCACTGAATACTAATTTGAATTTAATAAAAAGAAATTGATTGTTTTTGTAAGGTAGTCTGAATACTTTGTTAGAAGAAAAAAAAATTAGTGATTGCTAATGTAGATTTGAACTTGTTTATGATTAATAATAATTTCACACCTAAATTAATGTATTATATATGTCTTTTAAGTTATTGCGCATGAATGATTCTATCAACAATTAACCGTTGAACCATCAATCACTAACTTTCTGACGTAGCATCCGATACACGATCATGAAAACATTGCTTGGTATAATAAGTCCAAGCGCTTCGTCCTGCTATACAAATACCTCCAAATTTGGGGTGTTTGTTTCTGTGTCGTTGTCTGGGTTTAGCTTCCTTAATTTCCTCCCCCTATCATTGTCACGTGTCCTAGAAATATCACCTCCTTAGTTTCCAATCTTTGCTGGATTGGTGATAACTTGTATGAATGGGAAAAAAAGCAGAATTGCTACAGATAAAGATAAATAATATGTGGATAACACAAAGATTCGGTTAGCCAAATAATTGACAATCAAATGATACTACTATACACATGTGATACATTTGAATCTGTTCGTCTCTAGCTTACAAGTTACAACTACTCATCCGAGGGTTTTCCTTTTACATTTTGTAATTGTGTTTTTTGGCCCTATTAATTCGAATCGGCCATAATTTTGTGTTGGCTTAGGTGGTAGGCGATGACCAAACGACCATCATACCTTGGGCTTCCTTCCTTGGTGAGTCGTTCTAAGATGGAGACGTTTCGATATTTCGAGGAACGGGTGTTAAGCAGATTTTAGGGATGGAAGCAACGGTGTCTTTCATGGGCGGCCAAGGAGGTTCTTATTAAAGCTGTGGAAAATGCCTTTCCAGTCTATGGTATGTCGTGCTTCATGTACCCTATCTCGTTGTGTCGATCAATGGATACACATTTGGCCCGCTTTTGGTGGACAGTGCAGCATGGGGAAATGAGGATTCATTGGGTTGCTTGGAAGAGACTATGTATGAGTAAACATGAAGGCGGGATGGGATTCCGACGTTTGAGGAATTTAATCAGCCACTGTTAGCGAAATTGGCTTGGCGTCTTTGGACAGAGTCAAATTCACTGGTGGCACGCTTGCTGAAAGGAAAGTATTATCCTCGTACGTCTATTCTCGAGGCTTCTCATGGTTCTCTCCCTTCTTGGGGTTGGAGTGTGATTCATCCATGCCCTCCTCGTGCTCGGCAAGGGATTGTTAGGGTGGATGGGATGGTGGCTTCACTGATTCAGCCTCAGGAGGGGGCGTGGAGGATGAATTGTCTACGTCAAATATTTGAGGAAGACACGGTTCGAGCAATTGCGGCAATTCCCCTGCCAGTTGATCTTGTGCCTGATTAGGGATGGCAACAAAATCCGAACCCACGTGTACCCACCCGACCCAACCCGGTCAACGCGGATAAAACCCGTGTTGACGGGTTTTGGGCTGGGTTCGGGTTTAAACCCGTTCACTATTCACCGGGTTGGGTTGGGTTTGGGTTTAGGTAAACCCGCCCAACTGGGTACCCGCTCACGCCCATATAATTAATTTTCTCAGTATATTTAATATTCTAAATAACAAATCTTATTTATGTTTGTGGAGACATGTCTAATTTTTTCTTTTTAATTGTGTAGAATGAAGTTGATGTTATCGAGTGGAGAGTGAAGAAACTTAATTGATAAGGAAGAAGAAGCTTTCAATTAATCATGTTATTTATGGATAATTTGTGACTTGCTTCAATTTTCTTGAGTTTTCTAGATTGGTGTTGAACAATTTGTATAGTTAATTTGTGATTTGCTTGAATTTTCTAAAATGGTGTTTTATACATGGATGATTTGTATTGAGAGATTAATATTTCACTTTAATATTGATAGGAACTCGTTATTGTAAATTTTTTACGACAAAAACCCGTGGGTACCCATGAACCCGCAGATACCCAGTGTGTTGGGTTGGGTTTGAGCTTTTCAAATCCAATGGGTTTTACCCCGGGTTTTTTTCACGAATAAACCCATGGGTTTGGGTTTGGCAAAACCCGACCCAACCCGACCCATTGCCATCCCTATTCCTGATCGGTTGGTCTGGAAGGGGGAGTCCTCGGGTGTGTATTCTGTTAAGTCGGGGTACCACTTAGCTTCTCAATTGCGGGGGGAAAAGGAGCTGGTGAATAAGCAAGGGGTGGTTCTTTGGGATCGTGGATTATGGAAGAGGGTCTGGTCCGCATCCTTGCCTCCAAAATTGAAGTATTTCATATGGCAACTGGTGCGTCGGGTTTTGCCGACGGGGGAGGCGCTCAACCTGAGGGGGGTTGCTGGTGTGTGGGAGTGTCCGGTGTGTGGAGAGGAGAAGGAGTCTCTTGAACACCTTTTCTTCCGCTGCCGGGTGGCCCAGGGTGTCTGGGGAGGGACTGGTTTAGATGGTGTTCGAGAGAGTTCCCCCCAAGATCACATGGCAACTTTCTGGAGACTATTTCTCGAGCAGGATAACTTGGATTGTCAGGTATTAATGCAGGTCGTGGCCCTGTTTTGGCGGATTTGGAAGGCGCGAAATTGGGTGGTATTTGACTTCACTCTGTACACCATACTTGTTTTGTTTTCTCAATTTCGTTTGACCAGGCATTCCGGGGGTCTTAATCAGGTTCTCAACCCGGACCTTTGGGTGGTTCGGGTTGATGGGGCTGTGAGATGCGGGTCTCATGGTGTTAGGGGTAGGGTGTTACAAGATCCGTTGGGACGCGTGATGACTGTGGAGGCGAAGTTATATGAGTTCATTGATGATCCTTTCCTTGTGGAGTTGTTGGCGTTCCGGGATGCGATGCGATGGTTTATTGCACGGGGCTTGACAATGATTATTTTTCTGGGGGGATCCTAAGGTCTTCATTGACAAGCTCATGGCAGGAACGACCGATGATACCCGTGGGGGGAGGATTCTAGAGGAGATAATGGTGCTTCGTCAATCCTTTGTGTAGTTCTATGTCCAGTTTGTTGGTACGCGTTGTAATAGGGTTGCCCGTTTGGTGGCACGAAAAGCCCTTTCATTGTTCCCTTCTTTAGTTGGGTTCGATTTGGGTGCTTGGTTGTTTTCTCGGTAATACAAGAAATCGTATTGATATAATAAAAGGCGATGACCAAATGCCTTATTTAGTCTCTAAGCATAAAATAAGGTGTTCATAATTTTGAAAAGTCGTGTGGTCTGTATCAAACATTGTGAGATATGATTAAGCAATTGCGAGTGCACTTAAGTGCAACAAATGGACTAATGGAAGGGAGGAGAAATAAGTGTCTTCACCAAAATGACACAATTTCAAACTATCGGCAACATGTTGCCCTCAATTTGGAATCCCAGTTTGCTTGGTGTTTAATGGTTGGCAATACATTTGTGTTCTTCAGGCACGTCTAGATAGTACTTATATGAGTTAGACACTAAAAAGGACCCCATGTGTGAACCTTCTTCTAACGGGTGCGGTTATGGTGATTAGTACTTTTGTAGTAATCATGGTGGTTACTAAGGGTAAATTGGGTATGGAAAAATAAATTATATTAATTAATTTTTTTAATAAATTATATTTTAGGTAGTTACAAAAATTAATTAATTACAATTATCTCTCTTTCTCTCACTTTCGTAATCTCCAGTCAGATCTCCTTTCCATATTTTTCTCAATCTTACTGCAAAAGAAAAACACGAAATCACTACCAATCCATTAGACAACCACTACCACTTTGAAAAACATCAATACCATTGCAAAGATAAATCTATACCATTGCAAAAACTAACAATATAAAGAATTTGTACCATTACAAAAGTCAAAAAATACCAAAACAACCAATACCACTACAACTATGAAATCAAATCAATACCATTGCACAAATTAATATCATTAAACTAAAACTACCAATACAATCAATACAACTACTATTGTGAAATCAAAACAATACCATTGCTGAAATAAATCAATACCATTATGACAAACACACTATACCATTTCATACAACAAAACAATGAACTAGTACCAAAACAAAGTATACCATTTCATAAATTAATACCATTACTAAATTACCAGATGGTAATTTCCAGATCTATTCGTAGACAAATGGATAGAGAGATAGGGAGGGAAGGAGAGAGCAGCGGGAGAGATGAGAGAGAGAGAGAGAGAGCAACAAGAGAGAGAGCAGCGGGAGAAATAGAGAGAGCAAAGAGAGAGAGAGCGCAACGGGAGCCCGGGTACCTGATCGGAGGGGTGGGAGGCCGCTGCGGTGGCCGAGGGTGGCCGGCGGGATTTGTGCGACGGGGCTGGTGTAGGCGGTTGACGGGATTTGTGCGACGGGAGTGGTGGAGGCGGCTACAGCGGGTTTGGTCAGAGAGAGGATAGAACTAGGGTTTGGGTAGATTATATAGAATAATGAGGTGTGGTTATATTTTCATTTTCAAAATTACCCTAAAAGAATTTTGATCGCAAGATAAAAAAGAAAAAAAAAATAGTTAATCAAATGGTATATAAAGAAGTTGCCACCGTAATTACTAAAAAAACAAGTAATCACCCTAACCCATTCCTTTTTCTAACCCATGTTATATATGTACCCTCCCAAAGGGGATTGATGAGCTTGGTAACCGCAACGAGATTAGTATGAGTTGTGATTATTATTTATGCAGTTGTAGTCATTGTCTTATTGTAGTTGCAGTACTACAAACTCCGACACACTCCTGATTATAGTCATTGTTTTTACCGTGGCAATCATTGATTTGCAGTTGCAAGACTACAACTCATAATTAGTACAATGCAAATCCCTATTAAGTTAACATTGTATCTCGGGACCTCCTACAATAATTTGAGTATAATTTTAAGTAAGATAAATTATATAGATTTAGATCGTTAAAATCGATCAAACTTATTTTAAACCGTTGATTAAAGAAAGTAAAAAATGGCAAAAGGGGTTCCCGGTCACTACCTTCATAATTTGTCTTTTTTTTTTCTTTCCTTTTTCACATTTAGTTGGTTTTCCCTATTTTAACCTTTCCTTTTTTTAATTCTTATTGAATTAAAAACGTTATGTAAAGCTTCCGTAATGACTTAACTCTTTACGTAACATGACATTAACACTCTTTACGTAAGCCTTACATAATGACATTTTACACCTGTTACGTAAAATACACATTCATTACGTAAAAGTTACCAAACGATAGTTATTTCTTATGTAACAGTTAAATCGGAAACGTTACGTAAGGCTTTCGTAATGACTTAGCACTTTACGTAATGCGAGGTTAATACTCATTTACGTAAAAAGATCTTCCATTACGTAAAGGTTACATAACGACAATTATTCTTACGTAATAGTTAAATAAGTAGCGTTATGTAAGGATAATAAATTGTGAAACCTGTTATAGCAGGGTAAAAAATTCAAATAATCTTACTTCAACTTACCATAGGAATTTCAGTATCTCATGCCTCGTCATTCGTCAAAGAGACAAAAGATAATAAATTGGGTTTCCCTATGCTTGTAGATTAAGGTACGACACCACTCGTGTTAGGGGTGGACATCCGATTCGGTAAACCCGAACCGAAACCGCAATTGTATTGTTTGGTTCGGAATTCGGAAGAGAAATGTGGTTGTTTCCGAAACCAGGGTTTCCGAAACCGAAAATCAGAATTCCAAACCGAAAACCGAAATTTGCCCATAACAACCCAACTCTAAGCCATTCTCTTACCCACAACCCACTGAAACCCGAGCCCAACCAATATAAAACCTAGGCCCATAAAGCCTAAACCCCCATCCCATCCCACCTCACACAGAGCCCACGCTTCTCACCCACAACCCTAGCCCGACCCAATGAAAACCTAGACAAAACTGATCCCGTCCCACCTCAGATCACACACAGCGGCCGCCATGACGGAAGAGGAGAGGAGCAAAGAGCATGCAGAGATGGAAGTTCGAGATCGAGGGAGAGAGGAGAGGCCAGAGCTGGAGAGAGGGATTGGTGGCGGCCGTCTTTTGTCGATTCTTCCGAGAGCGAGAGACAAAGTGGAGGTGGAGGAGGGAGATAGTGGCGGCAGCAGGAGACAGGCGGAACGAGCAGAGATTGGTCGGAGCCAGAGAGATCTTTAGGCGTCGGATATGAAGGGAAGGTAGATGTCGGGGGCGAGAAGGCGAAGGAGAAGAAGATGCTACTTCTGGGGTGGCCATTTCAAATGACTGATGCTGGTACTATAGAGGGGAGAAGGAATAGTTGGAGGTAGTCGGCGGCGTGCGATAAGAGGGGAAGAGAAGAGAGAGAAGGAGAGGGGAAAACCAGGATTGGAAGAGAGAGGGATAAATAAACAGTTTTGTGTTTTTTGAGGTTTTGACGCAGAACATAAGGGTGAAAGGGTGCAAATTCGGGTTGGGTCTGAAAACTGATTCCAAACTGAATATATTTCGATTCGGAATCGGTTTGGATTTGCTCTGAATCGGGGACCCGGAATGCTCAAATTACATCAATTTCATCTCATTTACTATTACATTGTCGACGGTAAGATCTAGACAACACTTTCCTAGTCCACTACCGGAAATTGGTTGTTCCTTTCAAACGGATTCTTCAAGTGGGACTGTGGGGGTGGCCCTTTCTCTTCTATTCCCATTCCGATCTCTTATTTTGTGGAAGCAAGCAAGTGAGTTTAAAAGGAAACAAATAAAAAAGATTTTTACAATGTATGTCTTGTTGCTGTCATGCTTACCAGCTCACTTCCCCACTTCATTTTTCTCTATCAATTTTTTATTTATATTTTTAACACTTCATTTTTTATGAATTTTTTATTTTTATTTTAACGCGACCTCTTATATATTTTCACGACCACAAAAAATAGTCATCTATTTGCCTCACGGTTTTCCTTCAATTGCTTACATTATCATGCGTACATTTTACTAAATATCATATAATAATCTAAACAATACATCATGATTAACACCAAGATTGCCAAACTAGATTAAGTCATCAAGTGAATTTGCCAAGTGATTTTCGAGGTTTAATGGTTAGATCGGGTTCAACCAATTCAAGTCGGTTTTAGCATAATATGTGAGAAAATCTCCACCACCAAATAGATTATGCACTTATCTACCCTCATCTTCAAACCCGATTTTGACTGGTTAGCCCGTCCAATTTTGACTTTTTTAATTTTTTCCCATAAACATCCAACTCGGAGTGTATTCCAACCTTGTAGATGATCGATTCCGATCAGACCTGGTGGAGCCGGCCGGATACAGGTTTGATAGCCTTGATTAAAACAGTTTTCCACTGGACATAATCGATTTAGGTAAAACACTGCTATACTACTCCCAACTTTACCCTATTTATGCAGATTGTTGAAGTTTTTAGTGACCCTGTTTCTAAATCCCTGAACACAACATTCGTCTAGGTCAAATTTGTTGAAATTTTTTGTATAAGTGTTGTATTCTGAGAATTGTTTTGACAACTCTGATATTTTGAAAAAATAAATCCATAATTCTAAACTATTCAGCTTGTTAAAACTAGCACTTGACTACATTGTCACGGGATCCTCGATCGGACTACGACTGAGGACAAGTTGCTCAAAAATAAATATGACCTTAGCAACATCCTATACATCAACATTCGATCTTATCATGTCGGGTAAATTGCAAGTTTGGGCACTTGAATTACTGAACAGTTTCACGTTTGCCACTAAAGTTAGTTTATTCTGTTCATGGTCATTCAAATTAGTTGAACAGTTTAAGTTTGATCACTCTCTATTAGTCTTCGTTAACTTTCGCTGATATAACAGTCAAACTCTAAAAGTTGACCATTAAATAAATGATGTAGTAATTTAAAAATAAAACTTAATCTTTTTCAATTTCCACCTCATAGTATAAATTAAAATAAACTAAAATAAATAAATAACTATTACATCGAAAGGAGATGAGAAATACGATATTCGTAACAGAGTCATTAGGAATCGAGACACACGGCCTCTCAGTCATCTATTATTAGAATATCGATAAACTACAATTTCGTTGATCAATCCATCACTAACCAAAAGTAACCATGTCCTTTTGATAAACTTGTTTTTGTTTCTCTTCTCTCTCTAACTATGTTTAATGTTTCCCTCAAAAAAAAAAAAAACTATGTTTAATGCATTAGTTAATAAACATTAAGAACTTGACATATGTTTAATTTATCATAGATTCAAATGTTAAGACAGCATTAATATCTATTTATGGGGAAGGAAGAAAGGAAAAAAACTAATTGAGAAGTTTCGGTTTTGAAACTTCAGCCCCACTTCTTTCCCTTTCTCAAGAAAGGATATTTGACATTTCATCCATCTGGGACTGGGGTCCGGCATAGATTTTTCCACATTAATGGCGATTACCACCAAATGCACTTGCAAATTAATTTCAACTCTCCCCTGGAGCAGAAAATTGAAACTCCAGAGGAAAACCAACCCTCGGGTCCCACAAAACAGAGACGACCCTGTTTTTGAGATGGATGGAAGGAAGAAAACCTGCCGGAAATTTTTTTCAACAACCAAAACGTGGCTTACATCTACTCAACCTCTCCCATGAATTGCTAAGTTGAAACTTGAAACTCCACCACCACCATTACCATTGCTCCATTAAGCTCCCCCACTACTTTGGTTTCTTCAAGTTTTTCCCATGCCCACTTCCTTTTTCCCCTTCTCCCCTGTTTCCCTCCATTAGAGACTGTCATCTGCTTGGCTAAACCCTTTCTTGATCTTAAGCCTGTACTGGTTGGATTGTTGAAGCTCATCATTTCATCGTTGGATCCATTCCCTTCTGTTCTTTGGTCGGGTAAAAAGCTATGGTCTTTGTACCCATTTACCATTATTATTATACAACTCAGAACAAGGCGTAAAGTTTCCAACTTTTCCCCTTCCTAGCATAGCAAGCCTGCGTTTTATCTTCTCTCTTTTCTACTCGGTTTTTTTTTTGGCTTTTACTTTTCAGGCTGGATATCTGTCACCCGGGTTTCATTAGATTTAGTTTAATGGTGCTTGTGAGGCTTCTGTAAAGAAAGAGGCTTTCTCTGTCCATCTCTCTCTTTCTCTCTTATGCTTGTTGCTTTTCTTCCCTTGTACTGTCTTCATCTCTCCAACCCCATTTCCCAAGCTTGCCTGCATTCCATTTCTTCTCCAGCCCTGCAATCTTGTTTCTTTATAGGAAGTTTCAATTTTGACGCCAAAGGAAGTGAATTTACTTGTTGGGGAGGTTGAGTGGTGTGGGGTTGAAGTGACTGAGCTGGATTCAACAGAAGGACTAGCTTGACCCGGTTCTGCCCTTTTGTCCTTGGGCATTAAGTGCTTGCTTCCTCATATTCCGAGGATTCCATTCCATGAAAATCTTCCTGCATCTCTGAGAAACTTCTCTTCCATGTCAGTTATTTAATTTTCTTTTGCACTATTTATGTTGTTTGTTTTTGGTATTGCATTCCACTTGGTTCAGTGTTTTGATGCCCATTTCCATTTTCACCCGGCTGGAGTAGCTTTCGCTTCGCCACCTATTTTCCCCTTGTTTGTCGATATTTCCAAGTATATTGTGTATTGGAGAAATGCTGGCTGCTTCCTTTCTTGCATTATCCTTCTATGGTCTATTCCTCTTTACATTGATGCTTTGCGCGTTTTAGATGTCTTAATTTACCTCATTTTTCTGTTTCAGCTAAGCAACAAAGCAAACTGTTCAATAGGGGAAAGTAGGTTGGTAAAGGCGTAGTTGCAGTAGCAAACTGGCAATGAGCTTCAATGTTATCAGGTAACAGGTGTTTGATTTTTTTTCCCCATCTGTTTTCCTTTACCCTTTTTCTATTGTTGTTTCTGTAGTTTGTTTGTTATTCATTCATTAATGTCTTTCCTTGTCTTTTGTTCAATTCAATGTGTTGTGCTTATCTTATACCACATGTTTGTGTACAGATTTGATTGACAAATGATGTTCAAGTAGCTGGATGGAGAAGAAAGGAAACAAAGTTATCAGCAATTAATGTGCTTTCCTGGAGCTTAGTTGCTATGGAGAAAACAGTTTCTGATTCATTGAATAGCTTCAGTGATGAGAAAGAATTATCATGTGAGAATGTGTTGGCACGTCCAGAATCCACAACATCAAGGAGAGTGGTGAGAAGGGTTAATTCCAAGAACTCCCTCGTTTCCAGAAAACTGCAGAAAAGTAAAAGCTGGATCAAGGATTCACTCCTCCACAGAATCCACATCATTGATGATTGGATTCCAAAGCATGTGGTGACTGTAGATGAGAAACATCTTCGTCGTTGCCTCGATTTGATTAATGCCAGTGCTTCTTCTAGGACAGCTTCTTGCAGCATTTCTATTGCTTCATCTTGGGGAAGCATGGATGTGTTGTCTGATGGCCTGAGCTCTGTTAAAGTCGGTAGTGACTATAGATTTGATCTCAATTGTGCATTGGATACTGGAGGTGGCAGTTTGGTTGCTACCCCTGCAGGTGACTGGATCGTTGGCTCAATCATGGGTAGCAAGAGTATGGTTAATTTGCTGCAAAGCCCCTTATTGCGCCAGTATGGTGCATTTAACACCAACGATGTCAATTTCAGGGATGGCAGTTTCGCTGACGTTAAAGGATCGAGCTCGCCTGGTGGGTTGAGTAGTTATTCGTCGTCTCGGACAGACATTGAATCGACATTTCCTTTAAACTACAGAAATGTTTCAGAGAATTCACATGAAAGGCTCTTTTCTATATCGAGTACAAACTCTTCATGTTCTGACCAGTCTTCTTTGTCTTCATCGGGTGCTGTAACTCAGGGAATGCTCCAGTTCACATTGAAGAATGGGAACCCTCATTTTGTTTTCTCCGTAGATGATCAAAAGGTGGTCTATGTGGCCAGCTTGTGGAAGGCTAAATCAAGGGGTGATGATAAGAAGAGTCTTGATGACTATACCTACTTGTTTCATTCCAGAACAAGTGGTCAAGAAGAGGACCATGACACCACTCATCATGGGCTTGATTCTCATCTTGTTGGTAAGATGGTGGTATCGACTTCTTTTAGCATCTCTGAGAACAATTATAGAAGAACCATGGTGAGAGAGTTTGTTTTATTTGGTGGAAATGAAAGTTTTATGGAAGTGCAAGCTTCGAAGCTTGAACTGAGAAAGAACAGGAGATTGTCCAGGAAGGTTTCAGAAGTGTTTAGGAAGAAGAGAAGTTTGTCTAAATTTGGGGGATCATCAGGTACCATATTAGAGAACAGTGTTTGGGGGCCATTACAAGAGACAGCAGATTACAGCATTGATTCACTTGGTGGTTCTGATTTGATACATAAACATCTTCCATCGAACTTCGAGTTGACTGCCATTGTTGTGAAAGAAGGTGTTCCTGAAATCTGTCAAGCGAAAGTTGGAGGAGGATGGGGCTTAAAGTTCCTCCAGAAAGCAAGTGACAAGAAGCAACATAGTGATGATACAGAACCATCATCGACTGCTTCTGCTTCTTGTACCCGGGATGCTGGTGACTGCTCAACTAGCATGGATATTATACTTCCAGCTGGATTACATGGTGGACCAAGGACTAGGAATGGAGGTCCTTCCAGTCTTGTAGATAGATGGAGATCGGGTGGATGCTGTGATTGTGGAGGCTGGGACTTGGGATGCCCATTAACTGTACTTAAAGGCAAATCAAGCAATAAAGATCTTTTGTTGCCTGCAGATGGTCACAGGGAATGCAGATTGATTGATTTGTTCATCCAGGTGTGTTTGGTTTGGTGTAGTTGTAAATGGTTGTTATTTGTCTCAATTGCTTGCTATAATGCTATACTTGTTTGTAGAGAACATTGGTTGGTTCATTTGTACTGAAAGTTGTGCTAGAAAATTAAAATAAATACATCTGGGCCTAATACTCCCAACCAGACGACCCGATTGTTTTCTCAGTTTCTCATGATATCTAAGCATTTTAATCACTGCTCACCAGATTTCTTTTTTCTTGTACCTGTACTACTAGTTTGATTTTGCAATAATACTTAATGGTCTCTGGAGTTATGTTCAATCATATATCTTAAACACTTACTGAGGTAATAACCATCCACTTGCATCATTTCAGGGTCCAGAGAACAGTGCACCTCCGTTGAGAATGATCAATGTACATGATGGCCTCTATTTTGTTCATTTCCAGTCCACACTATCAGCTCTGCAGTCTTTCTCAATTGCAGTGGCTTTTATCCATTCACAGAGTCCCGTCTTGCGGCCCAAAAGTGTACATGGAGCATGACCTGTGTTCTCGAGGTCTATGTAGTTGTTGTAAACTCTCTTACTGTGTCACAGCATTTCATTAAGTCAGATTACTAAGTCATTATACATCCTTAAGTTTCTAAGTTTTTCTGCTTTCCATCTTATCTAATGATTCTGTACGGGGTATTAGATCGCCTAGAATGAGGTTGTTTCTTTTATATATTCTCAGATTTGCTTGTCGTTTGCTTGTGATTTGAGACTGCTTGTCCACTGATATTCTAGTAGAAGTGAAGTTCCTGTAACCTACTTAGCATATTGATTGTATGTATATTTCTCCATCAATGAAAGAAGTATAAGTTTGTGGCTGAAATGCGCAATTCTTTGTGTCGTTAGAATGATCAGAATTGTCATCTCATCTTTCTGGGAAGGCTTGCGAATTGTCACCCTGTGTCGTTAGTATTGCTTCTCTATCATTTATCGGGATCCTGGTTCTTTCTCTCCTTTCCATGAGTGTGAAACTTTCTGCAGCATGTGAAAGGTTGTGACCCTTGACAGCTGAATGTTCTGGAGTTGGTACTTGCATCGATTGGTTGTGCGAAGTCTACTACTGGTAAAGATTCCGAGTTGAACCTTCAAGTTTCCTTATTCTACAGAAGAAGGCTTTCATGGAAGGAACGTGTTGCTGGGAATTCAATCAATCCATTCCGTGGTGCGTTTCTGCTCGCACAGAAGTTGACCCTGGTGCTGTCCAGCTAGATGATCACCTCTGGTGGTGGCTGCTTGATGAACATTTCAGAATGTGAAGCCACGTTGTGTCTGCACTGGTCAATGGTCAAGTTTTGAGAACAAATTGCTGAGTTTCATGCTCTCTCTCTCTCTCTCTCTCTCTCTCTCTCTCTCTCTCTCTCTCTCTCTCTCTCTCTTATTTCAAGCTGGCAGAACAGAAACTGAAAGTTGGACGTCTAAAGTTAAAGGGCGCATTTACAGCGATAAGCTTTTCATTTAAGAAGTTGCCAAAAAATGCATTGGCATGGCTTTTCTAATCATCTGCAAAAGTTGTTTCCTTTCTGGTGAGAAACGTAGGGGGAGTTACGTTCTCAGTGCTCACAGTTGCTTTGCTGCTGGTTTCCATGGATATCAGAAGGATTGGCCATATCTCGACTCTTGCGCACCTGCGATTACTCGTAACAACTATGATAGAAAAAGAAAAGGAAAAAAAAAAGATTCAGGGAATGCAAATAGAAATTAAAAATTTGATATAGAAAGAACTGAATTGATAATTAAGGGGTTGAAGAGAAGAATTTGCCGGACTTTAGGAAAGAGAAGAGATTTAAGAGGATTAGGAGATTAGAGTTTTGAGAGAGAGATTGGGATGGGATTAGGTGCTAACCCTTATAGGGGTTAGCACCGTGATAACTAGCAAAAAACACTACGGATTATTATAAAATCAATACAACATCTAAGCTAAATCACTACTAGTTGTAAAAAAAAAAAAATTATGAGAGGAGCTCCCTCCTCTCTCATCGAGATCTCGCTTTGGCTAGGGGAACGACTGCTGCAAATCTGCTCCGTCATCTTCGCCGCCAGTTTGAGGAACCAGAAACTTGATGGAGATAGAGGACTTTCCAAGCCGGGAAAGTCCGACAGATTGGGTTTCAACCAATCCAAAAGATGTTTGATGAGGTCCTTGGTCAGAGAGGCTGCTCCCAGGGCCTGGAGTCGGGCGAAATATCCCTGACGAAGGAAAAGATCGGCGGAAATGGTCTTTGCCGATGTCCAAGTTGAAGAAGAGCAACCGACCAAAAGGAGGCGGGCCGAGCCACGGAGGCTATGGCGATTCCGAATTCCGAGTCCGGCAGAATTCGATCTTGAAGATTCAGAGGCCTCGACGGCCGCGGAAATGGAAATTGAAAGACCTTTGGGTCATGATCGAACCAACAAGCGATTCAGCACCGCTGGGCCTTTCGGGGTAGGGATTGCACGCATCTCACCAGAGCTAGTGAAAAATGAGCGGAGCGCTCCTGGTTGCAGTGTTGAATCGGAAGTAATCTGTGGTGAAGGTGCGGATCAAGGGGACCCCTTCGGGGAGGGATGCTGCGCAATTCAGCAGGTCAAGTCGAAAGTGGATCTCAATTCCACAAAACCCAGCTTGAATGTCGCTGATTTGGAAGGGTTCAGCCAATTGGACGGTGCCGCCGGTGATTGCAGGCGGAAGGAAACTCGGGTGCGTAAGGCGGAAACGGAAAATCCTTCGGGAGCGTTTTTCGCGGTGGTGGGCGGGATTAGCGGAGGTCTGATCCGATTTTGGGAGATCAAACCGAATCTCCTTCCAAGGACTCCTAATCCTAAACCAAATCGATTTCTAAATAAAAATCGGAGCAGGGGAATCTCCCTCTTGCTGGAGAACTCGGAGTCTTTTGCCTTTAAATTGACTTCTCCCCCTGCTTCCCCACTTCGGTGTATTGCTTGGGTTTCTGGATCTACTAGCGCGGACGGAAGAAAAAGCTCCCACCGACTGCTCTGGTTTCCAAGACAACATCAGGGTAAAGTTTCTTTGGCCGAAACCCATTCATCTTTTTATGGTTTGCGAGTTCTACTCACCCCTGCTTTGACGAGTAATTGTGTCACTTTGCCGAGCGATGCAACGAGGAAGCTTCCTCTCCCTGGCTCGCCGGTAGGTCCGGCGACAACGAAGAGCTCTCTGCCCCCTACGGTTTTGACCGCCGATGCTCTGCTTGCGAAGTCGAGCAGCCGAGGGAGACGAAGTTCGGGCCAGCAACCATTACCTAGTGTTGGGCCGGCCTAGAGTGGCCCAGGTTCTCCAAAGCAAACTGGGCTCGACCCACTAAGTAGGCAAATACATCTAGGGCAGCAGGGGAGCGACCAAGGGTTTTTGGGCCCGGTGGGCTTGCCCGACTCCATGGAGAGTGTTGGGCCGGGGTCGGATTTCGGAAAGGATGGGGCCGGGCCTGCTGGAGGGTTCAGCTCCTTGGGAACAGTTGGGCCACAAGATGCCTTCGGGCCTAAATCATTTAACCCAATTAAGCCTTTATCTAATGTTCTAATTCCCAATACCACTAGGCCTTTGGGCTTGCTGACTTCGAGCCCACTGGGGGAAGTCCCCAATTGTGATGTTACTAATAATTTACTTGTCTATGTTTGTCAGGTGAATATGACGTCGCGAATTGCTGAGGATCAAGTGGTCGAGTTCTCGCTGGAGGAGGTCCAATCGGTGAGGTTTCGAACCTCTAGGACCCTTTTGGGTAGGCTCTTTTCGGAGGCCAAATTTACTACTGCGGAGCTAAAAGAGGGACTTATTGAAGCATGGCGTGTGAAAGGAAACCTTAGGGTTTCACTCACAAAATTTGGCTTATTTGAAGTGGTGCTGCCAAGTGACGAAACAAGGGTGTGGGTCCTAAAGCGGTCACCCTGGATTGTCAAGGACAGGATCTTCCATCTCAGGTCCTGAACACCATCCATATCCAGGAACACATTTGAGGAGTTAGCCTTTGCCCCATTTCGGGTCCAACTCTGGAATGTGAAAGATGACTGCTGCACGAAGCAGTTTGGCCAGAAAATGGCAGCGGGGAAGATTGGTCAGGTTTTGGAGGCCGATGTCTTCGCGCCCAAGGAGACGGAGGAGCTTTTTGTAAAAGTGCACGTGCTCATTAATTTCGCTAAGCCACTGCGATCTCAACTCATGGCGGTAAGCGAGGAGCTTGGCGAGTTCTGGGTCAATCTCAAATATAAATTCCTTCCAACCGTCTGCTTCCATTGTGGGCGCGTGGGCCACTCCAAGCGTGACTGTGTTTTTGACCCTCCACCGGGGAAAGAACGCTTTGGCCCGCACATGTCAACTAGGAAGCTCGGGCGGAAGATATACATGGAGGAGGATGATTTTTCAAGATATCGGACACAAGTAAGTCGGTGTGGATCAACAGGAATGTCCACATTCACAATGACGGAAAAGCAAGGTCTGCCAAGGGCCGAGTGGAGGAGGGGCCGCGGGTGCCCGCCGCGAATACTCAGACTCCAGGGATGCACCATATTCGGTCTGCTGATCACCCAAAAGATCAAGCCAGCATGAAGACTCAGCCTAGGCTGCGTGAACCAATCAGCCAGAAGGCCGGGAACCATAAGAGCCCCAAAAGGTTTAGCCTCAAGAAGTCTCCCCGGGTGAAGGTTGGTGGCGGGGTGAGACACCTTCAGAAGAAGCGGTCACCTAGGAAGAGTACCAGTCTTGCACCACAGGTAGCTAAAGGCCGCCAGCAGCCTGGTAGGCGCATGAAGCAGGCCACTCACGCTCAAATGGAGGCTGATCCGGTGGAGATAGTTCTTGAGCAATCCAGAAGGCATAGGCTGATTTTGCAGGAAGAATCTGAGGAGGAGGAGAATATGATCCCTGAGCCTATATTGCAGAAGGCTGCCCATATGACTGGGGCTAAACCAGGGGGCGCAGCACCTCGGGCTTGTCTGCGGTTGAGGAAAGGGGGAGCTAGCTCCCCACCGACTGCGGCCACCCTGGTAGAGGAGGGGTCTCCAGCGGATGCTGTTTGTGATCTGGAAAATAAGGAGGCTGGGGATAGTTTTGAGGACCCCAAAATGGTGAAACATCAGCAGGGATCTGACTCTGATGAGGATCAATCGCTAGAGGTAGCCCATTCGTTTGAAATCAAACGCAGGTCACCCACTGGTGCCTCCAGGAAGATCTCTCATGGTATGAAAGGCCGCGTTCATCAAGTGGTGGAGGCATTTGAGGTAGGGCTCAGCTTTGGCCAAATGGTGTCTCCCTCCAACTTGGGACTGAATGAGTATGGGTGAAATCTGGAGGACCCAATCATGGAGAATCGGAAGCGAATGATTGAGGAAGTTGAGGGGACTGTGGGAGACCCTCCTACTCCGAAGAGACAATTTGTGGAAGCAGTGGACATCCAGGAAAAGGTGGAGGAAGCCAGCCTCGAGTGGCCCCCAGTGGATAAATGAGGCTTCTGGCCTGGAATGTGAGAGGAATTGGGCCATCCCTCACCTTCCATTCTGCTTTAGGGCTTGTTCATTCTAATAAGCCGGAGGTTGTGTTTTTTTCTGAAACACGATCGAGCCGGCGTGTAGTGGCCCGCCGGATGCGAGGTTTAGGGTTTGAGAGCTCCCATTGTTTTTTTGTTGATGCAGTTGATGCATCGGGTGGTTTAGTTGTAGCTTGGGCCCCCGGTGTTAACACTTCGGTGTTTTGTTTTTCCAGTTTCTATATTTGTTCGCAAATTAATGAAGGTGATTTTTCCTATTTGGTGTTTTTTGTTTACATTAGCTGTAATGCGGCTGTTCGTGATAGCCAGTTGGCTCATTTACGTGAAGTGTGTGCTAATACGAACCAACCTTTCGTGATCATTGGTGATTTTAACGTCACCCTCCATGAGGGAGAAAAAGATGGGGGTCGGGCTTGGAATGCGGCTCAAGCCGCCAGCCGGGGGAGTTTGTCCATGAGTTAGGACTCCATGATCCAGGATACCAAGGGGATCAGTTTACCTGGACAAACAAGCGGATGGGGGAGGCGTGCATTCGTGAACGGCTGGATAGGGCCCTTTGTTCCCAGTCCTGGATAGATATGTATCCTGAGGCCTTGGTTAAACACTTTACGGATCAGGGGTCCGACCATCGGGCCCTTCTTCTCGCTGATAAACCGTACACTCGGAATAGCCGGCCTCTTTTCCGGTTTGATGCTCGTTGGGAGGAGAATCCTGAGGCTAGGGCTATGGTCCAGTATGTCTAGCAGGAGGAGCTGCAAGGCACCCCTATGTTTCGGCTTTGGGAACGCCTCAAGAAACTCAAGCATCTGCTGTATGATTGGAGTAGAGCGGGAACCACAAACTCCTTGCGTAATATTAGAACTCTCCAGGCTGAGGTTGACCGAGTCAAGTCCATCTATCCTGTGGATTGGGATGCGGTTCGAGCCCTGGAGATGGAATTATCTCGTCAATGGGATGCGGAGGAGTTGTACTGGCAGCAGAAATCCAGGGTCCGATGGCTGAAACGAGGGGACCAAAACTCATCTTATTTCCACACGGTTACGCGTGCTCGTCGGAAAAGGAATTTTGTCGCCGGGCTCCGGGATGATGAGGGTGAGTGGGTTACGGAAGAGAGCGGGAAGGCTAGGATTGCTACCAGCTTTTACCAATCTCTATTTACCTCGGAGTCCCAGGTGCACAACATGGCTGATAGAGTGGCGAGCCTTCCAATCCCCCAGTCGGTTACTCCGCAGATGAATGCGCTTTTAACGGCGGTGGTTTTGCCGGAGGAGGTTCGGAAAACAGTCTTTTCTATGTGATCGAAGCAGGCTCCGGGGTCGGATGGCTTTACCGGCAAATTCTTCAAGGAATTCTGGGATGTTGTGGGTGCATCAGTGGTTGAGGCGGTTTGTTCTTTCTTTTCGACTAGTCGAATGCTACGGAGTTTTAATCATACGTGGCTTACGTTGGTCCCTAAGGTAGATGTTGTGGAAACTGTCCGCCAGCTGCGTCCGATCAGTCTATGCCAGTTCGTTTATAAAGTTATAACCAAGATCATGGCTGAGCGGCTGGCGGGTTTGCTCCCTCAAATCGTGTCTGAGGGGCCAAATGCGTTTATAAAAGATCGGCAGATCATTGATAACGTCCTTCTTGGGCATGAGTTAATGCATTATCTTAAAATAAAAAGGCAGGGGAAGAAGGGGTACATGGCTCTAAAGGTTGACATGGAAAAGGCCTATGATAGAGTCGAATGGCCCTTCCTTCTAGCAGTTTTGGAAAAGATGGGTTTTAACTCTGTCTGGCAAGGATGGGTACATGAATGTCTTAGATCTGCTACTTTTTCGGTTCTGATGAATGGTACGCCTTCGGTTTTTTCGGTTCCTCTCGGGGACTCAGACAGGGAGATCCATTGTCGCCTCTCCTGTTCGTGCTCTGCACGGAAGGGTTTGCGGCCCTTCTTCGAAAGGCGATCTCTGAAAAGAAGTTGGAGGGGGTAAAGGTGGCACCGCGTGCTCCGAGGATCTCGCATCTATTTTTCGCGGATGATTCCTATCTATTCCTGCGAGGGTCTCTTCAGGAGTGCGAGAATTTAATTGTGGTGCTCAATGAGTATGAGGAGCTGAGTGGGCAGCGGGTTAACCTGATATGATCCCAATTGGATCAATCCACAAATCACAATTACTTGCCAAAGAAGTCATCTCAATTAACTTGAAGCATTCTGATTTTTGGCTAAGTGTTGAAACAGTTTCAGATAGCCTACTTTGGAAGCTTGTATCTCACAAATGGTTCAATGAAAATTGGTGTTTGATAGCTTGTTTTGAACATAAACACTTTATCTATAAGATGGTATGCTTGGTGGCTCAAGAGGAAGTCCAGAAGGTCATTTTCCAGACGTGTAAAAATGCTATGAAGAATTCTGGAAACTTCCAAGATTTGACTAAGGCAGAAAACAGTGTTGAGATACCAACTTTGAAGGCCTATATCTGGAGTTTGAAGCATGATATCAAGCTGATTCAAGTTGGAGGTGAAACAAGAAGTTTTATTCTACAAAGGCAAGGAATTGGTTGAATTTGAATCAACCTAGAAGACCATTTTCGAAGGGCTCAAAGATGCTATGAAGCCTGTTTTCCTAGGCAGACTTGCTTGCGTTTTAAGTCAGTTTCTTGGCCAGCAAGTTACCTTGTTTTGAACGAATTATTTAGCCTTTTTCTGTTCTGATTAGTTTCCTAGTTCTATTAGGTTTTTATTAGGTTTTTATTGTCTTTAAATAGCTTTCAATTTCACGTTGTAAAGGATCCAAGTTTTAGTTGAATGAAAATTGCTCCTTTGTGAGAATTGTGTTCTTTGAGAGTTCTCAAGAATCAAACCCTTGAGTTAGACGTGTGAGGAATTCCATTGCTAATTCGAGAACCCTTGTGAGGCTTTTCTGTGAGGATTCCAGATTCGTTTTACAAGTTTCTTATCAATCAAGTAATCACCTTGATTGTGGCGAAATTCTACCTATCCGTTTTATCTTTCGTTGAAGAGTTTTGAGCTGCGTATTCTGATCAAACAAAGCACCCCCCCTGGTGCTTTATCAAGTGGTATTAGAGCCTGGTTCAAGTCAGTGGCGAGAAGAATTGAAGGCTGAGTTTCGTACAAAAATTCAGTAGGGAACAGAGTACTATGGATACCGAGGAGCTAGCACGTTCGATGATTTTGACGCGTTGTTTAATTAAAGAGAAAACGTGTTCAGTTCTTGTTGATGGAGGCAGGGAGAGGAATCTGATTTCCTCTAGGACTGTGAGCAAGCTAGGGCTGCAAACACAGCCACTATCGAAGTCATATACCTTGCAAACACCTTACGGTGGACACTCAAATTTCGTATTCTCCCAAGTAGCTGTGGAATTTTCAATCGGACAATACGAAGACAAAGTTATTTGCGACGTGGCTTATAATCTGCCCAGCCACATCGTGTTGGGGCAGCCTTGGTTTCGAAATCGACAGGTCGAGTTTGTTAGCCGAAGGAGCAGAAAGTTCAGAGTCAGGAAACGAAACAAAATTTTTGTATTGAATCCATTGCCTCCAGAGGAAGCTGTTGGCGACGTGAAGGAAGTACAACGACTACAAGAGGAGTATCAGAGGGATTTGTTTGCGAAACCATGGTCGTGGATCGTCGATCAAGCAAAGACGCTAACCAGAGAAGAAGAACTCTGTTCGTCGACGGCAGAACAACGCAGAGAAGAAAAAGACTTTGATTAATCGAAAAATAAACCTTTGGTTTTGTGCAAGTTGCGACTTGTTTGAGTTTGGTGGATTCCAAGCTTGTGAGCTTGTGTATCGATTGATTATTCACTTCAATCGTGGTCGAGCAGCTACCCTTTTATACCATACGAGCTTTCCCCAGGTGTGGAATTGTCCGTTGGTTCCGTTTTATCCCAAGTTCGTATTAAGAGCGCTTCGTTCTTGATTCGAGCTCAATCGATTCTTCGATTGAGTCGTTTGCTGCGTTACTTTGATAACATACACCCCCCCCCCAGGGGCGTATTAAGTGGTATCAGAGCCTGGATTTAGATCATATCAGGCTCTCCCTCTTCAAAAAGCTTTGTCCTCAAAGCTTGAAGCTTTTTCTTGTCAAAAAAGTCACAGAATTGTTCCCAAAGTGGATCGAAAGTAGGTTGCTCAAACTCAATTTTCGGCATCACTATGGCAGCTTCTAATTCACATTCAATCTGTTCCAACCGCTTCGTTGGACTCCAAGGTACCAACGTGTTTTTGTCGTTAAAAATTTACAATAACAAGTTCTTATCAAAATTAAAGTCAAATATCAATCTCTCAATACAAATTATCCATATATAAAACACCACTCTAGAAAATTCAAACAAATCACAAATTAACTATACAAATTTTCGACACCATCTAGAAAACTCAAGAAAATTGAAGCAAATCACAAATTATTCATAAATAACATGATTAATTGAAAGCTTCTGCCTCCTTGTCAATTAAGTTTCTTCACTCGATAACATCAACCTTATTCTACACAATTAGAAAGAAAAAAAATTATACATGCCTCCACAAACATAAAAAAGATTAGTTGTTTAGAATATTAAATATACAGAGAAAATTAATTATATGGGTGTGGGAGGGGGCCCATGGGGCGGGTTTACCTAAATCCAAATCCAACTCAACCCAGTGAATAGTGAACGGGTTTAAACCCGAACCTGGCCCAAAACCCATCAACACGGATTTTACCCGCATTGACCGAGTTGGGTCGGATGAGTACTCGTTGGCAATGCAGTTAAAAGCGCGATTCTACCTAAAAGCGGAAAAGGGGTAAAATCGTAAAACGTAGAATCAAAGCGTAAAAACGTAAGTTTTTGACGCATAGTGTAAAATGGCTAAAAATCTGTTAAGTACGACATATACTATGTAAAATATGAGTGCACAGAATTTAGATAAGTTAATAAATAGCTGCAATTCATGTCTAAAGTAGAACAACTCATAGCATCTTAACAATAAGTTCATAAACATAGATATTAACAATAAGCCACCGCCCCCTCTTTGCTAATTAATTTGGGAACTAGTCAACTAGATTACTCTATTGAAGCTGAGAATGCATCCAAGACCTACTATGTATCTTTTAATATTAAATATATCATATTGTTGGTGATTTACCTTTAAAATATACTTTTTATAATTAATTTCATGAGAAGAATACACATTTAGTGAACTAAAAGCGTAAAAACGTAAAGCGTTTTGGTGAGCTAGAAGCGTAAAAGCATAAGCTTTTAAGCTTTAAAACGCAATTTAGTCCGATTTTACACACTAAAGATTTTAAATGAAAACGAAAGTGTTTTGGTCACCTAGAAGCGTAAAATCGTAAGTTTTTAAGTTTTAAAGCGCGATTTTGACTGCATTGCTCGTTGGTTCAGGTTTTGTTGTCACCCCTATCCTGACTAAGTTGTTCGAAATTTTTGATTACCCACAGGCTACAGAAGTTAGTAGTAGTAATTAGTAAAGGTGACACCTTTTTGTCAGGCTATTTTCTTGGGGACATGTTGAACAAGCTAATCTTACTAGGTCTCGTCAAAAGAGAAGTTAGAGCCAACATGAGCTCCGTGTTTTTTTCCATAGTTTGGAACTAGTTGTTCACAGAGCAAAAGCATTTACATTCTTCCCATTTCACTCTTGCTAGTTACAGCTCCCCTCGTCCTACTACTACTATAACCGATGCATCATCAATTCATCATCGCATGGCTTCAGTCCGGCGCAGCACTCTCCTGCTGGGATCCGCAGATCTGGACCTCTTACTACTGCACATCGTCGATCTCAATCCTCCTTTCTTCGCTTCGTTTGGGAGATCAATTGCCGCCATCAACTGATTCCGTCTGGAAGAAGACATCGTCTTGTTCATGTACCGAACAGCTTCACTTGTCTGTGGATCCTTGCATCCCTTTCTCGATAGTCTCTCCTCGGCTGCAAGATTGCCAGCCTTGCACTGCTGATCTCTTGGATTCCTATACCTGGTTTCTGAAAAAAGGTTACAAAGTATTGCAGTTATATCATATGGAACCATATTGTGTAACAGTCGGTTAAGATAATGGTTTCTTTTCCGGCTTTACCTGGTAGTCTTATGGAATTGGTAGCACGACCTGAATGCGTGAAGGGTATCTGGGATTGGAAAAGCCGACCACCATCATCATCTCTGACACTTTTCTCGCAAGTCTGGCCACTGCCATTTGGATTGGCGAGAAGCTGTGGATGCAAGTTCTGGTCGTTGAAAGTGCCATAATCCTGAGGCTCTCTTGTTGCCTGGTGAATGTCATCAGCAGCAGGAGGAGGAGAAGACGATGGTTTTGCAGCACCTTTGGTCTCGTCGTCACAAAAACTCGGCCCTTCCTCAAGGCCTTTACCATCGTTCTGCTCAAGGATCTCAACTTGTTTATCTTGCACTACTGGTTCACGAGGAGAATCGATTTTGGGCTCGAGTATTACTGCTTCATCTCCAGTTAAAACAGAAGCAGCAGCATCACAATGGTCACCATTTTCCTTACTGTTATTATCAGATGAAGTATACTCCTCAACTTCCATGGTTTGTAGAACAGATTTTGGCGACGTACTTGAAGAGCCCAACTCTTGATTAACCTTTTGTGAGTCCATTAAACTTGAAAACCAAGGTGTACCTTCTCTGGCATACAATAGAAGATATGCAACTTGAGATAATACAAATTCTTCGCGACATTCAGTGACCTGCAAAACAACAAAATATGGGTAGAGATCAGCATATGTACAGCAAAATCTAGTCATAGAGAAACTGTATCGATCATTCTCTTGAATGGATATAGTAACATTACCCTTGAGTCATCCAACTTGTGCCATTTTCCAGGTGACGACTTTATATAGCAAAAGTAGTGTCCAGAGGTAGGTGAAAAACCATTGTGCACCACAACTCCATACAGTTGATACTTCAAACCCTCCTGTTGCATAGATAACACAAGTGTTGGTGTAATTTTGAAAAAACAGTCTAATGTCAGGCCATCTTGTGAAGTATGACAACTATATAGTTTCATTTGTTCTTTGCTGCTCGTTTAGAAGTTATTTAGAAGAGTAACAAAATTGGAATGCACTAACAGATTTGAACATAACATAATTGCACTAGAAGGGACTAATCATAACCACTTACATTGTCATTCTGGTCATCACTGGAGTAGGGCGCTAAATCCAGCTCCAGAGGAAACTCAACATGCTTGCCAATCTTCTCCACCGAGTGCCCATCAGTTTTGAACCTCTTCAAATGCAGAGTAGTAATTAAAGGAGCCCTGTCCAGCATAAGCTGCTTCTCCATCGTAACTTTTTCTTTGCAACTATCACACGATAGCTTTGTTTCTGGATCTTCTATCTTCTCCACTTTAGTGAAAGATTCAAGTGCATCGTGAAGGCTGTCCACGTCTTCAATCTCCAAGCTCAAGTCAATTAAAGGTTCGTATTTGTCAGAGAAGTGGCCACAGCTGCAACACTTTAGCTGTATTACCAACACAATTAAAGAAGACAAGATGATCGTTTGTAGCTTTAGAAAACTGGAAGATGAGAATTTTCAAAAGGCTGATTTCTCCATACCTTGCTCACAAGACGACCTCCAAATATTTGCTGCACGATATTATCAGCTTCTGAAGAAGAGGAACCTTCAGCTGGATTGGGATCTAAACAACATCTTTCGAGCCTATCCAACAAGCACTGCAGAAATTCATGTGCATCTTCCTGATGGTATCTTTGGAAAAAGGATGAAATGCCTGATCTATGTTAAGGAGAACGTTCAAGTGAGCACCCTATGGAAGACTGTCATAAGCAAACGGATTCACAACCCACAAACACAGACTCACTAGTTCAAACTCAGGGACCTTAGCAATATGAAGGCTATCTGCTGAAGAGAATATGAGAACCATATACCTTCCTACACTAACATCAAATGGATAATTCAATGCTTGCTTAATCAGATCATCAATAAGAACCATGTAACACGACCACAAAGCATAAAGAAAGCAACAAAGGATACAGCTCAAGTTCTCGAAAAGCTTCCGGGGAGCAATAGTTTCTCCCGAAGAAGTCAGAGAACGTTCGATGTGATCGCGAAGTGCATCAAGAACACAGAATCCATCAGTACCTCCTGGAAGATTCAAAATTTTAGTCAGCAAACACCAAAATGATATTCAATTCCAAGTGGGGCAAACATAACAATCTAAATAGGAGTTTGCTCTCTGAATATCTGTGGGTGGAAAATAAAACAGGGCAACAGATTACTTACGGTCACAAGGTAATGAATGATTGTGAGATCGTAGAGCCTTGACAAGAGGGACAGTGTGTGTAAAGCATTGCAAAATCGCATTGATGAAGCATGTGTTTCCAAGGTTTGCAAGCCCAGCACCCTGAAAAGCAACATTCATTATTTGTGCATGATAACATCATTGTCCATGATCAATCACACACCCATTCCAAGAGATCTGCGAAACTATACAGTAGTTGCAGGCAACACCGGAAAGAACAGATACACTTTCCAACAATCAGTCTACAGCACAATTCCAATAATTCACGAGAAAGAAAACCCACTAGTCACGTACCATGCCAGTAGGAACAGGTTCCCTCCGGGGCCAGAAATAGCCCAAAGGCCTATCATCTTCCCTCCGGGGACAGAAAAAATCCCTACGCCTATCATCTTCATCTTCTGAATCGGAGCGGCCTCTATCCAGCCGGAGCGAGCACTGGCACCACAAACCATATCCATTGCGCGCAGGACAGCCACGGCAATGAAAGCCATCGCCTCCAAAACCAGAACGTTGAGCGTAAACAACGAGGGGAGGCTGATTGAAGTACTCCGAGTCGCCCTCGTCACGATCAAGCTCTCCATCGCTGAACTTGGCATTCGGCGAAGAAGGGGCACTGGTTCCAGCTTCCGTTTCCATAGGAGACCCAGGACCCTGATAGTCCCCCCAATCATCATCCGACCCCAATTCTCCAGAGGGGGCAGCGGATGACACCCCTATAACAGCTTCCCCATCCGACGGCTGCGCCTCCAGCGCCGACTCTTGGGCAGCATTTCCAGACGAAGAAGTAAAAGCAGACTTGAAATCAACAACTCCGTCACCACCATCCCCGCCTGAAAAACCCCCACGACTCGAAGAAGCCCCGATTTCGGGACGAGCCAGACCGGCGGGGTCTAGGGTTTGCCCAGAATCAAGGTCGTGAACATCACCTGATACAATTCTCCAGGGGCCTTTGTCTTCCGGGGGATCGGACAGCTGCAGCAGCTCTACTAAAGCTAGGGTTTCGGGCGAATGGGGACCACCGCCGGCAAGACCCCCACCGTGGGAGGGAGGAGGAGGAGGAGAATCAGTCATAGCCGCCGTCGAAGGAGGAGGAGGAGGAGGGCCGGAATGGGTTTTCCGGATGGTCAAGAAACGGGTGACCACCAAAGATCTGGAGCAGCTTCTCTTGCAAGACTTGGAGGAGGGTTTGACCTTGCGGGCGCCGCGGAGAAGGGAGGGAAGCACACGGAGCTTGAATTTGGGGAGGAGAAGATTCCGGATCCTGCGAAATTTCGAGTTTCTTCCCCCGTCCTGGCTTGCTGCAGGGAGTTTATGGAAATGGCGGTGGGAGAGTGGGATCATTGTAGTGGAGAGGGAGGGAAGAAGATTGGGTTTGGGTTTGGGTTTTGGTTTTTGGGGGGGAGTTTTTTGAAAAGAGAGGGAAAATGAAGCGCCTATTCTCTCGTTCTCTTTCTCTGACTCTGCCCCCTTCTTCTTTTTGACAGTTTTCAGCGCACTGTCACTCACAGAGTCGCCACTGCTCCTTCTTGTCTCGTTCTAGGGTTAAACAAATTTTATTTTTCCCCCATTTTCTTTGGGGGTGACGAAGAGGAGATGGCGAGTGAAAGCTCCGGTGGGCCGTGGGCCGTGGGTCGGGTTTAGGGTCGATGGTGGTGGGCTTTTATCTTTCTCGACAAATAAATATATTAAAAAAGTTTTAACTTTTTAAAAATAACAAATATATGACTGTTACAAGTTACTAGATTAGGGCCCAGCCAGAGTTTGATTTTCATGTATATGTGTAGTAAACATTGAGGATTGAAGTAACAATTTAATTTGGTAAGTTCTCCATGAATAATATAGGAAAGTATTTAATGTATTTGACTAATGAAGTTTAATAAATGACAAACAACGCCCAAATACACTAACGTAAATTCATATTTCAAACAAAGTCATATCTATATAAAAATGTCTAAGAAGAACAATGATAAGAGTTGTTTTACATCACACATACATAATCAATCTTCAATATACGATATATTTTTTTGCCTTTTCCATTGACTTTCTTGTATTCAATGATATAATGAAACAAACCATATGTTTAGAGTGTACTTAAAAAGAAACAAACTAACTCACACAATCATGGTTCCATTGATTTTAGTGTATTCAATGATATAATGAAACAAAGCATGCAGATCTCCAGCTGCAAGTTCAACTAATAGAGCAACACATAAAAAGCTAAATCAAAGCGAAAAAAGGCAAAAACTAAAAGCAGCATACCTAACATTTTGGGGGAAATCCACAACAATAAAAGTCATTGTATGAACACTTGATAATGATTTGAACACTTGTGATATATAAGTAGTGAAAGTTAATAAGTCATTGTAGCTCTTACTCAAGTTAGAAAGAGTTTGATTTAATGGTAAGTAAACAATGATATGTAGTGCTTAAGAGGGAAGATGAGACCTTACATTGTTTATTAATATGCATCTTAGCTTCATAAATTTTACATCATTAAAAATTTATGTGCTGAATAGAAACTCATCCAAGTTTGGAGCCATTGTAAAATGTAAGTTATGAGGCAAATGAAAAGTCTCAAGCAAGGTTGTCAACCCGCGGGTTAACCCAGACCCGGTGAATCTAGTGAGTCAAGGGTTAATGGGTCACCCGGTTTAGCCCGAAAATATGGAAAGAGTTATTATATTATACTTATCCTGATAAATTATATCAAATCTCATCTAACATATGAGTTATAACATATAATATTACACTAAAATAACATGTCGTACTTAGATCCAACATATAGTGAAAATTCACACACAATTATATAACAACAATATTCAAATGTTCAACTTAGGATTCCAAAGATTGAGTTAGGTGAAAAGAAAATTGGAAAATAGGCGCATTTTGCAAACCAAAGAAAAAAATGACACAATTTGACCTCTAACCCGATACCTTGTAGCGGTCGACTTGGCGGGTGCGTGCAGCCCGTTTTTCTCACCGGGTCAGGGTCAAAGTGGGTCAAAGTGGGTCGACCCGCGGGTTGACAACCTACTCTCAAGCATCCACATGCTTGCAAAATAAATCTATATTATCAAACATAAAATCATATCTTGCATAAAAAAAAAGAACAAAAAAGTAGTAATTCGATAATCAATGTAGGAATCAATATGGACACAATATCAAACCAAGAGAAGAGGAAGCAAAAAAACACAAATTGATGTGTATAGATTCCGCTCACGATATTTCAAAGTGAAAAATATCGTAAAAATTATTAACCAATAAAAGGAAACGGTTAAGGGGAAAATGCATCAATTTGAACCTAAAATGAGAGGAATTAATATCCTACACCTTCATATATAATAATATATTATATCCCAGAACATCATAAACAAATATATCTAAATGAAAACGTATACTAAATTGAATCCAATGTAAAAGTAACGATGAAGATAGATATTATATCCACCTAAGGAATAATAAAGTAAACCATGTTTCTTAGAGACCTCTCTCGATAGAACCACTCTATTATAAAACTCATTTCGTCAAACAATTGCATCATATAGAGTTTTAACTTTGAAGTGCTTATAATTAGCTATTTCAGCTCATGAATGAATTAATTATTTCATTTGGTAAAAGAAAATAATTTATAAACTTGAGAGTTATTTCGTTTGTTGTCAAATCATTTGAACTAAAGTATGAAATTGCTTCAGAACCGTTATTTTATTCATTATTATTAAAATTGCTATTTTTATTATAATGTCTAAGCATGTCTAGGCGAGCTAAGAGATAGACAAATGCCCAATGACCGTCGTACGCCTAACGTGTTGCCGAACCTCAATAATTATAGCAAACTTTGAGTGCATCTTATAAATTTGATCACTTCTATTTGGGTATAATTGATTACATCAATAAAGCGATCAATCAAAGAGTCTTTCTTTAAAATTTTGATAAGATGTCCCCTACTGCACAATTAGTATGACTAAATTGTACTAAGATAATCATGTATTGAATTTTGAATCGATAGCGCAAAAGATTGTACTAACTCAAGTAGAGTTTTAGCTACTCGATACTTCATATTCGCATGTAGATAGCTATTTCGAAGAGTTCGAATATTGATTGAGTTTGTTGAACTGTACCTAACGAAACTATGATATCAAGCGCAATATATTATGCTTTTAGGAGAAATTGGGAGAATATGTTGGTGACATCAAACCTAACATGGATACCATTGAATTTAAGTGATAAGCAACATTTATGTTTAATAGATTAGACATGAATAATATATTTAGCATTCTCATAAGTTGGTGCGAAGAAGTGAATAATTAGGATTTGAAAGCTAGAAACAAAGTTGATTTAATAAATAAATGCAAATGATATTGTGAAAAAGAAAACAAATGCTTAGAGCATAGTTAGGCATGAGAGTGTTACATTAAACTCTCTAAGAGAAAGCAAGTAACCATTAATAGTTAGCTGTGGATATTGAAATAGTTAACTATGATGAATACTATATACTGGTGTTGATACTTGGACCTTAGCTTGAACATTGCATCATGCTGATAAAAATTATTTCATTAATTACATTATTGAAATAAGGGTCGTATGAAAGTTTTGATTGTTTTTTAGATTGTTAAAATAAATACATTTTTCATTATACAATACATATGTTTTTATTTTTTTTCATACACAATCGTGAATTATTTGTTTGATTTGACTAAACTATCATTCAAATTGAATAATTAAACAATTTTGAATTTTAGCATAGACTGTCGAGATAATTGTTATCAGTGTTTGTCATTTTTATTTATCTTGAAATGTATGGTACCAATGTCCTTATATCGTCATTGAACACTTCAATTCAATGCGCAATATTCCAACCAATGATATTTGTGTTGAGATTTTAAGATTATCCTTCATTTATAAGTTAGAAAAAATTATAAATTAATTATTAAAATATGAAAATAGAAGTATCAAACTCCACAAACTACTTACAGGAGACTTAGCGGGCTAACTAACTGTGATAGAAAAGTACTTTATTTTTCATAATTTTAACTTCCTCTATGTTTTGTATTAATAAAGTACAACAAATGTGTCTAGTCTAATTGGTTACAATTCTTGTCTTTGGTGGAAGGGACCATGGTTCAAATCCTAGCATTGATATCTTTTTATATGAAATAAAAAAATGATTGTGTAGATGAAAATACCCTTCCTATTTTCACTCTCGTTGCAGGAAATTTGAAATGGAACAAATCAAACTCTTTAAAATGTATTATAAGTTATCTAGACAACAAAATACTTTGGATTTTTTTTTTTAAATATACACATTGTGAATAATGCTCGACAATCTCATTGAATATAGCCCACTAGAAATCATTCAATTTCCGAAACTTGTTCTTGATTCATTCCGGAGTTGGAAAAACTATTTCAACACTTATAGTTGCAACTGCTCAAATCATTACAGGTTTGAGGAGAAAATAAACCGACCGATGAATATGATGGGATTTGCTTTTGTCATTGCCATTATCTAAGTCAATTCATCAATTTCTTTTAGTCCAGGGAATAACTCATCGTTTTTTACATGATGATAATAACTGTCAAAATGACGCAGAAAGAAATGAGCCAAAAAGGTAACCAAACTCGTTAGGATAAAATCGAGTTAGGATCCCGCAAAACTCTGAGCCTATGTTTAGAGCAACAATCATCTGCAAGTAGTTTTGATAACTGGTCCTCAAGTGGCATGTGACTCTACTCGTATGAGAAACTAGCAAGCGGCAACTTCATAATCCCCCTTTAAGTTTGACTTAATGGAGGTTGATATTGGGAATCAAGAGAATACTACATCGAGCAACTAGCAGTTCGACCATATGCAAGTTGTCAGTCACAATATGTCGAAAACCAATAACAGCGCCTAGACAGTCATTTGCGGTCGTCATCACCAAGCATATAGGTTATTGATAAGAATGCACAAAACATCAAAACTGGACTTGATGCAGCGGCGAGGTGAAGGAAGAGATCAAATTAGAGGCATTAAGGGGAGGATCGAAGTGGAGGGGATGAAAAGAACGACTAGGAGAGCATCATTGGACTCGGGGGAGCGAATTGAGCAATGAAGATTGATGCAAGTAGTTGATTATTTTCGAAAACCATTGTGTTGCTGGATTTCCATATTCTCCATAGCAAAGCAAACCACTTGGAAAAATGTGCATGGTTGTACACATGACATGTTACATTAGTCTCTACCATAAAGCGTTTAATTATTATTGCGCGGTGATCCAATTTCCATCTCTATCATTTGCCATAATCGAGTAGCTAATGGACAAATTAAAAATAGATTTTCCAATGTCTCGTCCTCGTCGTGAATAATATGGACTCTATGGAAAACGAACTACTCCGGCCCACATCGTTTCGCCTAAATTTCTAAGGGGCCCTAGCCCATTTTCTTTATCGCCGAGCACTGCGAAAGCCCAGCAGCTGCGTTGTTTGTCCAACAAAAACCCTAGAAACGGGGCGTCTATCTCTGCTTTATATTTAACGCTCCAAAACCCTAATCGCTAACATCGTTTCCGCCTGCAGCAGTCGAAGATGTCGAAGCGAGGTGTGTATTCTCTCCTCTCCACTCTCCTTTCTTCGTCAATCTTGCAGCTCCAATTCTTAGTTTCAAGCTTTTTATCTGATCTCCATGAAAATGTTTTCTCGAGATTGAAAAGAATTATAGATCTACGATCTGATAGCCTAGCTGTATAATAATCATATGGCTTACTGATATTACGACTTACGAGTTTGGCTGCTAGGTTATATGTTTGTTTTATAGGAAAGGATGAGGAGCTTACTTTATTTTGCTTTACTAATCGCTGAATCTGTGCACAGGACGAGGAGGTTCCGCTGGGAACAAGTTCAGGATGTCACTGGGTCTGCCAGTGGCGGCCACGGTCAATTGCGCCGACAACACAGGTGCCAAGAACCTGTACATCATCTCCGTGAAGGGGATCAAGGGTCGATTGAACCGATTGCCATCTGCTTGCGTCGGTGATATGGTGATGGCCACTGTGAAGAAGGGAAAGCCCGATCTGAGGAAGAAGGTCATGCCTGCCGTCATTGTTAGGCAGCGCAAGCCATGGCGCCGAAAGGATGGTGTCTTCATGTACTTCGAGGGTAAGTCTAAAGTGAATAAATTTCTGTACCTGTAGCTGAATTGGGTATATGTGGTGTGGCTTTCTGCTTTTCATTGATCCGTTCCATATGTGAGTGTAAAAATTCTTACTGGTGTATAGTGTCTGATTGTTTCTCATATACTGTCCAAGCTTGCTGCCCACAAACCCTTATTGAATTAATTTGTGAAATGAATTTGGGTATTAGTGTAGTTTTGTATACTGCATTGAATCGTGTTTGTTGTTATTCTGTGTTGTATCAACTTTAATTGTCGGCTCTGGTCATAGTAGAATCTTACTTTCTGATATGATCAATTCCCGTTTGTTTGTCATCGTTTTTTGTAATGGTAGTGTATAGGAATATGATCATATGTCTTGGTCATCTGGCTGTGATGTGGTGTAAGAATAGGCCAACCTTACCCCTACATTGGATGTTAACATCACTGTAATCAACATTCCTGTCGGGGTTGGCACACTAGGATCGTTTATGTGGATTTCATAGGCTGTCATATCTTTACCAGACTAAGTCAGGTATCCTCCTAAATGATGATTGGTTGATACAGTTACATGTCCGGGATACCAACTGTGTCCCTCGTTTCAGGTGTAGAGGTTTTTGGGTCTTCTTTTCTGGTCCATTTGGACTGCATATTTTCCTCCCATGGTTTTCTTTTGTATGGGGCCGTAGTGTCTTTCATGGTTTATCCTATGTTCATTTACCAGACTAAGTCAAGTAGCTTCCTAAATGGTAATTGGTTGATACAGTTACACGTCTGGGAAATCAAAGGCGTCCCTCGTTTCAGGTGTAGAGGTTCTATTTATCTTCTCATCTGCTCCATTTGGACCCTATATATAGTTTTCCGATTTTAGGATTTTTTACTGTCATTATTGAATTTATCCTGTCAACCAGACTAAGTCAGGTAGCCTCCCAAGATTTAATTGGTTGATACAGTTACATGTCTGGAAAACAAAAGTTGTCCTTCGTTACAGGTGTTGATGTTTAATTAGTCTTCTCATCTGCTCCATTTGGACCCTACATCTTAACCTTAGTCTATATTAGGTGCAGTCATCAGGAGCCTTGCATGTCTTCTTTACCAGGGGAATTCTGCATTTTTTAGTTGATACCGCTTCCTGACTCGAATGTGCTTTTCATTTGCAGACAATGCTGGGGTCATTGTCAACCCGAAGGGAGAAATGAAAGGATCTGCTATTACTGGTCCCATTGGAAAGGAGTGTGCTGATCTATGGCCGAGAATTGCAAGTGCTGCCAATGCTATAGTTTAACCTTGCCTGCTTTTGTTGTTTGTTGATTTTGGAACCTAGTCTTTATTTTAGAGTACCTGTAGGTGTGTTTGTGGAACTTGGATTTTGTTTGAAGTCTGATGATCAGAAGTACATTGAAGAAGTTGAAGCGTTTTTCATGTTTACCGCGTTAGATGTGCTTTCTTCCCGTGATCTCTCAATAATTTGATCTCTTCCTTTGAATTTTGCTTTCTTCCCGTTCATGGATATCGCAATTTACCCCTTTCGTGAATAAGCTCGACCATTGATCTCCCCAGAATTTACGAATGGCTGTGTCCTGTTGGAAAAAAAGTTCTGTTTTTCTTGCCAACCCTCATTACATGGAAGCATTGGAACACGCTCTCCAACTGCTATTTGTCAAACTCCTTTCCCCTGACTCCTGCAGTTGCGGATTGGAACATTCGTCACCAACATGGGTAAAACCACGGATGGTTATCATCGACCTGAAATGGGTTGCAGTTCAGCGTACAGAACTACAGCGTGAACTGGACGATGAACGTCGAGCTCCACAGCATCCGCGACTGCAAGGTCGTCCCAGAAGAGTGCATTTACTACATCAGCAACTACGTGCATCGGTTCAGTATGACAACGATTCACATAGAGGAGTGCATTGTCTACATCAGCACCACCTGCAACTTTAGGAATGATGGCAGAGATGGATGGCTGTTTGACGTCGATGGCACTCTTCTTTCCACCATCCCCTTCTTCAAGCAACACCAGTTCGGGTAGGCTATAATTGATCACCGACGGCTACAGAATCTGGCGGACCATTGCAGATCAGTACAATAGCTTTGCAGGCCTCCCAAGTGCTGGCAGGACATTCAAGCTCCCTAACACCTCCCGTAGTCCCATCCAGAGTGTATTAATGTTCCCTTCCTGCTAAACCAAGGAGACTTACCAACCACGATCAGAAAACTGCAAGAGCAATTTGTCTGCATCATTACATTGTTTGGAGAAAACCAAAGTTCTCCATAACATAACTGCTCTACGTCCCTGATCTCCCTGAGAGCTGCTTTTTATTACACTGATCTCTAAAGAAAATCTGGAAATGGGTGGGTGGGTGGTTGCTTTCTGAACTTGTGAGCTGCAGTTCCTCCCTCAGTGCATCTTTGGATCGCCGCCCATGTTCCTCTTAGCGCAGTACTCGAACAAGCTACCGTCAAAGCAGCGCCTTATAGCCTCTTTCGAAAGGTACCCTTCGTCGTCCCTTGCAAGGATGTACAGAAACCCCCACTCCAGTTTTGAGGCAATCCTGCAAACGAAGGGTGGCAACTAACAATGTTACTCTTACCAGAAAGATAAACAGAAGACTTCCAAAAGAAAAAGACTGTTTCTTTTTCTTCCAGACACTGCAAGAAATTGGACAGGAATACATATGACATACCATCCGAATAAGTCATAGGAAAGTCTGTTCCCTTGAGTCATGTCCCAAAGCTCCCCGAACGAGAGCCTATCGGGCTGCGTTCGTGCGTACTTGCTGAACATGTTCTCGAACTGGAAGGGCAAGTACCTTACACCCACAAGATCGAAAAAGAGAGCAAGCAAGGCCAGTAGTTCATCAAGAAGAAGTTTTTTACAGTCACAAGTCAGGAAAAAACAAGCAAAATCAGAATGAACTAACTTTTGATTCTGTATGTGTGTACCTTCCTTCGGTATCATACGTGCCCGAATCACTGCCATGTTTGGCCTTGTGAATGTTACAAATGTAGATTGGGAACAATGGGTTAGGAAGCCAATACTGCAATTTAGACCCAAAACAGCACACTCAATCATGAAGTTACCATACAAACTTGACCATATTACAGTATATAACATATAGTTTACTTACAGGGAGAGTGGCATAGCTGAGGGCCACATTGACAAATACGGCTATAACCAGAGAGAGAATTGGGTTGAAACCTATCTGCCGACATCCTGTTTCCCAGCCACAATTGTGACATTTTGAGACTTGCCATTCCAAAGGCCCAAGCAGTACAATTTTCACAAAAGAAGGGGGGTAAATTTTTTGTCTAACCACTGTAAGTCTCCCAAGGGTAAACGATGCCATTGTCGTCTTGATCGAAGAAGGCGACATGCTGTTGCAGCACACTCAAGCCATTGTGCTTGTGGCCTGGTGTCCCATATGGATGCTCTGCATCTGGGGCTTCCAATGCTCTTGCCATATCTGATCAAATCAATTTCTCCATTGTTTTGTAATCAATTACCATAAACCCATACAGGAAAACCCCGCGAAATTAAACAAAGCGCCTAGAACAACCCTCGATATAATCCATTGTCAAGAGATCTAATCAAAACCCATATCCAGAGTTGAAATCCCCTGAATTCAGAGCAAGAGGGGGAATCAAGTGCTTACACGGCTTGGGCAATCGATCTTCGAGGTCATCGCGAACATGTCGGCCGAAGGTGACAGGGGCAAGAGGCGCCTCCGTCGACATCCCGTCTCTCCTCTCCAACTCCCTCGCCATTCTGTGTTTTCGTTTCTCTCTGTTCTCGCTCTTCTTCTTCTTCTTCGTAGTTTTTAGGGAGGTGATATTATCTCTACATGCAGAGAAAGGGTGTATGTTTGGGCGTTGTGGCAGCTTGTGGAAGTACCGTGCATGTCATAGAAATGATAATCAAACCTATAATTGCGAGTTTTGGATCATTATCGACCGAGTTAACGTGGAGAATCCTCACATTAGTTAAATATGTGGTTACATATATGTAAAATTCGTAAAAAAGTTTGGTGAAGATGGGGCATGCTGATTTTAAGTTGATAGATACGAATTAACATTCCTAACACAGGTAAGTGAACCGATGATATGATTGTAGTATGGTGGATTCAAATTATAAATTATTGTATCTCTTGGATTTCTAAGTTACTAATACTCAAATTCGGATTATTATTTTTCACCTAAGAATTAATCTGGTATCACACCGTTTAAATACAAGGAATTAAATAATTTTATAAAATCAAGTTAATTATAAAAATTAAACAAATTAAGATGAACCACATGAATTGAATTTTTGGTCTAACGACACAAATGTCATCACACCTACGCAATCCCTATCAAACCAACTTACTGGGCATTCGTGGGTACATGCGTTCACGAATATATCTGTGAATAATTTGTCCGAAGGTGCACATCCTTATATTATCAAAACTTTGTCTTTAAATATATTGTTATGAAAGCTTTTAACATAAACATTTATTTGTATTATTAGAATTATATTGTCATAAAAACTAACAACATTCACAAATTATTCGTATTATTTGTGCTTGCATACAAAACTATGTCATTTTTCTTTTCAAGAGCAAGTCGAGTGGATAGTGGATTGAGTTTTGGCTAAACTCGCATCCAACCCAATCCACCAACTGCAAAAGTGAGTGTCACCCGCATGTGATCCGAAATACGTCAACGTGAGTTTTATCCTCTTGAACAAGTTGAATTGGGTTGGGTACCCTCGAGTACGAGTTCAATTGTCGCTCTAATTACGATTGTGCACCTTTTTTTTTTTGCCATAATTATCATGAAAGGAAGCAACATAGATTCGAAAATATACAAGACCTAGTAAGACTAAGACTAGGAAATTTAAAAAAAAAATGATAGTCGACAAGTGTATGAACCATCGCTCCAAAGGCTTGTTTGTCACGATATGGACAACCCTATAATACCAACGATAAGTGAAATGTAGTGTAGTACAAAGGAAAGAAGCTCCCAACACTTGAATATCTTGCACAATAGCTCTACCCACCGGGTGCAACGAATCTCTCACATTGATCATCCGGACAATCACCTGCTTATCTCCATAAAACGATTACTTCAATGAAGTTTCATACTTCAAAAATAAATAAATCTGAATTGAGTATGTTTTTCCAAGTTCCCTTCTTAAAGAATGAGGAAATGCATTGAAATAAACAGTACTTTTCCTAGTACATTTCTTATTATAATAATAATAATAATAATAATAATAATAATAATAATAATAATAATAATAATAATAATAATAATAATATACAACATAAATAGCGAAACATAAAGTTTTGGGCTGAATAAAAAAAACAAAGAACATACGTTGGCCGAAATACTCCATATATTATTGGGCCTATGATCTGCAAACTCGATGGATTCTGAAGCCCACGGTTTCAAAGGAAACCTTCGCCGAAACCAAATTCGCATCGTCATAAGTTCAAAGTTTAGTTCCGGTTCCGGACCTCTCTACTCTGTCGAGGATGGCAACAAAACCCGAACCCACGGGTACCCTACCCGATCCAATCCGATCAATGTGAATTTTACTTGAGATAACGGGTTTCAGACTAGGTTTGTGTTTAAATTCGAACACTATTCATCGGGTTGGGTTGAATTTGGGTTTAGGATACCCGACTTATGAATACTCGCCCACACTTATTTCGTCGCCCTACTCTCTCCAAAGTCCAAACCCTACCCTAATTCTAATTTCCTCCAATCTAACTCTTTTTTTTTGCCAAAGTTATCCCGAAAGGGAAGTAGCGAAGATACGACAAAATACAAGGCCTCCTAAGACCAGGCTAGGAAAATTAAATAAATAAAACACGATGATCGACAAGTGTCTGCACCATCGCTCCAAGGGCTTGTCTTGCCACAAAATGGGCAGCCCTATTATACCTACGGGGAGCGAAATGGAACGTAGCACGAAGGAAAGAAGCCCGCAACACCTGAATCTCTTGCAGGAGAGCTCCACCCACCGCATGCGACGAGTCCTTCGCATTAATCATCCGAACGATCACCTGCGCATCCCCGCAAAACAAAACAGTAGTGAACGAGTGAGCCATGCACCAACGTAAGGAGTCGCGAAGGGCCAGGAGCTCTGCGAGAAATGGGTCATCAATGTTAGGAATAAAACGCCCCCAAGCGAATATAGAGTTATTCGCCTCTGTAAAGCCAACAAAACCAATGGCACATCCGACCAAAGATTTGGTGGCACCATCAAAGTGAACCAACATTGCACCGGGAGGTATGGCGGGAGGTATGGAGGGAGGGGGTTGATCACGAGGTAAAACCCCACCAGAAGCAGAAGAACCGCGAGGCAAAGATCTCACCGGATGCGCCTGTGCTAGCTCCCATTCAGCAACCTGAGAGTAATAATGTCGTGATAAAACATGGGAGAAATACTGAATACCATCATAAGTAGCCGAACATCTGGACTTCCAGAGCCTCCAGTACAGAAAAACCAACCGCGAAATCTCAACTTTGGATAACCTTGCATCAAAAAAATCCTACGCCAACCTATCGCAACATGGCACAAGCGAATTTGAGCAAGAATATGATTGTACCCCAACAAATCCCACAACTCCAAAGCAATGCGATAATCCAAAAAACAACGAGCAAGAGTCTCTGCCGCACCACCACAGACAGGGCAAGCGTAAGCCTCAGCATCATCATCAGCAATCAATTCCTTATCACGTAGCACATCTCGAACAGGGAGAAAACCTTTAACCACGCGTCAAAGAAAAAATTTAAGCTTTGGGGGAACAGGAAGAGACCATAGAAACTTCCAAGAGCGAGAGTCAAAGGACGATGGAATCGTGGAAAAATCAGCAATGTACTCAGCCGCAGCTAACCGATAACCAGATTTCACAGAATATCCTCCAATCTAACTCTTACTACACTTATTCCGTGTGAATTTATTTAGTGTAATTGTGATATGTTTGAATTTTCTAGAATTGAGTTTTATGTATGGAGAATTTTATGGATAAATTAATGTTTGAATTTAATTTTGATAGGAACTTATTATTGTAAATTTTTTACTACAAAAACCTAGGGATGGCAATGGGTCGGATACGGTGCGGATACCCTCTATCCGTTGCCCGCATTTTAGGCCCGCGGGTAATGCCCGTGCCTGCCCCGTTTGACTATACGGGCGGAGAATCCCTACCAAGCCCAAAACCAATCGGGCTTCGGTGAACCCACGAGTTATGGAATACCCGCCAGCGAGCCCAAAACCTAAGCCCACAAATCATCCAATTCCAAATGAACTAAAAAACAAAGGAAAAATCATTCAAAAAATAACAGCCAGCTGCCAACAGTATAAATGACAATGAACTGCAAACCCAAAACCTATCTGAAATCCAGCAAGTCTCCATCTAAGAACTGAAGTCTAAAACCAGCAGCTAAAAATAGTATGCAAAGTGCAATTCAGCCAATTCTCAACTAAGAATAGACTAACAAACCCCAAAACATGGGCACTAATGAGGGCATGATAATGCAAACACAAGAACAAAACCATAAATCAGTACTAAGTAGCAGCAACAAGCATTCTTCACTTCTTCAAAAACAGCCAGCAACACAGCAGGCTAACAACCCAGCATCATTTCAGCATCATTCCAGCAACTCAGCATCAGTCCAGCAACCCATCAGACAAGAGTAATTCACATCTAATGCCTACTAGACAATATCTGCAAAATATGACAGATTCATTCACATTAAACACTTTATTATGATGCATTATTAATAAATGGAAACTTAAACCTTAAAACACAAACCTAGAGCTAGTCCAGCAGGGTGATGACAGCAGCTACATCATCCTCATCACCTTTCTCCTTCGAACAGCTTCCAGGTCCATCTATTACAAAATAAAATGTTAGAACAGAGCTGAAGCATAAGTTAAACACTAGTTATAGCAAAAAGGTTACCTGTGCACTCTTCCACCGAGGAATCATCCATTGCCATAGCTGAGAAAACCACCTCTAAAGCTTTCAAATCCGAGGCAGACACTACATGGCAGGGAAAACAATAATTAATCGATAAGAATACTAACCAAACAATGGAAAACACAACAAAAAAAGTTAGAATTCGATTAAAACAATCACCTTTGCTATCATCTTGAATCCATGTCCTCAATATCATCATGGCTTCTACTGTTAGGGGATCAAGCCTGCTCTGATGGGGGTCTAAAAGCCTCCCACCAGAACTAAAGGCAGATTCAAAGGCAACACTTGTAACAGGCACAACAAGTAAATCCCTTGCAATGTCTTGCAAAATGGGATACTTGGCACCATTGAATTTCCACCAACCAAGCAAATCAAAATATGGTATTCTAGGATGATTATCCTCAGCTAGATAGTGATCTAACTCAGTTGTAACAACAAATGTTCTGGTTTTTTTCCTTTGGCTCACATATAGATCAAAATCCAGATCTGTGGCCGAAGAAGGATGAGATGTAGAAGAAACAGTTGTGTTCTTAGAGGATTTCCTCTGATATTCAACAACCAAATCAGCAACAAGATCTTTCACTCTATCAATCACAAGGTCAGAACCAGAACCAGTAATGCCAAATTTGTTTGCATAGTACCCAATCAAATCCAATTTGTACCGCGGATCCATCACAACAGCAACAGCCAGTAGCAAATGCATATCATCCCAGTATTTGACAAACTTTGTCCACATTTTTTCAGCCATAGAAACAATCATCAGATTAGGATCAACTAACCATTCCATCAAACGCAACCTCAAGTCACACACCTTAGCAAAAAACTGATTGGCTGTAGGATAGTTTGAACCAGAAAATACAGCAGTTATATCCTTGAAAACCTCAAGTTTCCCACACAAAATTTCAGCAAACTCCCAATGCTCATTGCTTGGCAGAGAGTTGTATTGAGGTTCCCTTATTTTCAGAATAGAGAACACATCCTTATATGGGAATGCAGCAGAAAGCATGTCATAAGTAGAATTCCATCGAGTGGGACAATCCAACACAAGTTTCTTAGAAACAACCAGCTTAAGCTGCTGGGCACTTGCATGGAAAATTTCAACTCTCCTAGGTGTGCAAGTCCAAAATACCACACTATCCCTGATGTTCTCTATTCCATCTTTGAGAACATCTAGGCCATCCCTCACAATTAGATTAAGGATGTGAGCAGAGCACCTCATATGAAGAAGTGTTCCATCCCTAATCAAATTAGAAAGAACAAGCCTTTGTTTAACTAGATTGATCATGGAATCATTGGTAGTACAATTGTCAAGAGTAATTGTTGACAATGTCCTATCAATGTTCCATGATTGGAGGCATTTAGCAAGCTTAGCAGCCAACCTCTCACTAGTGTGTGGGGCAGGGACATAACCAAACATAATCAGATGGTTCCGTAGCTTCCAAGAATTGTCTATGTAATGGGCAGTAACAACCATGTAGGACCTTTTTTGATTTGTGGCAGTCCACAAATCAGTTGTGACAGCAATCCTCCCTTTGTTTCGGTCCATTACCCCTTGGATTTTAGACTTCTCTAAACCATAAATAGTCACAATGTCTTTTTTTTATGGTATTTCGGGTTGGGACTTTGAAGAGAGGGTTCAAGGTGCAGCAAAACCTTTTGAAGTAAAGGTGATCCACAATAGAAAGGGGATACTCGTGCACCAAGATCATGGTGCAGAGTTCCTTTCTAGACACCTCACTACTGAACTGATTGGTACTCATATCAGCAGTACCATTGGCATTGTAATTAGCACCAAGTACCCTTTGACTCCCATCGTGTATTTTTTTATGGACACACTTGTTCCTATGAGTTCTAAGATGAGAAGTACCGTTACTAGATTTCCTAGCCAACACCTTCTTACAATAGTTGCATTTAGCTTTTAATATCCCATTCACCATCAGCCTAGTGAAGTGAGGCCAGACATCAGATTTTAAAGACCTAGTAGCACCTAAGGGATGTTGAGGAAGAACATCTTCCACAACATTTTCAAGATTACCATTAGGAATAGGAGGGGCAGCAACATCAGCAGGTGCATTACCAACATGTTCGGGTTCCATCTGTTTGACATAAGAAATTAAACATGTTTTAGAAAGATGTCCAGGTGTGTTCTTATTACTTAGTTCAGAGAATAAGAAGGTTAGGAGTAGCCAACATAAGGAGTTTATTCATTACAGATTAGGTGTGTTCTTATTACTTAGTTTGGTCATTACAGATTAGGATTTAGAACTACTACATAAGGAGTTTCTAACTTAAGAAGATTAAGTCACTTTGTGTTTAACATTACTGGATTAGTGGATTAGCAGTTTTAAACTTAACACTTGAGATGTGTTAAGTTTAGCTTAGACCAAATTAACAAAGTGCCTAAGTGAGCATTAGCAGATTACATGTAGATACAACAACTTCAATTGATTATCTGACCAATTACGCGACAAGTGACTAAATCTAGCATATTGGGTTGTTCTATGAACAACCAACACCAAACAAGGCTCATCGACTTACCTCAACAGAGAGCAGAATGCAGTTGAAGCACCAGCTGATTGCCAAGACTCCCAAAAAGCAAGCTACAGAAACAAAAGAGCAGGACATGAAGGAGCAAAAAGGATTAAATCATTAGCAAGCAACAAAATAAGCAAGCACCATGAAAAAAAATGAACGATGGGGCGGCCATTAAACTTACTGGAAGGCTTGCGTTTCTGGGTTTAGACTGTTGCCTCTGTTGATGAGAATAGCGAGCAACAAGCTGCAAAAAGCCAAAACAAAGGAGCAAGAAGGATTAAATCATTAGCAAACTAACCAAGCACCACCACCAGGAAAAAAATGAACGAAGTACTGGGAAATCAACTTACTTAGAAGATTGAATGAATGACGGAAAGGGGGATTTCGAGTTCTGGAACTAGAAGGCTTGCGTTTTTGGATTTAGGGTTCGACTTCGATAAACTGCAGATGAACAAAACCATGCAATTAGTCACCTATTTATATACGTATAAGCAAAACTGGATTAAGGAAAGAAAGAATCGAATACTTATCTCGAATTCTTGATCTAGGAAAGAAATCATCTGCATGCACGATTCTAGTTGTGTGTTTCATCGATCGAGACATTTTCGATGACTGGGGGCTTAATTCAGGGAAAGATGCAGGGTTATTGATGCTGGTATCGTCGATTTTGGTGGGAAATCAGTAGAGAAAGGATCAGATTTCGTCGGAATCGTAGGGATTTACAGAGAAATCGTCGATTGGATGGGTTAGGGTTGAAAGGAAATCGGGAGAGGAAATCGGCGGCTGTGTGGTGAAAATGGGTTCTGCAGACCCTAACCCTAAAATGGAGGTTTATATATGGTGGGGGTGCGACGTCGTTTTACTACGGGCCGGGTACGGTGCGGGGATGTCAAAATCCACACCCAGCCCGTCACCGTCTCCTGCGGGCCGCGGGTAAGCCCGAAACCGCCAATCAGCCCGGACTCGCGAGTTTCGACCCAATACACGCGGGCGGGCCCCGGCGGATGCCCAAGGCCCGCGGGCCCATTGCCATCACTACAAAAACCCATGGTCCCTATAAACCCGCGCATGTCCAACAAGTTTGGTTGGTTTGAGTTTTTATAAACTCAATGAATTTTACCTTGAATTTTTTTCCGAATAAACCTATGATATGGATTTGGATTTGACAAAACCCAACCCATTGCCATCCTCCCCCAACAAAACCCATCGACTGGGAGATTGCTTTTTTGCGGAGAAGACAGACGAACCAATCAATGGCAACCAGCGACATTGCAGCCACCGAAGGAAGCGCTGCGGCGGTGGCGGCCGCCACGGACGCTCCAGAGGAGAAGCCGCACCAGCTCGAGAGAAAGTGGACTTTCTGGTTCGATAATCAATCCAAGCCCAAACAGGGCGCCGCTTGGGGCACCTCTCTCCGCAAAGCCTATACCTTTGATACCGTCGAAGAATTCTGGTGGTAAGTTCGCTTCTCTGCCCCAGTTTCCAACCAGCTCGGTTTCAATTGGGAACCACGGATGATTGAGTTCATCTTCAGCTTGAAGGCGTTCGATACTGATTCGGGGGGTTTGTTGGTTTTTTATCTAAGTTTCCGATTGCCTGCCCAGTGTTACTTGTTTGGTTCTTGAAATCTGTGGTTTCTATTGATTTCCGGTCTTCATGGGGATTAGTAAAGGATTTGTAGAGTTGGATTTAGTTGATTTTATCCAGGGCTCAAGTAGTGACAAGACACCAAGTATTGTGCGGTTGTTGGTATATAGGGAGTGATGGATGAGGGTTTAATTTGGTAAAGATTTGTTTTTTTGTTGCAGTTTGTATGATCAGATATTTAGGCCTAGCAAGCTCACTGCAAACGCTGATTTCCACTTGTTTAGAGCTGGGGTTGAACCCAAGTGGGAAGATCCAGAGTGTGCTAATGGAGGGAAGTGGAGTGTTGTTTGCGGCAAAAAGCCTCTCTTGGATACGATGTGGCTAGAAACTGTAAGTATCTTACATTTCTTGCCCTTAATGTTGCTTATGTTCCTACACCTGCTGTTAGGATATTTGCATCTTGTTGCGTTTATCATGCTTAGCAAACTGAATTTGGATTTGAATGGTGTAGCTCATGGCTTTGATCGGAGAACAATTTGATGAATCCGAAGAGATATGTGGGGTGGTTGCCAGCGTCCGCCAAAGGCAAGATAAACTGGCTCTATGGACTAAGACAGCAGCAAATGAAGCTGTGCAGGTACGATCTTCTCCTCTGCGGGGCTCACTTTGATGCTAGAATGATTTGTTTGGTTTCTTTTGATTGGTGTGAAGAAAAGTGAAAAAATTTGCTTCCTGTGTTCCCATTCAAGAACTTGGGTTCAGATGGCGGCTAATAGCTTTTGCAAGTAACTTCCGATGCAAACGTATATATCCCTGAGTCTGACTTCCTTTCTGTCTCCTGCAAAATTAAATTTCAAACAGTACAAGTGAGTTGTTTTGGATGGGCCATTGATTAGAATATCATGATAGCAGATGCATATGGTACCAATGTTGATAGGAAACTTGCGTAAAGTAGGGCTTTATTCTGTTATAATCGGGAATCGCACTTGTTGAATTTTATGTTGGCTCAGTAAAGTCTCTCCTAAACACTATTCAGTCCATATGGGAAGTGCAAAACATAGAGCTTCCAATCTGCAGTTCATGATTCCCTTGTTGCAATGCGAATTCCGTCAATGATCCTCTTTGCTTTCCAGTTATTGAACTTTTATGAATTCAAACCTGCCATATTCGTATGTCAATTTATGACCGCTGCTTTGTTACACAGATGGGCATTGGAAGAAAGTGGAAGGAAATCATTGATACTACAGACAAAATCACCTACAATTTTCATGTAATACATTCATCCTGTATCTTCAGTCCTTGCATATGAATGAACCGCGTACTAAATTTTGGTTCGTTGGTGTTTGCAGGATGATTCACGCAGGGAAAGATCCATCAAGGGACGTTACAGTGTGTGAGCTAGTTATGGTTCCTTGGATCTGCAGTGCAGTCTAGTTTTCGTGTCTTTGCATTAATTTGCAGAACGAATTTACATGTAATCTCTACTCCAGATGTTGTATTGAAGGTCTAGCTAGTCCATGGTCTTTTAGCAATCTGTACCATTTTGGCAGCTAGAGTGGCTATTGTGCCTGATAGATATATCACAACTCACAAGAACATATGTTTCTTCGACACCGAATTTTGTGCCTTACTACTTCAACGCTAAATGCAGAGATTGCCTTGGTTTGTGCAAAACCAGATACTTGCTTTAAATTACTGGCTCAGTTTCCAGTTTATCTTTCCTCTTGTGCTGTTAATTATAGCTAATCTATTCTTCATAGAACAAAAACTCGGTTGCAACAAGAACTACAGCTAAAATTGTGATGTCTTGACTCTTGATAGTGTCAAAACACAAGGGAACTATTACAGATAGGATGAAGAATGAGAGTAACAGTTATACAAAGTACTACAGCAGTGGTGGTGGTGGTGGTTCTCTCAGGGCAACTTTCCATCTCCTTTACAATGGAGTTCCAACACAAAATGCACCCTATCTTTTTCTTCCTTCTTCTGTCTATCAAATCAAGCAAGGAAGCCAAGTTTCTCTCCATTCTTCTTGGCCAACCTAATCAGCCCTTGCCTCTGCTTTGCATCTGCTCCTATCGACTTACAGAACTCGGTGATTACCTGCAACCACACATTTCAGATAGAACAAATTCCCCAAGAATCAGACAAGAGAAACCCAGAATGACCAATGAATCCAAAATCAAGTCTTTTTGCATGCAAGAGGCTTGTAATTAGCAGTCTAACACCAGAGATCAAAGGGAACGATGGATACCTGCGAGTGCAAGGCGATAGCTTTGCCTCTAAGCTGATTAAACCTCTTTTTCCCAACGATATTGCGAGTAACAACCACTGCAGGAGCAAAGAGACCCTTCCCTTCGTTAACGTTCTTCATCATTGGCGGCATCTTCAATGGCTTCCCGACTCTGACTTGGGTTTGAACTGACCTCGCCAGCATGGTGGAATCCTCCCCAGCCACTGAAGTGCCCCATTCCCCCATGAATGAGGTCCCAAAACCTCCTTTAACCCCGGTTGCAGAAATTGAAGCAACAGCCATTATACACAGCAGGTAGAAGAAGAAGAAGAAGACCAACTAGAAAGAGAAGAAATTGCTGTGTATCAGGCCAAGATTCTCTCTTTCTGCGATGTGGGTTTTTCTTCTTCAGTTTTTTTGTGATATATTCTGCTGTGCTTTTTCTATGGCTTGCAAGATTTGTGGGATCTTTTGTTGGTTGTGAATTTGTGATATAGAGGGCGGGTGTGAGGAAGAGAATGACGGAGCAATAAGAGCCACAGAGAAGGTGGGCTTGGACTTGGATTTTTGCTTTGGAGTTAAACACGTAGTTCATTTTTGCTTGTGATATTTCAACTTAGGTACAGAAATTTCTTATGGTCCCAATTGCTGGTTGGAAAAGAGGTGGAAAATCTGGATCTAGAATTGTAGTCGTCCATTTGTTTCACACGTTCAGTTGTTGATAGGAAGTTCCTCACCGTTCATTTTTTTGCTTCACCAGGGTTGTTGCCGTAAATTACACCGCATGTCATGAACTTTACACAACTGTTTTATGTTTGTGATGGAAAAGAAAATCTCGCAATCATTCTTGTTCGTTGAATTGTGGAACTTAGGGGTCGTTTGGAAGTTGTGATTTCAAATGGTGTATTGACCTAATTCATGTATTTGTGAGATTAAGTCGTTTTTTTGACGTATATAGAACTAGAATACATGTATTTACTTTTTGGAGGTCCCACCACAATCACTCAATATTGAGGGATTTACAATCTCTACTTTTTGTTGTGATTCTTCACAATCACTCAAAACTAAGGGGTTGTTTGGAGGTTGAGATTTGAAGTGAGGTATTTAGCAAATACATGTAATGTTAAGATTAAGTCGTTTTTTTGGTTCACTTTGAGTTAGAATGCATGTATTACCTTTTTGTTGGGCCCACTTATAATCACTCAAAATGAATGATTGTCAATCTCTACAAAAAGTAGAGATTGTTAACAAGGGATTGTCTACCTACTTTTTGCTTAATCATTATCTTTCCAAACAAGGTATTTTCCTAATACATGCATTGAATCAATACATCAAATAATAATACATGAATTGATTAAATGCATCTATTTGGAGAATCTCAACTTCCAAACATGCCCTAACTTTTTTACCTTTAGAACAAAAACACAATCTAAACCTCCAAACAAGATATTTGCCTAATACATCAATTGATTCAATACATCAAATGATAATACACTAATTGTCTCAATACATCAATTTGAAGAATCACAACTTCCAAACAAGCCCTTACAATTCTAGTCCAACTTTGTTGATTTTTCGCTTTGCGGAAGTATAAGAGATGCAGTAGAAGTACTTTTCTTTCCTTGGAATAGAAAGTGCGGGTTTAACCTTTCATACTAGTAAGTAATGTTTCAATTTTCCACCATCAAAAGAAATGTTCGAATTAGTTCGTAAGAACAAACTTTTATCAATAGCTCTCAAGGGTAGTCACCCTTTTGTGGAGATGTAGGCCAACGTACCAGAACATTACATTTGCATTTTGGATCAAGCGATTAAGGTCTGTCTGGGTTTCATAGGCTACTGCCATTGTTGTGCTAGCAGTAATGCTCATTCACCACTGAAGTATCTGAGCTGCTTAAAGTTGAGCGCCACATTTGACTTGTGCGGCTGTAAATTGTACATATTGCTGTTATATGTACATTGAGGTGAAGCCAGTGGAAATGGGGTTTCTGATTTTCTGCTAGTAATGTTTCAATCTGCAGTTTATTGAGTTATCCGGAGATTGTGCTTCGCTATGGAAACAACAACTAAGGTGGGTGTTTTGGCCCATTTTGCTGAACTTCCCACGTTCATGAGTTCCTGTTGCACGTTTCAGAATCGTAATGAATATCGTGTAACACAAACAATGGCTAGTACGAAGATGACCGATCTTAGGCCAGAACTGTGTTTTGTGGTACCTGAAAGAATGCTGTTGCAACATGACATCTGAATGCTCCTTAAACCGCATAGGGAATACTACATTGATTTTCTGTGGCTGTCAAAACAGGAAATTTGCTTACTTCTGAGGTGGTGTTCTATTGGTGACTGCCTGAACAACATGAACTGTAGTTACTTGTCGGATCATGCAGAAGGGCTCTCTTGGGTAGTAAACAAGTTTGATGGGTTTGAAATGTTCCATGGCAGTCAGACACCACGGAATATTTCTTTCAGCTGTGAACTTATTAATCACAGCTTGCACCGATGTGATTCGTCTCACCACTTTCTCTGATTCTGAAACACGAACACAATGGATGGACATGGTTATTAGGTCATAGGATACAAGAAGAACAGTGATATAAGTTCTCCTTGGGAGAGCAGTGGAGTGATTACTGATGAGAAGCTGTGGTGTGCATCAGCTAGTGATGATCAACCTCCACTGTGCTTTTCAGCACTGCAATGGAACATAAAAATCACTAATCATCAACAACTACAGTTTTACATATATGGAGGTGAAGGAGATTCGTATTGAGTACTTCTGTTCTATATTCTGGTTTGCAAATTTGTTTGAACAGTTTCTTTTGCAGATTAGGGTGTAACATAATTAAGATGGTTAACAAGTGCTATGTTCCTCCACTTACATGGATGTTAACTTGCAGAAAGGTTTTTGCTCTGTCAAAAAGGCTCAGGATCTCTCTGTATCACTCCTTTGCTAGATTTTTTTTTTTTTATCAAACTGAAACAGTGAAAAGACGTTTGTGGAGAGTTCTTGTAGCAATTGATGGATGTGGGCACTAGACTACACCAAACCAACTAAGCTGATGTTTGTCCCACCACCAGATATTGCAAGGAAAACGAACTAAAGTGCTGGTGATGGAGCTATTCAACCATTGTCCCACAACCATACTGGAAGACAGTTGTTGCTGGGAATCCTAATCTACAAGGAGAGCACATTTCTTGCATGCCATTTCTTACTAGCTAGGTGAAAGACAAACGAGATAAGAATATATCTATGATGTCTACTTCTGCATGCTTTGTTAACATTTTCACTTGCATTAATCAATGTGTCTGCAGGTACACAACAGCAAGCCGGATATCGATGAGTTTCTCATGATAACCAGAGAACTTGGCACTTTGCAGGACTACGAGTACCAGACCTCGTGAATATCGGACAAACTCATGGCAATGGGCGATTCAGGCTCATCGTCAGTGCCAAATATTGGTAAGCTGGGCAGTGAGTAAAATGGGGATAAGATGGATAAATGCTGTCATATATACTTACTGGTATAATTTGAGGGAGGATTTGCTTCAATGCAGGTGACTCCCTCTCAAAGTGTGCTCTTTCCCTTCACCACTACCATAGATTCTTTCATTCATCCATCCAATCCCAAGTTGTCAGAAAAAAGATAAGGGCATTTATATGGCAACTTCACAATCAAAGGACTTACAAGAAGTTTGAGTGAGGTGGAAGTTGAAATGTTGCAATCATGTATAGCAACATCCCAAGCAACTGCTGCAACAACAGTAGTTTGGTCTATACTTTACTCAGTAATACCTAGATCATGTTCATGTTGTAGCTTTTTCTGTTTTTATTTTTTGTTGGAAAATATAGATAATCTATACTTTTCTAAATTATTGTTATGTTTCTATTCATTCTGTTTCTATTTTATTGTTATGTTTCTTATAAATAGTTAGGGTAATTTAGTGATTTCAGTTCGTTCATTTCATGATTTGAGTACTGATTAATGGAAATAGGATGGAAAACTTAAACAGATTTGCATGTTTGCAAAATTGTCACCACAATAGGCTCGTGTATGTCTAAATACAAGTCGGTGCATCAATGATAGAAAAGCAGGGAGTGAATGAACATCTCTATTCTAGCAATTGCCAAATAACTTTCAAACTTGTGAACTAAGGGATTGTTTCATTTGTATGATTGTTAAATTGATGTGTTGTGATGAGTATTTCGATACAATCAAATAGAAAGCCCCAAGGGCGCCATATTCTAGGAGCCCAAACTATGTGATTGAATAAATCCTCGTCTATTTGTTGCGGGTCGAGGGTGTGTATAAACATTGATTTATTATCAATTACATTATTTGGTTTATGTGGTTGTACTTTTAGGATTTAAAAAAGGTTATGTTACTTCATGAGAAAATATCAATTTTTTCCTCTTTTTTAATATAGAAGATAATCTACAGATTACTATAAAGGAATGTCAATATATTGCATTCTCCACGTCAGCCCCTCCTGGATTTGCCGCACACTTCGGAGGGACAAATCAGTCAATTTGTTCGATATTTTCCCACTCGCTCTCTGCCTCCCGAAATCGCCTCCGGAGTTCCCCTTCTAAACCCACCGCCCACTTCACCTTTTCTTTCCGACTGGGAAAATGAGAATGGAATAGCGTTTTCAATCTTCATAACTGCATATTTCTCTTCGCTGCCTACAGATTTCAGTCCGTTTCTTGAAAAATTATTACAATTTCAGTAAGAGAGGTGGCTCTCTATCTCTCTTCGACTCTTCCTCTCCTATCCCTATCCGTCTCCGATGTTGTTTCTCGCCGAGTCTAAAACCCCAACAGCATTTGTGCTCCCCAAGGTAACAATTCTCAGGATTAAAATATTTGATTATGCTGGCTTTGTTGTTCGGGAGGCTCTCTCCCTCGCCGTCTCTTTGTTACATCTCCCTAGCTGCTACTGTGTCTTGCCGACTTTGTTATCTCGACAGCAGCTGTACCCCAGATTACTGATGGATTTTGCTGGAACTGTTCGATTCCCTTTTCTATCCAATCTTCGATTCTATTTCCGGCGCCGAATTGCTATGGGTTTCGGTAGTTGTTACAGCCCTTGGATTCGGCACCACATGTAATGTCATACACGATCAGAAAGTGGCTGGGGAATGCTTGAAATTTTTTTCAGTAATGTGTTCTTTATTTAATGCTACTTCACTTCCCTGGATTATAATGTAATTGACTAATTGTGCTTCCATTCGTGGCTATGCAACAACTGGCGACTGCAAAGGGTGCATTATTATTTTTTTATGGTCGAGCACCTCTCTCTTGCATCGGCTATGTAATCTTGAGCATCCCAATTTGAGCCTACACCGATTCAAAAAAGCTCCGACAACAGTAAGCCATGAAACCACTATCCCTATCAGCATTTGGACTACCTCATGTTTCCCAGAATCTAATGATTCCAAAGATTTTGTTGCTGGGTTTCAGGTATGCCAACTTTTAGATGAACGAATTCCATATTTGTACATTCCACAACTGCTCAAAGGTTACATAGAACATCATACTATCTGAAGCCATAGCACTTGCATTTAAACCATCTTAGTCAAATTGAATATATTTCGTTCGGTGTAAAGTAATAATTATCGATTAATTCCCAACAAACTCTTTCGTACTCAAATCTATTTCCTTTTAACATGACCTCCTTTCCATTTTTAATTGGGATGAGTTTAAGCTTTTTATTTGTGTTATATAGTTAGGTGAGCCTGAGCTTCATCACCCCTCCAGACATGATCATTGATGGGAATGGCCCTAACACCAAAACTAGGTCTTATGATGACCAGAATGAGAATGAGAGTGCTAGAAATGGATGTGATAAGGTTTGATATTGGTCATTTGTTGCTTCATTGAGTTTTGATATGGGGTCTTCATATTCGATTGGAATGGAGTGTACGCACCGGCCCCTTCTGTTCCTTTTGAAGATGTGCAGGGTAGTAGTCTTTCTAAATAGAGATGGGACATTAGAAGTCTGTCTTTGTTGTGTTTAGTGTCTTTTATAACTGTTTATTTATTTAATAAAATCACACCACCATTACAAAATAAACTGAAACATTCATAGCTCAAGTACTTAGCTTATGTGCTATCATATAATAATTGTCTGAAACCAATATGTTGTGGGCTACATTTATCTTACTCCATGTTACTTTTTCCTCTACAGATCCCACTTAAGTTACATGTTTAAAAAATGCATCATGTCAGTTTCTAACATCTAAATGAGGGGAATCAGATGAGGCGATAACAAAATATGAGAAGCTCCCCAAGCCACCAGCAACATACCACGGTGCTAAAAGTTGTTGCAGAGAAGTGGGCTTGGTATGTAGAATCTATAAATCAATCTAACATGCTTGATTGTAGCAACAATTGATTGAGACACCAAGTCTTGAGAACCTTGGTGGGACAATCTTAACAGAGTTGAAAAGGAAACACGTGCTGTCCACTGTGACCCTGAGGAGGAGAAGTAGTATTGCCAAAAACTATGTAGTTAAGGACCACTACGTGAAGCTTCAATTTAATATTCTGTTTTCATCCATGTGAAGTTTAGTATTATGTTAGGAAATGTCTATTTTTTTTATTAAAACCTTCTTCATATTTTTTTTATATTATCCAAATTTATTAAAATGCTATTAATTAACCAAATTTTTCATAATGCATCAAAATATTAGTCATTTTTACGTTATTGTTAATAATTTTGTAACTCTTTTCTTAGTTAAAATACTAAAATTTTGAAATGTTGACCTTCATGTGTCTCTTCCAAGTCAGTATCATGTTGCCAAGTCAATATTACTCACAAAATTGCTAACTGAAAGTTAACATTTGGCTAATTCTTAGTATTTCGATAGGGTTGGCTAATAAAAAAGAATTCGAAAAAGGTTTGGCTAATAAATTGTCATTACCCTGTTATGTTTCATTAAGTTGATATTGAAAGTTTGTTTTAGGTCTTTCCCTTATGGATTGTCTTCTTTTGTTCAGTTTCATTTGTGGAATACAATGCGGGATTTTTCCTTTAATTATTTTCTCATACGTTGGATAGCTTTACCCTTATGTATTGTCTTTTTTGTTTCTCAAGTTTGGTTCATAACTGCTAAATCAATCTCAAGGTTAGTCAAATCTGAATGTAGCTATGTTTTTTATGAATGAAAACCACTTGCAAGGTTTTGGTGTATTTTTTATATGATCTAATTGCTGGTGTTTTCTTTCTTTCTTGCATGTTGAGACGTTAGCTATTTGCTTATAAATTTGAAGGATTCGAATTGATAAGCAGAATGGATGTTTTTGTCAAAAGATAATGCTCTTATATAGGTGTTATTTGTGTTGTTTTTCATGGAATAAAATATCACAAACTACCGATTTTTGTAATAAACATAAGGTAAAGATTTGGTTAAGCATAATCATTTGCTACATATTCTACTATTTAATCTTTTATATGTTCTTCAAATAGTAAAAAATAAAATTCACGGATAGGTTTTATACGACACCGGCCAACGGGCCGGGCCCAATGCTAGTTATATAAAATATTAGAGATTAAATGTAACACCCTAGCTCGGCCGAGCATTACTTTTACCAAAATACCCTTGAGTAATCAAATAACCAAAATGGAAAGAACATCTAAAGTACCCTTTTAAAATCATCGTAGGAAATATCTCTTAATAAATCATAAATGAGCATTAGTCTCAAGCCTACTAATAAAAGTACATAAGCGAAGGAGTTCAATTGGAGGCTTCTGCAATCACTGACCCTTGTGATGATGACATCTCGGACAGCAGCTTCCTTCTGACAGGTGATCCAAATTTTCTTGCTTCCTTGCTGCTCCTGAGTGCGGGCATGGGGTCAGTCCTAATCCTAGTTTCATCCCTCATACACACATGGAACCATGCATATGTGATGCCCGTATAACAAAATGCACAATTTATTCGGAAATGAGTTTCGTTATTACTTGCTTGCATATTTTATCTTACAATAGGGCCCCACCCTCCACTTAGCTAGCGCAACCGTCCGGTAAACTTGTCATAACATATTTTTTACATGACTACCCTCACAATGGGGAGCTTTAATGTATAAATTGTGCCTATCTAAGGCAAAACACCCACACAATGGGGATCCTGCGCCTATCTGAGGCGAAACACCCGCACAATGGGGATCCTGCGCCTATCTAAGGCGAAACACCCACACAATGGGGATCCTGTACCGCGTGCGTGCTAGCTAAGCGAGGATTAAACATGTTATTGCTTGTTCTTACTTATTATCTGGGTGATTTATCCTTGCTCGGTCGAATCAATCTCTCACACCATGGAGATACATTATTCAACATATACTTGCTTACTTGCTTGACAACCTAAGCTTGTCAAGGATGATCTCCTCCAACAGAAGGAGATCTCAACTTATAATTTCCATATTAATATAATTTCTCCGTAGAGAAATTGATGCTATGCGTACACATGAACTTAAGAATGCACATAATCATCCAATCATAAATGCAGAACTTAAACATATCAGAACTAGCACTCAATTACTTCAAGAAAAAGGCACAATTCAACACGTAATAAGTAACTGAGGATGAAATACTAACTAGCCCCTTTAACAAACGCACGTTAATTTAAAGTTGATTATCAACTTATATCATGTCCCGATGATCCACAACATTCTTATAAGCCTTGTACGTGTCCATCCACCATTTTCCTTCTTCCTTTACTTTTCCCCTAGAGATAGAGCACGCACAGCTCACTTGATTATACACCCGCATACTTGCCTTAGATTAAGAATCCATCTTTCATTTCAACAATTGAACCCCTTATAATAATTAACCTACCATGCATTCCATCCATGTACGTAATTAAATTTAGTGACTAAATTGTAAAGAGCTTTTGTTTTTAACCTGTAACCGAGCTAATTCATCACCATACAATTCCATTCGTCCATATATAATATGTAAGGATCCAGAACTCATTTCCTTAATTAATGACCCACTACCAGCTCCCACAATCTCCAACATCAACTAATTCCACAAGTAAATGGACGAGGTTAAATCCTTTACCTCAATCACGGCCTCACGGGCTTAGAGCACAATTTGAGGCTTTCCCAGATGTCGTTTCTCCGTCGTCGATCGTCGTTCGAGTCCCCGCAATCCCACCGGCAAAACTTCGCTATGGACGAGAGAGAGGAAGATCCAGAGCTGTGCCCGCTGAACAGAGGACACGGCGTACGGAGGAAACGAGTACGTGTTTGGCGTCGGCGTCGCTCCCGGCTTGCGTCTCTGCTGGCTGCCGTTTCCGTTGGGGAGCTCGCTTGCTACTGGTCGAGGGAGGAGGTAGAGGTGATGGGAACTGGGAGGTGCCAGTGGTGTTTGGATCGCGGAAGAGGGAAGGCGACGCTATTGCTTGGTTTTATTAGCTAAGGTTTTCGGTCATTGGTTTTGGCTATTAGGTTTAGTATATATATATATACACATCCACATAAAGAGATGTGGAGAGGTAGGAGGTGGAATGTACGTGAGGGAGGAGGAATCCCCACCTCTTGCTGCTGCGTTTGGATTGGTTTAGGTTAGCTAGAGCTTAATTAATTATAGTGACTAAATAAGGGTAAATTTGGAAATTTGAGAAAATTCTAGGCCTATGAGCCTCGACCATCTGACTCCCTATTCAGAAGGCCGAGGCGCATAACGTCAGCTGGTCCCGACTCTGTACCTCTGCCCCCACTGTGACTCCTTGTTGTATGCGCCCCGTGTCAGGGCCCGGGCCCCACCCGTCTGGCAAGTCCCACTTTACTTTATGGGCTCATTTCCTTCATGCTCCCGGGCCGGTTGGGCTTTGATTTATGGATAGCCCTCTTCCTTGAACCATGCGAGCCCAACTCTTTTGGGCCGTGGTTGCACCCCCAACAATTCCCCCTCCCCCCCCCCCCCAGTTTGGCGTCTGGGGCCTTTTCCTAGGCGCCTAACTGGATTCCTATGCCCCCATTGGGTGCCTCACTCGTTCCCCCATGCGCCTTTCCCCCCAGCTCTCGCTTCTTATTGTCTTCGCCGTCTTTTCACCCTATCACCTGTCCCTTCAGATCCTCCTTTCTTAAATGCCATCATGAGATCTTTGGGATTCCCCCCCCCCCCCCTTCGGGACTCTTGGGCTTCCCCCATCATGAGACCCTTGGTGTTCTCACTCCTTGTGAGACTCTTGGGCTTCCTCTTATCTCCCCCCAGTCCGTTTTGAATTTTGAAATTCGAATTTCAAACTTCGAAACGTACTAACACCCACTCTCTCCGCTTCTTCCTCCACTATATATTCTCCCCTTCCCCTCTCCCATCACTTTCATCCCCCTTTCGCTCTGACCTCTCTCTTCTTTCTCTCACTAAAACCGGCTGAGTCTCCTGCCGAGCATGCTCCTGTTTTCACCGAGCCTCGTGCCACACGCCTCCAATGTCGACTTCCCCGCAAACCGGCCCCGCGCCCTTTGCGCCTTCCGCTGCTGCTGCCGCCTCCTCAGGCGCTGTGCCTCGAGGTATGATCTCTACTCTCCCTCCAGAACTTCCGATATTTTTCGCGTTAAATTGGTGTGTCTAATGCGCGCCGGGTTAGGGTTAAGCGCCTCCTTCTTTCCCATGCGTCACCCCCTCCCCTTTTTTTTCGATCCGCCTTCGAATGTTTTGCGCCCTATCTTTACCATTCTTTCCCCTCCTGATGCGCCTCTCAATACCTACTCCACCTTCGTTTTCTTTCCTGACCAATCTTTGCCCCTTGTCCCAAGCCCTGACGCACCGCAGTACTATGCGTTTCTTTCGTGGGAGTCAACGTGGGCCTCGGGGCAAGCGTCTGGCAACGTGGCGAGTCTACCCCCGGAGTCGGCGGGCCCAAAACATCCCTCTAAGTTGGTGCGCGTGCGCCTAGAAAAATTGGTGGTGGCTGCGCAGATGCCGGCGCCCTGGCAATATGTACATGCGCCCCGTGAGGTCAAGATAGGCGTTTGCGACGACAGTGGTTGGACGGGACTATACCAAGAGTTCCTCCGGTTTGGCCTGCGATTTCCCCTTGACCCCGTTCTTGAAGGGGTCCTTGAGGCGTGTCAATGCCCCCTTGGGCGCCTCTCTCCGGACGTCGTATTATACTTCATCCTCTTCCGCCATAAGTGCCAACAGTTGGGCATTGTCCCCACTTTCAAACTCTTCAACCATTTCTTTTCCATGACGAGGAGCTCCAACTGTCTTATCTTCCACAAGCGCAAGAAGTTAGGGTATAATTTCATCTGTGGTTGCCAGAAGATGGGGCGCACGTGGTTCGACTCGTACTTCTTCGCCTACCCCGTGAGACGCCCTTCTTCGCGAGCGAGCGTCCGGCAGTGACGGAGTTGTCTTTGGGGACTGCTTTTTACTTCAAAAAGCCTGCTCCGCTAAGTAAGTCGGAGCTGGCCAGCGCTAGGCGCCTCTCTGAGGAACCTTTCGACCTCACCGATGATGACGCATACGTGCGTCTTTTATCTGACTTCTACCGAGATGGTATCCCTGCGCATGTGCCTTACCTTTACGTTATCTTGCGCCCTATTGCGATTTGCTGATCATCGTCTTTTCTCTTTTCCTTGCAGTTACCGACTTTACCTCCGTGACGTCCATCATCCGATCGAGGCTGGGAATTGGCCGAGGTGCGGCAAGCGCTTCCCTAGCGTCTGACACCTCGAGACCGTCCGCCTCTAAGCCCCCGAGAAGGAGAATCAAGATCAAGGGCAAGGCCGCCCCTGCCGCCTCCGCTTCAGGCGCCCTAGGCCTCTCCTCATCAGAGCTCTGGTGCGGGCCTGAGCAGCCCCAACTCTGGTGCGTCCGAGCACGAGCACTCACGTTATCCCGCGGCTCCTGACTCCTCGACCACGCCCCGTGAGACTGGGGAGGTGGATACAACTCCTTCTCCGCCGCATGCCTCGCGGAAGAGGGCTGGGGACGACTCAACTTGTCCGGCTAAGAAGAGCAAGGCGCCACGACCCGATGGTTCTGGGCTGCCGCCCAGCTTCGTGGCGCCCACCATCGGGGCGCATACTGGTCAGGAGATCTCTCCTTGGCCGCCTTCACGGGCACGCCAACCGCGACCTTAGTACGACGTAGTCGAGCACCCTGATGGCCTGGTGTCCGACAAGCCATGGTGCGATCTGACTAACCTCACCGCGCAAGTAAGTATCAGACCTAACCTTTAATGTGCTCCCCTTTGTTGCCCATATCTTTTACAACTTTTCCGGTGCGCCCTGACTTTACTCGTTCGCTTGTTTGTCAATATTTTATAACTTTAATGTGCTCCTTTTTGCTATGCGGCCCAGATGATGATCCTGTGCGAGGCCACTACCCTCGAGGTAGCGAAGATAAAGCGCCAAGGCACGGAGGCTGCCGTCGCTGCTGCGCGCCTTCGAACTGACCTGGATGCTTCGGATAAGCAGCGGATAGAGCTGACCTCGGCGTGTGACGAGGCTTGCAAGAAATTCGTCGATTAAGCCATGCAGTTGGAGGAGAAGTTCGAGGCAGAGCGCATGAAGGTGCGCAGCAAGGAGCAGGCCAAGCACGCGGAGGCAGAGAAAGCGTTCCGTGAGAGGCAAGGCGCTTTGATTAGAGAGTGCGACGCCCTGATTGAAGAAAGGAATTCTCTCCGGGAGTCGGTGCACGAGCTGGATGAGGCAGGCAAGAAGCTGAGGAAGTCGAGCATGCGCTATCACCATGATCTGAAAAAGGCCCGGGCGGTGGAGGAGGAACTGAGGCGTGACTTGGCGGACTACAAGAACTCCACCGCCGGGCAGAACTTGCAGGCGAATACTGTCAACAATATCGTGGAGATGGCTCAGCAGAAGCTTAATGCCGACCATCCTAACTGGACCTTCGACGCCATCGAGCTGATAGAGTACATTATCGGCGTGATGGATCAGGCGGCGCCTGAGGCGGAGGAAGTGCAGGCGCAGGGCGCTCAGAGCGAAGGAGAGGGGGAGGCGCGGGACGCGCGAGGCACAGAAGAGCCTGAAGCGCAGGGGCGGATGGCGATCAAGGCGCTGACGACGAGGTCAATCACAGCGATGGCGATGCATCCGATGATGGTGATGGAGGCGCAGGTGGTGATGGAGGCGCAGGTGGGGCGGGAGGCAGCGGGGTAGAGGTCGATGTCGAAGGCTGAAGTTAGAATTTTTTCTTTCCCATTTTCAAGTACTCCTCCTATGTAATCTCTGCTTTTGTTATTCATCGCGTTTCCAATTTAAACTATGTTGGGATATTACCTTCCTTCCTTTTATTCATGACCGTTTATTTTGCTATCTCTCTTTCATTTATCCTTGTGGTTACATGGGCGCAAAGCGTTGAGGCGCTTCCTGGTGCCCTTTGTCTAGGCGTCAACAGTTAGGGCGCGTTCCTAGGGTTGAATATTCACCAGCTGGCTAAGGCGTATTACTAGGGCGCAAGAGAGTGGGCGCTTTACGAAGAGTTAGATTTTATGAGGAAGATGACACTCACACAACCAACGACAACTTCCTCACATTACTCAAAGGCGCAAGAGGATGGGCGCTTTACGAAGAGTTAGATATATACCACGGAGTACCAGTTCTCCCTCTAGATCACTTAGAAAGTCGCGAATGGCTTAAGGCGCTTTACGGAATGTGGACCCGCGTACAATCTACTAAACTTTTCTTAGATTACTTAAGGGGCGCAAAAGACTGTGCGCTTTATAAAACTCACAATAAACTTTCAAGGCGCGAAAAACCGGGCGCTTTACAAACACTGGTTGAGGCGCGTGGGAGGCCGCGCTTGCAGTAATAGTATCTCCCTCCCACTTGATGAGTTATCCTCACAAGTTGGTCAAAATTAAGGCGTCCGGTCTTTCCACCTTAACTAGTTACTTTGAGGCTTCACTCCTCTCCCGCCCTTGTATGCCCTTAGGTTCATGGCGTTCCACGTTCGCTTGACGGCCTTCCCACTCAAATGCTCCAGCTTGAATGTGGTTGGTTCTGCTACCTCCTGGACGCGGTATGGCCCCTTCCACTTGGGTGCCAACTTGTCCTCGCACGCCTCTAGCCGAAAGTCGCGTCGCAGTACCAAACTTCCCATGCCAATCTGATGGGGACGCATCTTGCGATCATAGTACCTGGCCACCTACCGCTTCATAGACTCGAGACGCACAGCAGCAACATCTCTGCGCCCCTCCAACATGTCGAGGTCGTGTATGCGCTCCTCCTCATTGTCCTTTGACTCGTATCTCATCATCCGGTATGTGGGAAAAAAGCATCTCCACTGGGATGACCGCTTCACTACCGTAGGTCAGAGCGAACAGTGTTTCCCCCGTTGCTACCTTGTATGTCGTTCGATGCGCTCAGAGCACGCCTGGGAGATCTTCCACCCATCTTCCTTTGGCATCCAGCAGCCTAGTGTGGAGGCCGTCCAATATGATCTTGTTAGCCGCCTCCGCTTGTCCATTGGCCTGGGGGTAGGCCACGGACGAGAATCGTAGAATCACTCCACTCTCATCGCAGAACTCGATGAATTTATGGCAGTCTAACTGCTTGCCGTGATCCGCTATGATGGACTCCGGTAGACTGAAACGGGTGAAAATATTCTTGGTGGTAAATTTCCTGACTTGGGACTGAGTGATGGTTGCTAGGGGTTCCGCTTCGATCCACTTGGAAAAGTAATCTACCGCCACGATCAAGTATTTCATCTGCCCGGGCGCCTCGGGGATAGAGGTGGGCATTCGGTCGGTTCGGTCGAAACCGAACCGAAATGTTGTATATCGGGTCCCCGATTTATGCCAAACCTCAAACCGATTCCGAACCGAAATATATTTCGGTTCGGTCAGCTCGAACCGAAATATATTTCGGTTCGGTCCGGTTTCAGCCCCAAACCCGAACAAACTTTCCCTTCCTCTTTGTAAATTTTGGACCTGTTCCCATTCCAAAATATTATTGCCCCCTCTCTCTCATCCCGTTCAATTTTCCTTCTCCATCTCTCATCTCCTTTCTTCCACTCTACCTGCACACACAAAGCACTAAAATCTTCTAAAAACAAAAACAAAATGAGCATGTGAGGGAGCTAAGGGAAAGAAGGATGTGGTTGCAGGCATGATGGCGGGGAATAGTGACGATGAAGAGAAGACAGGGGACTGGGGAGGACGCCGCCGCTCCTCAAGGCCGAGCCCGCCGCCACCACCGGATCTACTCTTCTTCGCCTTCTCCCTTTCTTTCTCCTTCAGATCTGAAAGAAGTATTGGGCGTACTGCTTCAGACCCTCTTCTCCCGCTGGCGACATCATCGAAGGCGAGAGATGGTGGTTGGTAGCTTTGCCTGCATGTCGGCAGCGCCATTGAAGAGGAGGAATCCGTCGCCGCCTATCCCTCCCAGGATTTGTATTCGCCTCATCGAAGGAGCTCAGGGTAGGTTGAGGTTTGTGGAAGAGGTTGAGGCCTGAGGGTTGTGGCGGCTGTCGTATAAGGTTGTGGTTGACTAGGCTTAGGGTTGTGTCGAGTTGGGTGGGCTCAGCTGAGGGACTGATTGTGTAAGTTGTGTTGTGAGTATGTGGGCCGAGATGAGAAACTGGGCTGGGAGGGTGGGCTTGGCTATATTCGGTTTTTCTGTCGGTTAATCGGAATTCGGGTTCGGTAGTGTATACCCTGGGTTCCGAAATGTAGAATTTTGCCTTCCGAATTCCGAACCGAATTTATAGTGTTCGGTTTCGGTTCGGTTGTATTCTGTTTCGGTCCGGTTCGGTTCAGGTTTACCGAACCGGATGCCCACCCCTACTTGGGGAAGGGCCTTAGCAAGTCCATGCCCCACTGGGAGAAAGGCCATGCGCCTACGTTGCCCTGCATGGGCGCCTTGGGGACATGGGTGTCGGGGGCATGAATTTGACAACGGTGGCAGTTGTCGACGTGGTTTTCGCATCCGCTCTGATGGTAGGCCAGTAGTAGCCTTGTCGTAACAACACCTTCTCGAGGCTTCTTGCTCCCGCGTGCATCCCGCAAGTGCCCTGGTGTACCTCCAATATTGCCTTCTCACCTTCTTCCTGCGTGAGGCACCTTAGGTACGCCCCCGCATGCGATCGCTTGTACAGTTGACCTTCAAGTATTGTGCGTCGGGCGGCCTTACGCCTCACTTGTCATTTGTGCTGAGCATCCTCGGGGACTGTCCCGTGGAGCAGGTACTCCTTGATTGGGGTCATCCAGCTTTCCTTTTCGGCTTCTCCCCCTTCCATACTACCCACTACGCACTCCTCCTGGGGCTGCTCCTTGGACACGATCACGTATATCTCGTTTTCAAAATCTGTAGCAGTGGCCAATTTCGATAGGGCATCAGCATGGGCGTTTTTCTCTCGCGGGATGTGCACAAAATCCACCTGTCCAAACCAGGAGCGTTGGTCCTCGATCCTTTTCAGGTACGCGCTGAGCGCCTCCTCCTTCAACTCAAAGACGCCATTCATTTGGTTCACCACTTAGGCAGAGTCGGAGTAGACCTGAACTTGCTGCGCCCCCAGCTCGCGCGCCGTGCGCAAACCTACAATCACGGCCTCATATTCCACTGCGTTGTTCGTCTTCAAGGACGAAAACCAAAGTGCAAGCTCGTGCGTCGTGCCCATGGGATTGATTACTACTATGCCCGCCTCGGCTCCAACTCGACTAGCCGCCTCATCGACATACACCAACCAACTTTCATCCACGCCCCTTCCTTCGCTCACGACCCCTTCTGCTGAGAAATCAGCCAATACTTGCGCCTTAATGGCCGGCCGAGGCGCATACCTGATATCGTATTCGCTTAGTTGCACAGCCCACTTCATCATGCGCCCCGCAACGTCCATGGAGACCAGAGTGCTTCTCGGCGGCAAATTAGTGAGCACCACCACCATGTGCGCCTGGAAGTATGGACGCAGCTCTTTTCCGCCGCGGCCACTAAGCCTAAGGGCGCCTTCTCGATGGGCGCATACCGTGTCTCAAGGCCCGTCATTAATTTACTCACATAATACACTGGACGCTCTTCTTTGTCCGCCCCCGCTCTCGAGATGAGGACAGCACTCACTGCTGTTCGGGAAACTGCAATGTACAGGTACAATATTTCGCCTTTTCGTGGTGCAGTCATGACCGTGGGCGCCACCAGTAGGCTCTTCAGCTGTTCGAACGCTTCGTCGCACTCGTCTGTCCATTTGAAGCGCGTGGCCTTCTTTAGAACCCTGAATAAAGGGGCTCCCTTGTCTGCCGACCGAGGGATAAACCGGCCCAACGCCGCCAGGCGGCCGTTCAGAATCTGCACTTCGTTGGGCGTCCTCGGAGGTTTGAGGCGCCTAATCGCCTCCACCTATCTCGGGTTAGCCTCGATCCCTCTCTTCATTATCATAAAGCCCAGGAACTTGCCTGCTTCTGCTCCAAACACGCACATCAACTGGTTGAGGCGCAGGGAGTGGGCGCGCATCTTCTCGAAAGTCTCGTGCAGGTCCTTTAAGTGATCCTCATTCTTCTTGCTCTTGATCACCAGATCGTCTACGTAAGCCTCCACGTTCTGCCCAATTTGCCGCTGGAACACGGTGTTCACCATGCGGTGGTAAGTGGCGCCCGCGTTCTTTAGTCCAAACGACATGACTTTGTAGCGAAAGTTGTCGAAAGGAGTCATGAACGCGGTCTTATCCCTGTCCTCCTCACATATGAGGATCTGATGATACCCTGAAAACATATCTAGGAAGCTTAGCGCCTCGTGATACGCCGTCGCGTCCACCAGCTGGTCGATGCGAGGCATGGGATAGGCATCCGTGGGGCATGCTCGATTCAGATTCGTGTAATCGACGCACATTCTCCAATCTCCTATTGCATTGGGCATGTGACTACATTAGATAGCCACGTTATGTAGTGTGCCTCCTCCACAAATCCAGCCTCGAGCAACTTCCCGACCTCCTTGCGCAAGACCTCTTCCTTCTATTCCGAAATGTGCCTCCTTTTTTGTTGCACAGGGCGCACGCCCTTTTCCACCGACAGGCGGTATAAGGCAACCTCAGGCCTAACTCCCGGCATCTCCCTGGCGCTCCATGCGAATAAGTCGGCGAATTCCTCCAGGAGCTCCACCAAAGCCTCGGCCGCCTCCCCGTTCTTGTGGGCGGATATGTGCACGCATCGCTCGGGGCGTTTCCCGTCCAGGGGAACTTGGATCTCTGTATAGGCCGCTTCCGCCCTTGGTATGTCCTCCGGTCGCACGTCAATGTTGTACATCCGCATTCTCTTGGCGAGACGTGCCTCTTGCGATGCTTCCCCACGCGACACTCATACCTCCTTTGGAGTAATGAACTTTAACACCTGATGTCACGAGGATACGACCCCGTTGAAGAGCGGCAACAGCGGGCGTCCCAGGATCGCATTGTACGGGGAGGGACAATCCACGATACCAAACTCCACTGTGTGCGTCAAGCGGTGTTGATTTTCCCCCAGCATCACCGGGAGGCGCACGCGCCCAATAACTCGCGCCGGCACCCCTGAAAATCCAATCAAGACCGAGTCTGCCGGTCTGATGAGGCTCGGGTATAATTGCATTTTCTCATAGGTGGATCGGAACAGCACATCCATCGAGCTCCCCGTGTCGACCAACATCCTTTTCACCTCGCATCCGGCCACCACTCCCCTAATTTCTAGCACTTCCACAGACGGCACCCGACACGCCTCCTCAGGGGCTTCATTAAAATGAATCTGTACCCCAGCGCGGGCGCTGGCGGTGGCTGACTTCAAGCGCCTTCCTTCCTCCAACTTTTGCCTTAGATCCACCGCACCCGAGATGGCCTCGATCGTCAGCCTAACGCTTTCAGGATGCGCCTCGGGCTCCATACTGAATGGGGGTGGGGGCAGCTCCTCGCTTCCAACGGGCGCTTCGCTTTCCAAGGGCGTGGCATCCTCTTGCGCCTCTTCCACCTTCTCCTCCTGGACCATGAAGGTCCTCTGCGCCTTGTCTTCTCCTTTTCTCACGAACTCGTTTAACATCCCACGGTCTACAATCCCCTGGATTTCAGACTTGAGCTGGTAGCAGTCGGCGGTGTGGTGACCCCTCTCACGGTGGAACTCGCAATACCTATCAAGGTTCTGCTCGTTTGGACGCCCCCTCATTGGACCCGGCCAGCGGAGATGGTACCCCTGTCCTTCACAAATTGCAGCACATTCTTTAGCGTGTCATTGAGCTCGTTAAAGTTTCCTCCTCCCCTTGGTGCGAACCACGGGGGATCCGGCCGCCGCACGCTTGAGGGATAGAATCCGGCCGCCTCCTCTAATCGCACATCCCTTCATTCCATCTTCCTCGTCGCCAGAGTCTCCTCCAACATTATCACCTTCTGCACCCTTCGATCCAAGTCTTTCGTGGATACCACATCCCGCTTCGACAGCGCCCGACACAACTCTTCACTCGAAGTACACTCGTCCAAGCAACACCCCAGGACCGGTGGTGTGACATCCTTGACCGCCATGGCCACCGACATCCAGCGCTCGTAGAAGTCCCGGAGCGCCTCGCCCTTGCGTTTCCTGACTTTGAATAACGCGTTGATAGTGAGGCTCCTGCGCTTCCGGCTGGCAAACTTTGAGAGAAACAGCGCCACAAACTGCTCGAAACCGTCGATTCTCCCCTCCTCGATCTAGTGGTACCAATCCAAGACTACACCCGTGAACGTCGAAGGGAAGGCGCGACACAGGGTGGCGTCCGAGCTATTATATAGTTGCATCTTAGTGAAATAGTTGTTCAAGTGATCCTCCGGGTCAGTCGTCCCGTCGTAGCTGGGGAGCGCCGGGATAACTGAGTTTGCCTGCTCTGCCAAAATGCTCCGCGCAAGCGGTTGTTTCACTCCCCATGCCCTTCCGTGGCGCCGGTGCGCCCACCCGTTGTGCTCATCAAAGTCCGAGGCCATGTGCCGCGTCAGGTGCCCAGCTCCTCCGTACGCTTCAATGAGCTGGACGCTCCCTCTTCATCCTCCTCCCTTTCTCTCCTCTTCCCCACGATAGGGGGCGCAGCGTCCGCCCCTCTCTTCAGTGCTTCCACCTCTTTCTTGAGTGCCTCCAGAGCCTGATCCTGCTCTTCAATTATGTGGAGCAAGTGTTCCTTCGTGAGGGTGACCCCCTCCGACTGGGCCGTCTCTTGCGCCTCGTTTCCGCCAGCATGTGCTTCCTCCGACAACGCGGGTGCCTCTCTGGACGCTTCCTCATTCGCCCCCCGTCCTCCATCCCCTTCCGTTTCTGCTAGCGCCTCCATGACTTCTAACCTCCTGAGGTTATTTCGTAGGCCCGTATGCGTTTCCCCCTTCTTGATGCGCCATTTGTTGGTGCCGCGTAAGCCCGCGCCTTGCTTCTTCGCCCGTCAACCCTTTGGCACGCTTCCCTCTGCACACTCGAACCCCTCTTGAGCCCAAGAAAGGGCTCGTTAGCACTCCAACGCCCAAGTCAATACTTCTTTTCTAGAGAGAGAAGTGAATAGTGATTTTAGAGAGAAATTCTAACCTGAGTAAATGAGGTTCACCCACTCCCCTATTTATACTTGGGGCTTGTCCGACCAACATCCTTCTCTTCCGCCCTTCGTCAGGCCCGCATTTAATGCTTCGTACGGTCTGGGCCAATGCGCCTCGACCATTTGACTCCCTGCTCAGTAGGCCGAGGCGCATGACGTCAGCTGGTCCCGACTCTGTACCTCTGCCCCCACTGCGACTCCTTGTCGTATGCGCCTTGTGTCAGGGCCCGGGCCCCACCCGTCTGGCAAGTCCCACTTTACTTTATGGGCTCATTCCCTTCATGCTCCCGAGCCCATTGGGTTGGGCTTTGCCTTATGGCTTGTTAGCCCTCCTCCTTGAACCATGCGAGCCCAACTCTTTTGGGCCGTGGTTGCACCCCCAACAGGAACTTATAATAAAACATCTATTTCTAAATAAAAAATTACTAGATTTTTGGCCCGCACTTCTTTGCGCTAAGAAACTAATTATATTTAAAACTTGATTCATTTAATTAATTATTTAGTTGAAACTAAATTATCCACAAAATTATTTAGGTAAGATATCTCTATTAATTTTATGAAATAATTACACTTCCGTAAGCTTTATGTTATGTCTAAATCTTTAAGGAAGACTATTTAATACTTTTGTTTAATTGATACATAAGAAATAAATATATCTTAAAAGTTTTATGTAATTGCGATATAACATTGTTACATAAATATTTCATAATACAATAAATTAAAGTTATAAAAAGTATCATATTCATATTTGATTGAATTGTTATGTAAAAGTTAATTTACTCACGAAATCTTAGCAGAATGCAAATCAATGACATGTTGAATATTAAAGTTAAATAACAAATGAATTTCAGTTAATTATAGAGAGATTACGTTACGAAAGTTGAAACACAGTGGTGGAGCTAAGAGGGGTTGTAGCCTAGCCCTCCTCGATTTTGAAATATACAGATAAAATTGGTAAGACTTAACACACACACACACACCCCTCATATTTTTGCTTCCTTACATTTTATTAGATTGTTATGCAAAAATAAACCTTACATAAAATTAGTATAATGAAAATTGATGAGAGGTCAATAGTTTAGTTAATAATAAATAAATTTTCAATCAAACTTAGGTTAAGGAAGTCTTACATAATAATTAAGTTTCTTAAAGTTATACGTAATATTATGCAAAACTTACGTAGTAAACTTTTTTTATAATTATTATTGACAAATAAGAGATAACTATTCCTTCATAAGTTTTACCTAATATATTTGTAATTTTTATAAAATAGTGTTACATAAATATTTTGTACTATGGTCTAATCATAAAATCAAGTTAAAAAAAAATCACATGTGATTAAGATGTTATGTAAAAGTTAGATGGCCTTACGAAATCTCTATGTAAATATTATCCCTATTTAAAATTCATGGATTGGATCATGTCATTGGTGGATTGATCAATGAATCCAAATGATATTCAAGTCTTGAACCAATGTAAATTTTGAAAAGCTTGGATACTAAAATGTCATAATAAAAAAAATTTAGGTACCAAAACATAATTTTTCAATACATTAAATGCAAATATTAAATAAATAAGTACTAAACTGTAATTGCCAACGATCCATGAGTCCAATCCGTGAATTCACAAATTCAGATGAATTTGGATTATGATTTAAATGAAATGGATTAGTTATATATTTAAGTTGATGAATTGAATTATAAATTGAACTTATATATTAAAATTTGATGAGAAAGCCTTTAAAATTAGATGAGGAAGCCTCTAGTACGCATGCTTGGGCTGAGCTACCACTCAAATAATCCAAATCCATACCCAAACATCCCGCGAATATATCATAATGAACAGTGACCCGGAATTTCCGGTTACTTGCGAGTTAAAGATATAATAATAATAATAATAATAATAATAATAATAATAATAATAATAATAATAGACAACACCAGACCAAAAATCATACTCTGCTTTTCTCTTTTCTCAAATCACCAGCCATAGGTTACATAGACTGATTGGTGAACCCTATTTAGGTGCTCGTTTTGAACGTGTAAGGTCCCGAGTTTGACTCCTCTCTAGGACTTTTCGTGGCGTTCTTGACGACCGTAATATAGATATTAGTAGAGGGCCCAAAAACCTTAATCACAATTAGGCGAGCCTCTAGATTTGATATCGCTCTACCATGTTCATGAGTTATTAAAAAGAAAAACCCCACCACTCTGCCTACATCAGTACATCTCATACCAATAATTAAGAACTCCTTTCACTAACCAACTAATCCATTCTCTACCTGATTCTTTGCCAATTCCATTATGTTAGTGTTTCGTTGGCGAACTCGCGCGTTCAATGCGCTCTGATTTCAAAGAAACAAAAACCCAAAGTCAGCAAAAATCGTCAAATATCCGCCGCCGAATGTCGGCGCCGTTGATTTGATCGATTAAACAGAAACCAAGATGACTGTCAAATATCCACCGCCGGTGTCGGCGATGTTGATTTGATCAATGCACCCTCGACTTCTAATCAAACAACCGTTACTAGGTTCACCACCTCTCCAAACTACGTTCGAACGAGGGTGTTCAACGAGAAACGAGAAACCAAACCGGGAGTGTTCTAAGTTACATTACCTCTACTCCTATGGAGGTTCCTCTGGAGAGCTCCGCAACTACGACTACAAGCTACGACTCTGCAAAGGAGTTCTTTGATAGAGCGGTTCTACAGAACTAGAGAGAAAAAAGATAAATCTGCGTAGGTGCAGTTTGTGATTTGATTTTGCCGTCCTGAACTTCTCTCTCTTCCCAATCTTTATACTTCGCGCTTCTCCTCGTCGTAGTAACCGCCTTCGCGCCTTTGTCTCCCACGTCTTCACTCCTGTCAACCGTGCAGGTAACTTCCTCCTTGTTGCGTAACTCCCACGAGTGCGAAACCGCTTGAGCACGTGGCAACTTGGTCCAAAACGACACTGAGCCGAAATCCACCATTGCTGCACTCTCGTCACCGCGACGTTGTTTTTAATTAAACAACATCGTTTCAGTACCGCGACGGTGTCGACCTCCCACGATGTCGTTTTCGGCTAAAGCGACACCGTCTTAACTGATCCTTAAAATATTAATTAATTAAACCGGCCATCATTGTTGACACGCTGTCAAACTCTCACTTCGCGGCGCCGTTCTTAATTAAACAGCATCGTTTTCTATTTCTGCGATGCTGTTGAACTTTGCGATGCCGCTTTAAATTTAACGCTGTCGTTTTAACAACTGCGGCATCGTTTGGCCCACACGCGGCATCGTCTTTAAATATGCGGTGTCGTTCCTTCTTCTTGCGGCATCGTTTTCAACTAACGTCACCGTGCTAAAAGGTCATTAAAAATATTAATTAACTAATCTGGCCATCACTAGTCCACGACCAACGACATCATTAGCGCCAAAACGGCTCCGTTTGTTTTTCCTTTTGCGACATTGTTTTTTATTAAACACTGTCGTTTGCTTGCGGTACCGTTGGGCTTCCTCGCGGTACTGTTTTTAATTCGCGGCATCGTTTTAGCTCTCCGCGGCACCGTTTTAACTCCCCTCGGTGCCGCTTCTTCCAATCCAACAAGGAATAAAAATAATAATTAATTAGAGAAAACTCCTTCTCCAATACCCACGCGCGGCCCTCTTGTTTTTCGGTAAGCGGTGTCGTTTGCAGTACCGCGCCACTGCTGAGCTTCCTTGCGGTACAGTTTTAATTCTCCATGCGGTACCGATTTTCCCCTTCCTACAAGGAATAAAGGTAATAATTAATTATAAAACTCCCTTCTCCAACCCAACTACACGCGCGGCCCCTCTTGTTTTTCATTAAGCGGTGTCGTTTCCCATGCCGCGGTACCGCCGAGCTTCCTTGCGGTAGCGTTTTACCTCTCCGCGACGCCGCTTAACTCTAAACGACACCGTTTTTTACCCGCGGTATCGGATTAAATGCCGAGACTAATTAATGCGGCATTTAATTCCGGCCAAATTAATTTTAGGTGTCAAGGGGCGAAAATCACAATGATTTTCGCGTGACAGCTCAACACTCAGAAGTAAGCTGCTGCTAGCTAGCTACTTACTTCAATGGGAGAAAAGCACAAACAGCATGCATCTTTTTCATTCCCCCAAACTCTTCTCAACCATCACCCGACGACAGCCCTCCACGTGTAAACCCCCCAAAATTAACGAGATTAACGACCGTCTGTCAACTGGCGGTGACAGCTCATCACAGCCGTCCGATCACCCACCAAGATAGGTCCCAAATCGGACTCATAGTAGAATAAGAATATAACCAGGACCAGGTAAGCAGCAACCTCAACCTGTCTCCTTTCGTTAACAAATTATACAAAAAATTCCCATTTCCTGCCGACTCTATTCTTCTTTCTTTGCCTGGCCTCTCTCTGATGTGTTTGGTGGTCATTTTACCTGTTACTCTCTCTTCACTTTCTCATTCGTTGCCTGCCTTTTCAGTTATTCCTCTCTCTCTCGCCTTCTTCACTCGTCCTCTCCATTCCAATCAATGGTATCCTTTCTTAGGTTACAAGATTTGATCTTCTCCACCATTAATCTCATCCTCTCCGCTCTAGCTTGCTTCTCCTTCTTCATTTACCTATCCATTAGCTAATACCAATACTGTTTGTGTGTGTTTCCCCCCCTCCTGAAAAGCTGATTTGCCCTTTTCACTTTCTCCCCAGTTTTTCCTCTTGTTTTCCAGTGGAAGTCAATGCTTTTTCCTTCCTAATTTCGCTTCCCATTCAGTTCTGAGATTCGTCATTGGCCGGAGCAAAGCAGAGTCATTGACCTTGACCTTATTGGTTACTTTTACTACCCAGATTGTGAAAAAAAGCACACCTTTTGCAGTTCCCACCTTGAATTCCTCCAATTCAGGGCTAGGGTTTGGTGGGTTCTCGATGTTTGGCCAATTGGGTAGATGGGATTTTGTGGGGGGAGGGGAAAGTCTCAAGCTTTGCCTCTAATCTTCTGTTCCCTGCTGTGATTTTTTGGGGGTTTGAGAGCGTAGCTTTATCTTAGTTTGTTCAGAAGCCTGTAATGTCGATGGACGATAAGGAGGAAGATGGATGCGATACCAAGCCTTTGATAAGTAAAGATGGCGATGAAGTTGAGAATCAAGGGGACGGTGGGGAAGAAGAAGAGGAGAGCGAGTCCAATTCCTTGTTGGCTCCGAGGAAAGGTGGGATGTCCAGGAAGTCGGAAAAGGTGCGGCGGAGTGTTCAGTGGAATGATAAAAATGGGCAAAAGCTTGCCGAGATTCTCGAGTTTGAACCCAGGTAACAGCTACCTTACTTTTCTCTCTGTTCTACTCAGAGCTCGGAGTTCATTTTTTTCATGTGTGAATTGTGTTGTGCCCATTGAGCTCCTGACAGTTACCTCGTAATTCTAGTCTCATCTGGTGTTCTTGAGTTAAAAGGCTTGCGTATGTTTAGTATTTTATTATTATATGTATTTGTTTCGTCCGTTTAATGATAAGAAGATTGTAAGTTTGTAACCCAATAATTAGCTTTTGTTATTTATTTGCTATTTTTTTAGTTATTTCTTTTGTGAGTTTTTGCGATTTATCCATTTTTATGAGAAAACCCTAAAAACATCATCCCCTACATCACATCACCGTAACAGCTTTGTCTAAGTAGCTTGGATATGATCTAACTGGGGGGTGGAGTTGCTGATGTTTCAAAGCTCTTTTCTCTACTTGGATGTTTCTCTACTATAGGGCAGTTAGGGATTCGGCTCCGTTCGAGTTTTGAACTTGAAGTGGCCTCAAAATGAAGCGAATGGACTGTAGAAACCTTATTTGCTGATTTCAGTCCCACTGATTCTAATTTTTGTTTTCCTACCATTGGAAGGCTGCATTCTGCAACAGTGTTCACTGTTGTGTAGTCTTATCAGTAGTTCAGTACCAGAACCAGAGTAATATCCATTGAGTTTGTTCTTCTAAATAAGATGTGACATTCAATCGTGTATCTTGGTCAACTTAACTTGCTTGCTTTATTCTCCTTGTGTCTCAACGTACTCCTGCTTCTCTTTTCACCACATTTCTCAAGCAACTCCCTTTAGTGAGTGAGCCCTGTCCTTTTGTTGCAGTACTATAAACTTGAAATAAGCGCATGGGTGATTTGAACAAAAACTGAATCTGTTAGGGTGTATGGTACTAGTAAGAGTTCATTGATGCCTTCAGAGTTCAAAACTCATCATCTTCTTTATTACTTTTACACTATTGATTGTAGTTTGAATTGCCGTTCTCCAGTTTTGATCTTAGTTCACTATCATGCTCCTAAATCTCCTTTTGTTTAAATGTTTATGACTCCAGTGATGCTGACTCAGATGACGAGGATTCAGATGCTTGTATGTGTACCATAATGTAGATATCATCTCACCACCACCACCACCACCAAGTAACGCAGTACTCAGCAATCTCTAGATGACTATTGACTACTAGAGAACATCACAAAACCACACTCTCCTGTGCGGCTACAATTTTGACAGTCCTCTGGTGGAATCAAAGGTCCAAATTCTTGTCATACAAGTCAACCATGATTCAATCAAGCAGTTTATGGTTCTCATCCTGACAATAATAATAGAGCGGCATACCAGAACTGTGATGAAAGTATTCAAGAGATTTTTCCAGGCAGCTGCCATTTGCATGGATCTTATTACTTGAGCGGAGGCAGAAAGTCATGCATCAACTCTGATCTGTCATATAGAAAGAAGGGTAGCAATAGAAACTGAAAGTGAACTTTGCTGGCATACTTGCCAGAATTTGTGCATATTGTGTATCAACATCTATAGATCACTCGAGAATTACTTCCAAAGCGTTCCTCTTGTCTGTTTAACTGAGTTCCTTTCGTAGTAGTTAATTCCAAGTTTATGCGATTCCTTCCGGAACCACATGTTCGAGAATCTTGCTTGCAGAGTGATGCTGTGAAAAATCATACCTTGTCATGACCGAATGAGAATATTTGGAAACTGTTGCCATCCACAGTAACTCTCTTTTACTTTGAATTAGGTTCTCCACAAGCAACAATAATTCAGTTCAGAATGATGGTTCTGAGAACGAAATGAAGGAGAGCACCAGATGCAGAAACAGAAGATGAAAAACACCACACGACAGGCTTCCAATAACTTACAAAAGAATGATTCTACAAGACAACAATCACAATTCACAAAAGCCAAATGAATCAAAGAATCTCGCAACAGAGCCACCAATCAACATCATCATAACAAACCAACAACTGTATCGACCAAAGGCCTTAATTCACACTAAGCTTCATGCTGACTCCATCAGATAACATTCCATGGAGTTTCTCCTGTTCAGGTACTTAAGTTGGTGATATCAGTAATGCCTAATGTTTCCTCTCTGCTTCTCCATGACCGAGCACGGGTTCTGTCAACCTCGGTTTTAGGTTGGCAATTTACTAAAGGAGAGGCTAACCAGTTTGACAAGCTGGAAGCCACGGCAACTCCTTGAACTGGAAGAAGCATTGACTCAGTGTTCTCCTTTTTCTGCTGCTGTTGCTGCTTCCCTTTAGCCTTGATTTCTTTCCACTGAGCCAGATTCTCAACTGGGTTCAACACTGAATGTATGTACTGACTCCTCTCCCTAGCATTCTGGTCGTTCTTCTCCGGCCATTTCCCTGAATTTGGACTCACTTGCAAAGAGTTGAATGGCTGTGAGACTTGTTTGTCTTGAATTCCTATTGTTCTTCTTCTCAACTCTTCAATATCGCCCAGCTGACCGCCCTCTACTTCCTCTTTTTCCTCCTCCTCGTCGTAGTCCTCATCGGAATCCAAATCACTCTCGCCGTAAAAGTCATCTTCTTCTTCTTCATCTTCGTCTTCGTCAAAGTGGTCGATACAGTTTCGATATCTGTAATTGGAGGGGTAAGACGCCAGTTTTGTTGCTATTGGATCTTCTTCTGCAGGAGAAGGAGGTGGTTCTTCAACTGTTTTCCCTCTTTTGTTCCCAATTTCCTCTGTCTTTCCATCTTCATCTCCAACCCAAAGGCTCAACGACGAATCGTCTTGGGATGAAATCGGCTCATAAGCCATGACATTCAAATTGAAGCTCACTTTCTTCCTGATCTTTCCCTTCAAAGGCGACCTCTTCGTCTGCTTCCTGCCGGTCATGAACATTAAAAGGGGGATCAGATCGCCCAAATAATTAGAAAAGAACTCAACAGTGGAACCACCTGAGGTTAGAATCTTACCTCATCATCTCCTCATTTGACTCGATATCCATAGCCCCAGAATTACCCAACTGCTCGTAACTGCCGAATCCCTGCCCAATTACCCACACCGCAAAAACAAATCAGAAACGAAAGATGGCATCTTTACTGTGAATCGATCGACATTAATAGCTTACTTGATCTCTGGGTAGGATTCGGCTGGGTGGTTTTCTGCGCTTGCGCTTGGAAGAGAGCCCGAAGCAGCCCATTAAGCAACCCATTGTAGGAGGTGGGAGATGGAGCGAGCGAGCGAGCGGGAAGTGGCGAGTGGGAGAGTAAAGGGTTAGGTGGAGGAGTTCATGGTCTTTGGGTGTGGGGTTGCTTTGTTCATGTGAAACAGAATGTCAAAGATGGAAATGAGGGAAAGAGAGGATCTGCCCTCTGCTCGCTGTTGTGTTCTTTCTTTTGGCTCCAACGGTTTTTGAAAATAAGAACGTTGGGGCCTGGGGGAGATTAATGATGGCGCTGGGCTCAATTTTTCTCTGCCCTCCTCTCCTTTGGCATATTATTTTGGGGGCTAAATTACACGTTTGGTCACTCGAATTATACAAATCTTTCATGTTTGCCACTCAAATTACTTTTCTTTCTTGTTTGCCACTAACTTTACGAATCGTTTCACCGTTAGTCACTGGCCGTTACACTCCGTTAAATTTGTCATATGTGGCAGTCAACTATAAAGTTTGACCGTTAACTAGATGACGTGGAAATTAAAAAATAAAATAAAAAAATTATTTGTCCACTCTACTATTTATCATATTACTTATGTAATAATAAATAAATAAATTATAAAAATAAATAATATGATTAATTTATTCTTCACTTCAAAGATCCGAAAGATGAGTTTGCCTTCCATGACTCTGTGACGGAAAAATGAGAAGGAATAAAAAAAGAACATCAACATTTTCTTCATGGCGGCCATTCATGGATTCACCATTATCATCGGCTTCCACATGAATACCTGTGCCGCTCTTTTGTTCCAGAGATTCCCTTCCGATCTTTAAAAGAGGCAGAATCTCACTATGTCGATATGCTATGGACATCAAGGCTCGTTATCGCCGAGAGATCTAACCAACCGCTCCCGCAACAACTGGTCGCCGGGCGACGACAGAGACGACAGCGAATCGGCGATAGATGATCTACTAGATCGAATTGCCGAGACGGAGGTAATAATCAAACGCGCTGGGGATCGGGAAGCTGAGCAACCGGCAGCTGGAGGAGATGAAGCGATTCGGTAATGGCGATTCCATGAGCAACAAGAACGAGTTGCCTGTCTATTCTCCTCTCTCGCTTCTTGTTGTTTGAATTGACGGGTTTCGGGACTTAGAATCTGTAATTTGATCAGCTTGTAGTTGACTCTGTTTCTCGACAAGCAACCGCAACTCGACTCGCTACACCAGTTCCTCCCCTCCCCTTCCTTCCTGATCCACCAACCGTCGATCGTCTAATTGGCACCGCAAATCACGTTCAAGGCCACTGTCTTCCTCTGCGGCAGCGTCGCCATCGAGGCTTGCCTCTTGCACAGGATTGTCGACGCTCACACTTTCTTGTCGCCAGGGGAGACGAAAAGGTGTCCAGTGCTGTGCCTCCGACCGGATGGTCAGGGTAGAAGAAGATGAAGGCTTCTTCGCGGCGGAGGAGAGCATCTCGTTGGGCAAATCGACGGTGACCTTGATTCCGGATCCGACCAGAGATCGGAGCACGATCGAGTTGGTATCGAAAACTTTCACACAGCTTAAACCTTAGGATTTCAGCAGCTGATTACCTACGGGATGTTGTCGGCGATGCCTTAGTTCCACGAAAAATGCATATATTATTTGTTTTTTGTAATTTAATTAAATAAGCAATATGATAAATATATAAAAAGTAAGTGGAATGATGAGGTGGATAAATAAATTATTTTTTTATTTTATTTAATTTCCACGTCATCTAGTTAACGGTCAAACTTTATAGTTGACTGCCACATAGGAAAAATTTAACGGAGTGTAACGGCCAGTGACTAACGGTGAAACGATCCGTAAAGTTAGTGGCAAACAAGAAAGAAAAGTAATTTGGGTGGCAAACATGAAAGATTTGTATAATTCGAGTGACCAAACGTGTAATTTAGCCTATTTTGGGTTAATATTTTCAAAAGAAACTCGCATAAGAGGAGAGGACCTTAGTTGTCGATATGTGTGAGTTATTTGGATATCATGTATAGATCATATCATGTCCAACCGTATACTCTCATTTGGGATGGAGCCAAATTCTCTCATCACTTTTAAGCGACTGGCATAGAGGTATATTTTCAATTTAGATGTGATCCTCATTGTTGAATAAAGCTTCAAGTCCCAAGAACATGAATCGTTGTTCATAAGTGTAGATATAGTAGCATTTTGATCCATATCTTGTGTGTTCGAATCTGGCCTGAAATAAGTTTTATTAGGCAACTATTTATCCACCCATATGTGAATGTCGCGACCATTACAAACCCTCCATCTTGAACCTTCGGCGATTGCACCCATCAAACTTCTCCAGACATAGTTGACGCTAGATCCCACTTAGCTCGCAAGATATCAATAGAAGGAAGTAGCAAGCTTTTAAGAGGTTTAGTAACAAGTGATACAAGTTTGTTCATAATACTCCAAACCTACATAGCTAACGTTGCTTTATAACACTGTTTGAGATCTCTGAACCCAATGCCACCATCTTTCTTCTTGCTACATAGTTGGCCCTAACTCATCCGCTTAAGGCGTGATTCCTATGCTTTCTGTCCCCACCAAAAGCTAGTAACTAAGCTTTGAATTCCGTTAAGAATTCCTTCATAAATTTGAAAGACCATCATTGAAAAGAACATTTGGGCTTGTGCCACATCTTTAATTAGAAATTATTTTCCAGCTCGTGACATTGTCTGAGTTTTCCAATCTCTTAATCTGCATCGAACTCTGTCCTTAAAACGTGCATATATGATTTTCTCTCATCTCCGAATTAGTGTTTGGTGTCGACTCTTTTCATGCTCATCCACTTCCTTAATTCACAAGATATCACTAATCCCCCCCCCCCCTTTAGGTGTTGTACATTTTTTTTCCTGAATGAAAGTTAAGATTTTGAAATTTTTTATTTTTTGTCCATCTTCCTCTACATCAAAGTTAGGTTGTACCTTTTGATGATATCCAAGTCAAGAGTTCAAAGCACGACATCAAGAAACGATTGTCCTAATATAAGACACAAGTTTAGTGGGTATGGTGCTAAGTATTAATATGAAGCTAGATATAAAATTGGTGTGAGTGGCCCCTTGCATATACAACCATACATAAAGATTTGAGTAAGTATAAAGAACTATGAAAGTCAAGAGGGATCCAAGTTAGAGAACATATATAGGCAATGGTAGACTTGATAAACACTCAAACAATATGGTTAAGGAATATCTACATTTGCATATGTTTCTATCTTGATGAAGTTACCTTGTGCAGCTAGTTATGGTGGTTTGATGTTATGCAATAAGCTTGGTCGTTGTTGTTTCCTAAGATAGGGGAGATTAAATACAAAGGTTTTGAGTGCGTTACTATCTTTGAATACTATTAGTATCTTAAAACATGTGAAAGGACCTCATCATCTAAGGTTGCATCATAAGACCAAATATGAAAATATACATGTTATCAAGGTACAATAATAGGATGAGCAAACACAAAGGTAATGCCTAGTAAGTAGGGGTGGGCAATGGGTGGGTTTTCGTCTCAAATTGACCCAGCCGCTTACTTGCGGGTTGGAATAATTGTGATCCGCAATCCACTCACATTCTTATGCAGGTCGGGTTGGGTGGGTGGCGGATGGGCGCGGATGATAAGAAGAGCAAAAGAATAAATCGAACACAGGATTTTACGTGGTATCCCTGATATTCATGACTAGTCCACGGGAGAGGTAGAACTCTCCGGAGTCAATCTTATTTGTCTTAATTACAGATTACAGGTTACAAGCATAATATATAGGCGGTTGGGCTACAAGGAACCCTAGTCTAGGTTAGCTACGTAATCAAGGCAATTTACCGTAAGCTACCTAAACTCTAAATAGTCATCATTTCCAACACCCTCCCTCAAATTGATGGTGCTTTCGTAACATCAATTTGTTAGATAAAAACCAATGACGACTAGTTCCGACCGCCTTTGTCAACAAATCTGCAGTTTGATCCTCTATTGACAAGTAACTAAGCTGAATGACGCCTTCTGCGACCAACTAACGTATATAGTGGACATGAATTTCTATGTGCTTTGTTCTATCATGCACCACTGGATTAGTGGCAATCCGGATAGCACTGGTGTTGTCCCCAAACAGCCTCATGGGTTGTGCACACGTCACGCCCAAGTCACGCAACAACCTCTGCAACCATACAAGTTCTGAACTGACTTCAGACATAGAGCGATATTCACCTTTAGTAGACGACTTGGACACTCTCTCTTGCTTCTTGCATCTCCATGACACAAATGAGGACCCGAATCTGACACACCAACCAGAAGTGGACCTGCGAGTATCAACACAACCAGCAAAGTCTGCATCTGCATAGGCTTCAAGAGTGGGATCCCCGCTGCTGGGAAAGAACAAACCCACATCCTGTGATCCCTGTAGGTAACGCAAAATTCTGTGTACATCATATAAATGAAGGGTTCTCGCCATACCCATGAATTGACTCACAACCTGTACTGCATATGCTATATCAGGCCCCGTCGAACTGAGGTACCGCAGACTTCCAACCACAGTTCTATAATAAGTTTGATCATCCAGGAGATCACCACTAGTCCGGGTGAGCTTCAAATTCTACTCCATAGGTGTTGCACAAGGCTTTCAATGTTCAAACTGATATTCGGCTAAGAGATCACGAACATACTTCTTTTGACTCACAAAGAGACCTCGATCACTACGCTCGATTTCTAGACCCAGGAAGTAAGAAACATCACCCAGCTCCTTGAATTTGAAGGCTTGATGAAGGACTGCAGTAAGAGAGCGAATACCAGCTTGATCATCACCAGAAATAATCATACCGTCCACATACAAGAGCAAGATCGTAATACCCCGGGAAGTAATCCTCAAGAACAGTGACCGATCATTCTGACTCTGGACAAAACCAGCTTGAGTAACAGTGCTATGGAACTTCTCAAACCACACCCTAGGAGCTTGTTTAAGACCATACAGAGAACGCTTTAAATGACAAACTTTACCAGGACCACCTTTCGAATACCCTGGTGGACAGGCCATGCATATAGTCTCCTTCAGATCTCCATGTAAGAAGGCGTTTTTGACGTCTAATTGGACCAAAGGCCAATTACGCATCGCAGCTACAGCTAGAACACACCGTACAGTCTGCATTTAGCCACCAGAGCAAAGGTTTCATCATAGTCAATCCCATATTCCTGACTGAAAGCCTGTGCCACTACTCTTGCCTTAAAGCGCTCAAGACTGCCATCAGGATGCATCTTTATGTCGTACACCCACTTGCTCCCAACCACTGACATATCTGGCGTCCGATCAACAACATCCCAGGTCTCATTAGCTTCTAGTGCGGTGACTTCATCAATCATGGCTGCATCATACTCTGGAATCCCACATGCCTGGCGGTAGTTTGAAGGTGTTTACGCATAGAATGTGACAGGCGTGATTTTGTGAGGACTTCGAGGATAATGAGCACTTCCTTGAGCGGGGGAGGCCAACCTGCAAAAAAGGTTCGGGGCGGGAGCCCTGTGGACACTCTCCGAAGATTAAGTTAGTGTCTAGAAAGAGAAAGTAAGAAGAGAGAGAGGGTAGGTTGATTACCATTAAATGAGGTGGTTGGCTCCTATTTATATGTGACCATGGCTTGTGTGAGCTTTTAGTGCTCTGTTTGGCGTGTATTAAACGTCAACTCCCATGATTACGCCTACGGCGGCATTTAATGCCAATGTCAGTCTGGCCGAGTTGGTACTGACAACTATCCCATCCTCCGTACACCTTTACCGCCTACGACCTCCGAAGCGTCTACCGCTTCCGATGTAATTGATAATGGGCCATTCTTTCCCTTTGGGCCGGGCTTCTATCTTATTGGGGCGCTAGTTTGGTGTGTGTCCCTGTGTGGCCCAACAATTGTCCCGCAGGTGGGTAAAGCCTTCGGGTTTAGGCGGCTGACTTTCTAAGTTTGGGGCGGGGATACTTACCAAACCAACGGCCCAGTACGTGTGCCATTCCCCCCTAGCCGTCAAACTGGATGCATCCCTCCTCGGGATCGTTGTACTTTCCGCGCACTGACACGTGTCAGACAACACGTTTTCCCATGCGCAGTCGAAAAGACGCGCCGTCAGACATTTGAAAAACCCCATGATCATTACCCCCTATATAGGCTACCTAGGGTCATCGATCTCCCACTGGAATCTGCGCCTCCTTCCTTTAAAAACGCCCTCTGAGTATTGAAAAGGTTAGTGCACTGTTTACTCTCGTCTTCATCTTAATCTTTCTCTGCAACCGTCGCCGACGCTGTGATCTTCTTCCTTTGCTTTTCGTAAGTCGCTGCAGCGAACGCAGATTCCAGCGAAATTCGATCATGGCTGGAGTTGGCTCTTCACCTCTTCTCCCGTCTGCTGGATCTGGGTCCTCACTGGCTCGGCGGAAGAACGCAATCGCTGCTATCGCCGCCATCACCGCACCTGGCGGTGCCGCCGTCGTCACCATCGTCACCGCCGCTCCTGCCACATCCTCGATAATCCTCGACTCATCAGAGACGGTTTCGGACCCGATCACTGCTGCCGCGCAAAGTATGCTAAACTTGAACCAATTATCACAGTTTAGTATGTCCGAACTTGATTGGGATTTTAATGGGGTAGATGCGGATTTCGGCGGCTCTTGGTCAGACGACGGTTGATATCTTCTAGGTAGGGCTAGAGATGGATCTTTTGAATTGATGGATGTTGCTTTGGGTTTAGGCGTAGAGAACGTAGCCAATAGGGGGGATGCGTCAGCCGTTGGGGATAACCTTGCCAGTTTTGGCGACGTATCATTGGCGAGCGTGAGTTCCAAAGAGGTGCTCAGTATTGATGAGCGTAATTCTCCTGAGCGTCCCGATTCTCCTTCCGTAGAGCTTTCTGACGACACCTCTGACTACGATTACAGAGCGGTGGCGGATGACGAGTGTTCTATGCGTCTGCATGAGCACATGTGGGGGAGGAGGGAGGTTCCTGTCCGCGCTTATACCCGTGGGCCGGAAAGGTATAGCAAGCTTAAGCCCGCGACCGTCCTTGTACGCATTCGAAACTATAAGTTGCCTACCGAATGGAAGTACGCTTCTCTGCCTGCCACTTCTAGAGCGGGGACGTGTTCCAAAGGATGGATCACTATTTACACGGAGCAGCTAAAGCTTGGGTTGCGCTTCCCCCTCGATCCCCTTATAACTCAGACCTTGCTGTGTCTGAATTGCACCCTTGGGCGCTTATCTCCTACCATCATCTTCCACGCTTGCGCCTATAGGCTCGCGTGTGAGCGGCTTGGACTAGAACCTTCATTTGCCGCCTTCCGTTTCACGTATGGGCTGTGTTGAGTGTTGAACGTTTGGTCTTTCGGTAGGCGTGATAAAGCCTATGGATTCGTGACTGGTACCCCGAAGCTTGACTCTCCGTGGTTCAAAGATTTTTTCTATGCCAAGCTGTCAACCAAATGGTACTCGGGTGATAAGGAACCGCGAACGGGATTCGCGTACGGTAGGAAGGAGAATTGGGATGCAAAACTTTGGACTTTAGACTCCCAAAAAGATCACGTTGCCAAGATCGCTGAGCTGTCCCCGTTTAATGTGAAGCCTGGGGGGCCAGATTCTGTGGTGGCCATCCTGGCTGAACTCTTCGGAGATGGTCAGTAGTGTTGTCTTGGTTTACCTTTCGAAGTAAATATTACGCTTTATACAATGTGTAACCTGATTTCTTTTCCTTTTATCAAGGACGGGGAGCGCTGCCACAAAACCCGGAGCATCTGCTGGTCCTTCAGTTTCGTTAAAGGCCCTGCTTCCTGTCAACAAATCCTCTACGCCTGCAGGACAGGCTACGCTCGCGGGTGGAGCAGATGGTTTGTTAACCATGCAGACGGGAGGTGACCTGGTTCAAAAACTCCGGGATACTGGGAAGCGGGTGGCCGAATCGCCGGCGGAAGACCCGAAAGATAGGAGCAAGAAAGTCAAGGCCACTACGCTAACGGAGACCGTCGCTTTCTCCCCCCCCCCCCCCCCAATTCCTTGCTTCGAGAGGATTGCGCTCGCCGAATGCTTCATGAGCTATCTGTCACATCCCGATCCCTCAAAACCCTTAAATAATAGTTTTGCTCCGGAGCATATTTAAAATTTTGAAAAAAGAAACAATAATGTGCTCGAAATACCAATACTGAAAATACACCTTATAATTTAAAAGCAAAGCCCTAACATTTGGGCAAACCTCAATCCATAAAGTCTTATCCTTTTAAATCTCCAGTCATTACTCATAATCATAAAGCAAATAACTAGAGATTACAAATGCTGCTTACTCCGATCCGTGGTCAGACATCTTCAGAAGTGCTCACGTGGTCCTCCTCGGGTAGCCTGCTCTCTCACTGGATGCTCCTCGATTGGATGCTCCCTAGCTCCTCCTCTACGACCTGGTGAGTGGGTTGGGGTCAGTCTACGCCATTACTTAAACTTGAAGCACTTACGGGTATTCCCTTAAGTGTTTACCTCAAAAACCCGTGGAAGTTATTTATACTTCCACCCTTAAAAACGTGGGAGTTGTTGTTACTCGCCACCCTCAAAAATCTTAAACCTTTGACCGACACTGGGATCCCCTCACTAACTAGTCCAACCGCCCAGCTCATACGTATGAGGGCCAACATAGGCCTTTCCTTAAACATTTTTATGGAATTAATAGATTCAACCCCATAAACCTTAAGAGTATATCATACTCTTCCTTTAAACTTCATGTGATGTCTAAGTGATTCATCCACATGTTCCTTAAGAGCAAACTTGCTCTTCCTTAAACTTTCACTAGGGCGGGGGGACTGGCGTTAGTGAACTACCTTTAAATCTTTTCACCCTAATTTAATTAGGAGTGAAATACCTCTTAAATGTTGATCCTTAAAGATCAATCAACCTTTATTAAGTAAACATAAATATAAAAGCTTCAAGTAAATATTCAAAGCTCAAATAATCATCTGGGATAATATCTCACATAGAACATGCTTTATCAATCACGACATAAATCAATCACTGGCACACAATTCACGTAAACACACATACTTTAAAAACTCGTATGGCAATTACTTGAAAACACGTAAGGCGTAGAATTTACCCCCTTAAACCACTCACCTCTCAAATGACGATCCTTACTTCCCTTGATGTGAGATCCTTAATCCGATCGCTTCATTAATCGTATCAACCGAAATTATCTTCCCTTAGTTGGTAATCCTCAAGTTTAGTCCCTTAACGTATTGGAAAAAATTTTCCTCCTTTTTACTGAGTCCCAAAATCCTTAAAAAATGGCCCTAACCTCTTTTAAATCATCTCCTCAAAACTAGAAATTTCAACCATTTAATCAAGACTTAAATCATTTCAAACAATTCAATAACTCTTAAAATAAATATAATAAAATCCTCATAAGCTTCTCAAAATATATTTTCCACTTAAACTTCCAAATTCTGACCTTAGGTACTTCAACTCATTACACAAAATTAATAACCATAAATCACCCATTAAATAACCTCTTTTTCCTATTACAATTTAGCATATATAATTTGTTAAACCAAGTCACAAACACTAATAATTCTGATACATAATTTTATAACATTAATACATAATCCTAGTTTCAAGTAAAATTATAAAATCCATAAAAAGTCTTCGCATAATATTTATATAATTAAAAACCGACATGGAACCAATTTCTAAAATTAGAAATGATGATTCGAAAATTCTTAATTTAATACTCAAGCCTCTTATGAATTACTTCCAATTTATAAAATTATCAGATCCCTAAAATACTTATCGCACAGCAAGGGAAATAAACATAACCATGAAAAATACGATTTTCGGGCCAAATCTTCAAAACTTAAAATGTTGGGGACTAAGTAGTTCATATTGGAAATCGAGGGACCGATCTGGTTATTTCCTAAACACAATTGCAGACGTATCCTCATACTTTTCGAATTAGCTGAAATGGTACCTGAACTGATGGGTTTTCGTTCCAAACTTTCGATGCTCGTTTCTCCCTCGTCCGACGTCGAAATTCGATTTCGTCAAAACGGTGATGATCCTGGGATCGTCCTCTTCGCAACGGTAACAAATTTTTGAAGTTTTGTCGAAGTCAACAAAGTCAATGACGCCGGGTTGGTCTTTGGAGGTCGCCGATACTATGATGTAAAACACGAGTTTCGAGTTAGCTTCCAACGATTCAAGCTCAAGAAATTTGTACGATGGAGATTCTAACCTTCTAGGCTGAGTTTCAGATGAGAGACGGGTGGAGAATTGATCGACGACCAGAGTTACGTGCGGAGGCGGGAGGCGGTGTATGCTCGACGCGAACTGAGGCGAGTTGCTGCTTTCGTTGGCCACCGGTGATTTGAGATCCCACGCCCTGCTTCTGATCGAGGTAAGTTGGTGATGTAGCCTCGGAAGTGATGATGATGGTGTTCGTCGGCTGGTGGTGGCGATGTGTTTGACGATGGGGAGATGGGGTGATGGCGCTTGGAGGAGTCGACAGGGAGAAGGAATGGAAGGAAGGCAATTGGGTTTCTTGTTTATTTGCTGAGAGAGAACAAATGGAGCTGCTTCCCCTGTACAACTACTGCCCGGGCTTCCATTTTTTCAATTTAATGGCAAAACTAATGGGCAATGACTCCTCTCATTACAATTCACGTGAACTCCATTCTTTCATCACCTACCATGATCCCAAATTAATGAAATCCACACTCACCTGTTTGAGGTTTTTTCTCCAATGGGAAACAAGTGGGGTGAGGGAAATATGATTGTTGGGGCGGGTTCACGAGAGAGAGATGGAGAAGTGGGGTGGGGGTGTAGCAGATAGGGTGGGGTGGGTTCTTGATTTGTTTTAATAATAATAACAATAAGTTATTGACATTATTCCTAATTCATAATTGTAACCATTTCTACGTAAACGTTTATTCAATCGTTCACTTACTATGGTCGAACTCGAACTCAAATGCCGGGGTGTTACACTATCTGGGAAGCTGCTGGTGCTGACAGAATACACTGAAGTAGAAGATCCCTCGACGGGGCACTGGGATGGCACCGCGGCCTGCTTCCTCCTGGCCGCAAGCGTTCTTTAACTATTTTCGGTCATGACTTTTTGTGATTCATGTGCTGATAGTTTGTTTGACTGTACAAGCTGGAGTTGGGTTGTCCCAGATTAGGATGACCAACGAAAAGCTTCATATGGCGAATCTGCGATGTGGGGTTGAGGCGGAGAAGCTGCGCAAGAGGATAGGCGAACTGGAGGCGGAGTCGATCAAAGGACGCACAACTTTTAAGGCGGAAGCGAAAGCTGAGTTGGAGAAGGAACACGCTGACGCCCTGAAAGAGTTGCGAAGCGAGCTATCTCGCGGTGTCCAGAAGGTTAATAGTCTGATGGCTGATAAGGAGATCCTGGAGGCTGACTTCTCCCGTCTGCGTGAACGGGTGGAAGAGCTAGAGAAGGAGAAGGGGGAATCCTCCTTGAAGCACCAGACTGAGGTGGATGCTGCGGCGAAGTCCGCGGTTGCTACCTATTTACTATCTCCCACCTTCCACAAGATCGACGACTCTAAGCGCTCCAAGGCGATACAGTAGCTGCCATTCGTCATCTATTTCGTCGTGACCATCATGAACTCGAATGGGACACCGATGTTGTATGGGGTGCAGTGGTGGCATGGGGATCTTTCGAAAGTGATGTTAACTCCGAGGACACACAAGCTACTTCCGAGGGCGATGAGGCTGCTTCCCAAGGCGGGAACGAAATGTAGAATGTGTTGCTCTTTGTTTTCAGGACCCTGTTGAACCTTGTCTGTAATATTGTTTTTCCTCGCTGCTGTTGACAATTTACCGCTTTCTAGCAGCTTATCTTTATCCAGACTTTGGTGCTTTCCTTATGTTGCATGAATGGTAATCTTATGCTTTTCTGATGCGTTGCTGCGAAATCTTGAATGCTATCGTCCGTCGTGATTTTGTGAGCGAGATCCTGCCCCTCAGGTCATTTCGCGGGGGGTCATTCTGCCTATGGAATGGCGTGTTATGGATGCCCATGTCCCGGGATGCGATATCTTGGGACTTGCTCTGCCTCGGGGTGGCGTTTTATGAGCGAGATCCTGCCCCTCAGGGCATTCCGCGGGCGGTCATTCTGCCTATGGAACGGCGTGTTATGAATGACTATGTCCCGGGATGCGATATCTTGGGACTGAGGAGGAGCTTTGGCGGCCGTTCTACCACAGTGTACAACTCCCCTTCTACCACAGTGAACCTGACGGCCTTCCACCGTAGGGCTTTGGCGGCCGTTGCGTCGGTGGGTACTTCGTTCCGCTGTAGGAAGTGCAGTAGTCCGCTTCGCCAATCGTCCTCCTCAACTCCTGCTTCCTCGCCTTCTGCTGCTATCCCATCCAACTGGACAACCTCCTTCATGACCGTCACATGCCTTTCCCCTTCGAAATCCATTGCGGTGACTAATTTTGACAACGCATCAGCGTGTCCATTACCTTCACGCCTGACGTGCTCCAACGTCCAGTCATCCATCTGGGCCAGCGCTCCCTGCGCCTTTCCTGCAAGCTTCATTAACTCTTCCTCCTTTGTTTCAAAATCTCCATTGATTTGACCCACCACCAACGACGAATCTGAGTAGATTATTACCCTTCTCGCGCCCATATTTGAAATGATCCTTATACAGTTTATCAATGCCTCGTATTCTGCATCGTTGTTAGTTTTCAGTTCCTTGAAGCGCATTGCGATCTCATGAACTACTCCTTCTGGGGTTTCGATGACGATTCCTGCTCCCGCTCCTCCTTTGCCTGCCGCCCCATCTACAGACAACTTCCACGCATCCTCCTTATCTGATGGTCCTCTATTCAACGCGAAGCCTTCGACGATGAAGTCCGCCAGGACTTGGGCCTTTACTGGCGGTTTGGGGGCGTAAGAGATGTCGTGCTCACTAAGCTCCACGACCCATTTTGTCATTCTTCCCAAGGCGTCCATTCCTTGCAAAATCTTTCTCAGTGGTTGATTAGACAGGACCGTGATAGGATGCCCATGAAAATAGGGTCGCAGCTTCCGCGCCATCATTGCGACACCCAAGACCGCCTTTTCCACCACCAAATACCTTGTTTCTGCAGGAAGTAAGGCTTTGCTGACGTAGTAGACGGGCTGATCTTTGCCGTCCTCGGATCTTCTTACCAGCACTGAGCTCATCGCTTGGTGTGACACCGCCAAGTACAAGAACAAGCGCTCTCCATTGATCGGAGCGCTAAGGACCGGGGGCGTCGCCAACTGCTCCTTGAGGCGCAGGAAATCCTCATTGCACTCTTCACTCCACTTAAAAGCGTTGCTGACTTCTTCAATATTTGAAAAAACGGCTAGCACTTATCAGCTGAGCGAGGTATAAACCTTCTTAAGGCTGCCATTTTTCCGTTGAAGGCTTGAATTTCTTTGATTGTTTTGGGTGCCTTGAGTTGCAGGATCGCTTCGATTTGCTTTGGGTTGGCTTCGATTCCCCGCTTTGTGATCAGAAAGCCCATGAACTTCCCCGCCTCAGCTCCAAAAACACACTTTGATGGGTTTAGGCGCAGCAACCCGTGTGCTCTCATATTGGTGAACCTCTCCCGCAAATCTTGTAGATGGGTCCCTGCTTCCTTACTTTTTACCAACACGTCATCGACATATGCCTCCACATTCCTCCCAAGTTGGCCTCGGAGTACATCATCCACCATCCTTTGGTATGTTGCCCCCGCATTTTTCAGGCCGAAAGGCATGACCATCCAACAGTAATTCCCCGTGGCGGTCATAAATGCGGTTTTTTCTGGTCTTCCTCGGCGAGACTTATCTGATGGTATCCTGAGAACATATCCAAAAAACTCAGCATGGCATGGTTGGTCGTAGCGTCGATAAGCTGGTCGATCCTCGGAAGCGGGTATGCATCTTTCGGGCACGCGCTGTTGAGGCTTGTGAAGTCCACGCACATGCGCCATAAGCCTGAACTTTTCTTGACAAAGAAGGGGTTGGCTAGCCATGTAGGATACTTTACTTCTCTTATGAATCCCGCCTTTAGTAACTTTTTTATTTCTTCTTCCAACGCCATCTGTTTTTCTATAGATATGTTTTGCCGCTTTTGCTTGACCGGGCTTGTATGAGTCTTCACCGCCAGACGATGTTCCGCTAGCTCTCTTGGCACGCCCGGCATGTCTTCCGGACCCCATGCAAATAGATCTGCGAATTCTCGCAGGAGGTCGAGCATGTTGGCGGCCGCCTCAGGCTGGAGGTGCACCGAGATGTGCACCGTTTTTTAGGGCTCTTCTTCTCGTAACGCTCTGGCTATGTCTCCCTCTAACGCTTCTAGCCTCGGCGCGTTTCCCCATGTGTCCACTAGGTCCACTTCCAGTTGCTTGATAGCATTCTCTTGCTTGTTGGGTGTTCCCCCTTACACATCCCACTCCGCTGCCCACGGTGAACTTCAGCCTCTGGTGACATGTAGACGCGACGACTCCAAATATGGTCAAGAACCCCCTCCCTAAGATAGCATTATATGCAGAGGGATAGTCTGCTACGTGGAACTCCATGGGCTTCGTCTTAGTGATGCTCCCCTCTTCTATTGTGATGCGCAGCGTTATCACGCCCAACACCTTGATTTTGGACCCGGAGAACCCCACAAGCTGGGTCGTAGATGGTTTGAGATCCTCGACGCCTTTCTTCATACTCTTGAAGGTTGAGAAAAACAGTATATCTGCCGAGCTTCCACTGTCGATGAGGGTCTTTGTGACTTTGTATTTTTCGGTTCGGAAAGAAATGACCAGTGGATCTTCAGACGCTTTTGGGTTAGCTAATTCGGACTCGTTAAACACCACTTCCGCCATCGACGAAGATGCCAACGTTAGGCATGGGGCTCCCTCTTTCTTGACCGCTTTCTCCCCCCCCCCCCCCCCCCCCCCCCCCCCCCCGAGATTGCAAGCGCGGCTGTCTTCGGGGATGCGGTACATTCGGTGGTGAGGGAAGTCTTTCTCTATCGTTTCGGGTGCGGGACCTTGACCTCCTCGGTGACCGCGTCCTCCTCTCCCGTGATCTGGAGCGTGGCCTTCTTGGGGATCTGCTGCAATGGCTTCGAGGCGAGGGTGACCTTGTTCGCCCTTGTCTTTTGGCCTCGAGCCTGTTGCATAAATCTCCCGGGGGTGAGATTTGCTAGACTCATCTGGAAGTCTCGACAATCCGTCGTGTTGTGAGTTGACTTCTGGTGCCAATCGCACCATCTCTTGAAAACTGGGGCCTCTGTCCGCTTTTGATTTTTGTTGCGGGACCTGTCGTGGCGCGTCCTTGCAGATGATGCGCCCTCCTTATCTCTTTTGGTGGTGTATATTTCCCTCCTTCCTTCCGTTCCGCGGGCTTTTGCTTTATAGCCAGACCGCTCCGGGGTTCTTCCTCTTCTTGGTGATGTTTTATTGCTCTTCTTCGCATCCCTCGCCCTTCCCCTGCGCTCTGTGGGCACTAGGGCCTCTTCTAGAGTTATGGCTCGACGTACTAGGTGGTCTAGGTCCGGCCACGTTTTGATCCCTTGCTCTTTTTTTATCAACGCTCTTTGTAATTCCTTGCTCCTTGTTGCCATCCTCAAACTTTCGTCCGCCACGTTCGGTGTGACTCCTTGTATCTCCCCCGCGATGGTGTTCCATCTATCATATAAGTCAACTTAGCTTTCCCCTTCTCCTTGCGTGCAGTTTATGAGGGTTGTGACAGTCAGCTTTTGCCGTATTTGGGAAGCGAACTTGGATGTGAACAGCGTTGCGAACTGTTCAAAGCTATCGATAATTCCTTCCGGGAGCGATGTATACCACGTGCGACACCTTCCTCCGAATGTTATGGGAAAAGCTTTGCACAGGTCGGCATCTGTGGCGTTGATCAACTGCATCTTGAGCGTGAAGGCGCTCAAGTGGTCGTTCGGGTCAGTGGTCCCGTTGTAAGCGGGCAGCCCTAGTGAAGAAAAGTTGGGGGGTACCGGGTTTCGAAACAACCTCTTCGCCAGCAGGTTGTGGAGTATGCTCAGCCCTTTCCCCTTCCCGCTTTCCTTCCCAAAACTTGACTGCAAATGTTCCTCTAGGAAGCTGAGATCAGCTTCAGGTCTCTCTTCCTCCATTTCCTCGTCTTCGGGGTCGTCGATCTCCACGACCTTCATCTTTCCTTTGTCTCGCCGCGCCCGGGACGCACTTGGGGCATCGTGATCCCTCATCCCCTCCTTTATTAGCGAGAGTATCTGGTTGATGTTGCCTTGCATTTGCGAGATTTGCTTCCCGTGGTCTTTCACTCTGTCTTCCAGATCCACCTCCTCTTCTGCTTTCGGGGATAACCCACGCATCACCATCGGTTGCACGACTTCCTTCATGGGAGTAATTGACTCTCCTGCCATCTCAGGGAAATGCTTAATCTTCCTCTCGGCCCCACGATGGGCGCCAAATTGTTTACGCCTAGAATGTGCCTTGCGGGATTTTGTGAGGACTTCGAGGATAATGAGCACTTCCTTGAGCGGGGGAGGCCAACCTGCAGAAAAGGTCCGGGGCGGGAGCCCTGTGGACGCTCTCTGAAGGTTAAGATAGTGTCTAGAAAGAGAAAGTAAGAAGAGAGAGAGGGTAGGTTGATTACCATTAAATGAGGTGGTTGGCTCCTATTTATATGTGACCATGGCTTGTGTGAGCTTTTAGTGCTCTGTTTGGCGTGTATTAAATGTCAGCTCCCATGATTACGCCTATGGCGGCATTTAATGCCAATGTCAGTCTGGCCAGGTTGGTACTAACAACTGTCCCATCCTCCGTACACCTTTACCGCC